GGGGGGAGGGGGGGAGAGGGGAAGTTTCCTTAAAAATAGAGTGCATATACTCAAACAATTCATTTCTTTTGCATCTATCATTCTAAAATTGCAATTGATTCAACAAACGTAACAAGTGAGGGAGTTTATTCTATTATTTAATTATATTATTTTTTACAAAGACTTTCTTAAAATTCATGGTAGATTCTGAACATGGATTGACGTTAAGTGATATGAAGATTCATTTCATGCATTTTTTGTCATCTTTTTATGTTTGCTTCCGAAAAAAGTCTCATCAGAATTCAGCACCGTTCATTTTTTTTAATATTTATGCATACTCGAGTGAAATAAACTTTTTTCTACAAATTATGGCGTTTTAATCTTTTAAATGCTATTAAACATAAGTCTGTCTTCTTAATGTGATCTTGCTGACTAACATCTACAACTTATACATGTGACCATAACACTATTTAGTTTCTATTATAAATGTAGCTGCATCGTGCGAAGGGAAATGAAAACTGAGAAATATTTATGCATATTAATATGAAACATGCAGTTTCCATTTATAATAAGTTCAGAAAGAAAATTTACATTCTTAATCGAGAAAGTTTATTAAGCTTTCTTCTCATATTGCGTGCTGCTGTTTTATTTCAAATTAATCTTAAAATTCAGAAAGAATTTTTTCAATTTTTACATTTATGTATCATTCAAAATTTACATGTCAACTAAAAGCTAATTTAAAATTGTCTTTACTATAAATTGGAATAGATTTCAAACACTTCATAATTGCATTCAATTTGATACATAATTTAATTAAAATTATTTCATACTGGTATAATTTTCCTTTCATATCTCTTTGAAATCTAGAAGTGTAAACAGCAGCTCATAAAATTTTATTTATCGCTTTCTAGATAGATAACAATTATGCAAGTTGATATATTTATGTGTCATGACAATGAAATATCGAGAGATAAATTTTTATAATAAACTCATAACATGAGATACTTTTTAATTACTTTTTCTTTTAATTGAATCAATAATTTGTTGATAAATTTCGATTGAATTTCATTATCTTAAGGTACAATTTGAGTTCATTTAATGTTTTTTCAAGTATAATTGAGATTAGTAAACATTTGATACTTTCATATTTCAAATAAACATTATTCATCATTAAACTTGCTACATTTGCTACAATGAAATGAATGTTTGATCAATGATTTCATGCGTGGGTGTAAGATAATTTTCTTAAAACGAATTAAGTATTTTGAATATTTCTTTTCTTGTTATGCTACTTCAATGTTTGAAGTTCAAACAAATAACATAACAATCGTGGGTGGGTTTGTTGGATGAAATTGTATATTAAAAAGTTTTTATAACTTCTATTAAGTGTCTGCTTAAAATTAATTGATAATTATTTTCGCCGGAAGCTGAAGTGATTTTTTCCTTTAAAATCCCTGTTTTGTCGTAAATTATTAATTAATGATATATGTTTGTGTCTTATTTCATTCTGTTCAAATCATTTATTTAAGTAGCATTGTTTCGATTTCGTTTTTCAATTATTGAATCATAATTGACAGCATGGAAAATGCTTCCCGTTTTTCTTCTTTTCTCTCGTGATTGATGGCGGAATATTTATGTTTGTTCAACAATTCCTTTGTTGAGAGAATGCTCATAGAATCGATAATGTTGATTAAGATGAAGTATTCAGTAAATGTTCGATATGCTTTTTGAGTAATGATGACGTTAATGATCTCAAGCTTTTCAAATTAAGCATCTTTAGTTAAACTTCTCCGATTATCATGGACGGATTGTTATGAAATTATTACCGAATGTGGAATATAAGCAGCTTGTTCTCTTTTGATAAATTTATGTGAAAAAGTTGTCACGTTGTTGATAGATTGGTAAAGGGTCAACAGGTGATTGCGATTGCTCACGCTCGCTTTCCATTTCGTTGATTCTTGATGGCAACCCAGCCATCGCTCTCTCTATTAATGAAAGAAAATTAGCATTAAATAATGTTTTTGATTAATTCATTATAATTTTTGTAAACATGTGACGTTTCAGTGATTTTGTGAATTGATTAAAAAAGTTTTTAAGAAAAAACATGCAAAATTTTAATAAAAATTTTTTCTTTTCGATTTTTCCAAATTTCTTCTTCAAATGAATAAAAACTGAATGAAAGTATTTTGCGGTGAATGCAGAAGTGGGAAACTTTGCTTTAACATCTGTGATCTAAATACTGAAAGCGTAAAGCTAAAATAAACACACAAAATAAAAAAAATCTTACACTAAGAAATTGGGAAAACTCAAATATTTAAAAAAATGTGCTTTTAACACAAAGAAATCTATAAATCTAATTAATTCTCTTTCTATTTAAAAAACAGAAAATAAATCTACAAACCTTTTCGATAACTTGTGTAATGATCATCTCCTTTCTTGTCTAAACAAACAAAAATATTTGATTTTTGTTTTGGTTTTGTTTTAATGTTTTTCATGATGTTTTCAAAAGTGAATTTTAATAATGAATGCATGTAAATAATTATAACACAATTAAATGCGCAAAAAGATAAAATAAAACATAAACAAAGATAGCGTTCAAAAGCAGCATTTCGAGCAACGTCTACTTCTTGTTGTTACTTTCAGATGTTGAGTCACTGCTGGGATTTCCTAAAATTTTGTATGTTGTTTTGTTCAAATTTCCAACAAGGCAAAGAAAACAAAAGAAAAATCATAAACAAATTAAAATTAAAATAATAAAATTAAAAAACATTCAAAAACACTCCCAGATTGATTAGAAATTCTTTTAGTCAAATTTCAGATGTCAGTGAGAGTGCAAGAAATTATAAAACGAATTCAACATAAAATAACATTCATCAATGCGTTAATTAATCTTCATGACATATGTGCAAATTTAACCATCGTCAATCTTATCGCTTTGATGGTTAAATAAATGCAAATACAGTCGAAATGATTTATTAAAAATATTTCAATCAAAAGCTTTCATCAATCAAATGTCCAAGAGAAAAAGTCAACAACGAAAGCAGTAGAAGTTTAAGTCTCAAGAACATGAAAGTCTGAAGTGAACATTTCAAACTTACCAGCAACAATTTTACTCATTTGCATGACTTGTTGTGCAAGAATTTGATTAAGTTGTAAAAGATGTTCACGTTGCTTCTTCTCAGCACTTATTTGACTTGGTGGCAATGGAGTGTCCTAAAATATTTCATAAAATCCGAATAAAGATTTCAAAATTTTAATTTTCTCAAACTTACATTTGCCGAAATTGTTGGAGTTGTTTCCGAAAGCATTTTTTTGATCGCTTCAACTTTTTCCTGTCGACGTTTCTTCTCTTCTGGTGACAATTCCGGAGCTTGTTCTGGAATGTAACGTTCAGGAATGAGAATTTTATTCGGTGCACCAAAAAGATTGTCGATTGTGTTTTCCGAGATCTTTTCACGTGGACCAAGCGCTGAACGAACGACATCTGGAGCATTGATTCGAGGTCGAAGTGCGACTTCCATGTCGAGATCATCACGGGCACGATAATTGACATTCTAAATATATGAATAAATCATTTGCTTATTTCAAAGTCAAAAGTTGACATAACTTCAATCAATCAAACTTACATTCTTGTTCATATCATTTTCAAACTGAATGGTTTGAACAGTTTTTGCGTTCACATGATGTGGCGCCGTGAAATGTCTTCGCTTTTCTTTCGGTATAGCTCGTCGTTGTTTATTGGCATTTGGCACTTTTGCGTCATCGTCTCCTGAATTTCCAGACATTTCAATTATGATTTGTCGTGCTGCTTCACTTTGAAACACTGGACTTAATTCGCTGACCATTTTTGTAAGACTTTGAATCGATTCAGTCTTCTGATTTAAGTTACCATTTGATGGATAATAATTAACATAACTTTGCTGCAATTGATGTGTCGCTGATGAGTCTGAGTATAAGTCAGCAGCTCGATCAATAATTGACACTGGATAATTATTGCTTTGAACGTTAATTGAGTTGTAATAATCGTTTGTATATTTTGATTGCATTTGAGTTGCTGGAGATTGATTGAAAGCTTCATGCGTCTCCATGTAAGTTCTCGGAAGAGACTTTGATCGTTGATACGAGTTGTAGGAATCACTGTTGATTGCATTGTTGAACAATTGAGCTTCTTCTTCGAGTACTTGATCGAGATTCTGTGACAAATATCCAGTGCGTTCACGATCCCTTTGTCGTTGTTGAGATTCTCGCTTCACGATTCTAACAGTTTTGATTTCTTGTTTGTCTTGTTGACTGAGATTACTAAATGCTGAACCTTCAAGTAAGTCATCGTTGTCTAAGATCATTGAATCGATGATTTCTTCGCTATATCCATTCGAGAGTCTTCCATTCAAAATCTTATTCATTTCATACTCCCCAAACTTACTCGAAGACGAACAATTAATGATATTATTGCTGTTTCCACTTGAATTGGTATCAACATAGAGTGGCGTGGCTGAATCACTGAAACTCAATCGAATTTGATCAATTGAATCCAAATCTGTTTCGGTCCATGATGTTGATGATGTCCGCTTCTTTATTCCAGATGCATTTCTATTCATTTCTTGATATATCGAATTAGAATTGTCTGTAAGTTCACGAACAGCTTGACTTAATTCTTGGCGTTGACGTTGCATGTCACCCACTAGTTGCTGTACTCGACGAAGTTCTAAATTATGTATGCAATTGAAAACGTTTTAATTTACCTTAGTTATTGACTCATCACTCAAACAAACCTGATTCCAATACAGCTGTCGCACCATTGGCCTGTCCATCATTTACGCCTGATGATTGAAAATTCTTCGTGTCACGCGATTGTTGCAATTTTTGGCGCAGCACTAAAAGTTCTTGTTCTAAACGCGCATTGCTAGCGACGGTTTGCTCTAATTTCTAATGAATTTTTAAGAAAGAGAGACGGAGTGAAAATAATAGGTGGTGAGAATAACTTTGGATTAATTTCAGTTCGTGTATCGTGTGTGAGAATTTAGTTTTTAATTATTCAAATCAGAGTTAGAGTTAGATTAACTACCTTAAGCCAATAATTGATCTAACTCTAAAAAGTTAAATCTAATCGATTTTAATCAAGATTAAAATTATTTTAATCTAACTCTGAATGTTTAAATCGAGATTAAAAATGAAGTTTCGATGTCAACAACCAATTAAATGTGCATTTATGTAGATGGTTAACAACAGATATTAAATGAGTTAATATCATCACAAAACCATTGTCTTTATATGGTCATATGAAGATCGAATGAATCAATTAAATGCTTTTTTTAGTCGAAATTACAAAACATTTAAAAATTGTCGAACGATCCACTTATATGCACCTTAGCTACCTTAGAGTTTTCGGCTAACAACTGATGAACACGCGAAAGCTCCATTTCCAACACATGCTGTTGTCTTCGAGCTGCTTCTACAACCATTGAAGGCGCATTTTCATTTTGAAGTTTCGATCTTAAACCGAAAAGTGCTCGTTCGAGATCTTCTTTGTCACGTTGAAGACTCTGAAGTGTTCCAGACTCTTCTTGAAGCGCTTGGTCGAGTTTGTAAAGTTGTTGAACTTTAGTCTGTTGTAAGATTGATTTTCATTATTTCATTCTTTAATGTAATTTTTGAAAGTTTTCATTTACCTGAAGTTCAGTCTGGTTGGGGCTCATCCGTTCCCATTGACGCTGTTCTTCTTGCATCAATCTACGCTCTTGAATTCGTTGATTAAATTCTAGACGATCTAAAGTTGTTGTTTCGCTTGGATAATGATGACTACCGCCACGATAAAGTGAACCCAATTTTACCATGTTATCCACAAGATTTACGAGTGGTTTGCTTTTCTCGTATTGCTTCTCTAATTCCGATAATTGATGTTTAAGCTTTTCTAAATGCGCGAGATTTTCAGCACGTGTTTGACCTTCGGTTGTTCTAATATGGTTCTAATGGAACGAAACAAAATTCCATATTTCATTTACTTTGCTTGCCTTTTAAAAAGTTTAAACCATCACCGAATAACAAAATAAACTTTTGGGTTAAACACTAGTTAAACTACTTAACATTCTATTAATGAATATTAAACCAAAAATAAAACAAAATAATAACCTGAACTTCGTGAATATCTGTGCAGCATTTCTCGATCGATCGAGCTGTTGAACTTGTGTCTTTTCGCAATTGTATTAGCAACAATATTAATTCTTCATGGGTGCGATTTAATAAGTCGCCTGCCGACATATTAAGGTTCTACAAACACAACATTTAAAGTAACATAAACAATAATTAATTAACTAGCATTCAACAAAGAGAGCGAAGTGAATTGATTGAAATTTATGATTTCTCGGAAATTTCGATAATGAAAAAAAATATCTTTAATTATCCACTAACGAACATTTAATTCGATTAACGAAAATTTTTGTTAATTAAAAGAGTGAAGGAAAAAAAATCCGGAAGATTTCTTTTTTCGGTGAAAAATATTACGAAATGACGGAAAAAAGAATTCGCTTCAACTTGAGTGCTTATTGAAAGCGTCACTTATCGGCGCAATCAAATTAGTTACACTTTTTATATTCATTGAGTTTGTCCAGTGAGTTGAGAAGAATTGTGGATGAACAGAAAGGTGGAAAGCTACACTCATTACAACATAAAAAAAGGTTGAATAAAGCACGATGCAGGTCAATCAGATTATTGAATAATTTGATGAAATTCTGTTGTTGTTCAAACAAATAGAAAAACTCATTCATTATCTAACATTCCAATTTAAGTATCCAAATTCATGCCGGATTAACGAATACTTTAACAAATAAATTCTCTAAAGATTTATTAATCTAATGGGATTTATTCTAAATAATTTCATGATGAAATAAATCAACCCTTCGGTGGATTACATTGAAAAACTTTTCATGAAAAATGGAAGGTGAAAATATGGATTTGTAATAGCTGGAAATTTAGCTTACGTTGGGATCTATTCAAAAAGATTATTCATAAAAAAGTATAAAGAATTACATCGAAATAAATATGTTATAAGTCTCGATAATCTTGGATAAAAATTTATCGCAACAAAATGAATCGTTCAAAATGTTTTTCCCAATAAGGCTTCTAAGAAGTTTTAAAATTAATTTTGAAACGTTGAGATTCTCATTAGGAAATCATAAAACGACATAAATCTTTAGAGATTACATAAACAACATCGACAACATTTCATCATTTTATGCTTTCGTTAACATACCTTAAAGATTGCGGAGTTTTCTCGCTCGAGATTCTCACGAATATCACGCTTGCTTCCGGTCTTCTTGACGACGGCATACTGATGATGTTGAGGATCTTGGTGAATGGAGACTCCCCGCTGTTGCGTCTGTCCATTAATGTACAATGAATTGACATCGTCAGAAGACTTCGGGTAGTTGTTGTTATCATAATAATAACTGTTAGTTGTGCTACCATTCGCTCCATTAAGACTACGATTTAAAGTGTCATTGGGGTCTGGCTTTACAGTTAACGGTACTTTGGGGATATTGCGAATGTTTCGAACAGAAACAGATGCTGTAAATAGAAATTTTTCATAAAAGATAAGAGAAAGTATTTACCAACATGTTTATGTGCATTGTGACCGAAGACGAAGATTTTTAAGAAATTTCTTAAATTGTACAAAAAAGTTTTTCGCAACCAAAAGACAAAATTTTGTTCAAAAAAAAATAAAACAAAAGCTTTTCATGACAAAAAACATTGCAGTCGAAAAATCCACCAAGAAGAATATAAAAAAATTAACAAAAAAACATTCCATTTTGTACAATTATGTGCAATTTAAGAAATAAACTTATTTACATGTAAGAATTTGTTTTCGAAAAGGACAAACACAGAGAATAAGAACTGCACTATGCTGAAATGCGTGGAAGGTTGAATTTATGCTTCATAACAAATTTGAATAAAATTTCTATAGAAATTCAAAAAGAATTTCAAAGGGGCAATGAACTTTTAGCAAACCTCAGGGGCACCGACCTACGCTGAGATCATTATTAGGAAAAACTTTATTAAGAGCTTTTCATGAAAGCTTTCTCATTAAACGACGACGAGAAGCTACAACATTTATCTAAGTAATAAAAAAAATTACAAACATCAATTAACAATATCTCCGATTTTACTTTTCTTACACATTCAGCTTATTAAATCGTGTAGAAAAAGCTAAATATAACTTAATTATGGCATCGAAAAAGTAAGTAAAGTTGTAAGGAGCAACAACCACGCATTTTTGCAATTAATCACAGTTCTTGTTTCTCGCCAGGTCTGTGTTTGCGAATATATTTAAGTTGTATAATATGTAATTAATTGTAATCAAGGCAAAAACCTTTTTTCTTTGCTGATGGTGCACTCTCCGCCCTTTACAAAGACTTTTCCTCTTCTCACGCTAAGCATCCATCATAAAAAAAATAAAAACTGATTTTCTTTAAATTTTAATTAATTCTAGCACATGTTTTTATGAAGATGGATGCGTTGCGGTAGATGGAAAATGTTAAGTAACGAGCTTGCGAGTGTGAAAAATGTGTGTTTGTTTATTGTTTGTGTGTTTAATTTCAAGACGAAAGAGAGAGTTGATGGGCACATGATTAGTTCGAGCGGTAATTAGACGACTTCATCAATTTTCCTCTCACATCCGCATCAGTAGAATCGTTGGCAGCTTCTATCGTTGTGTGCGCTTTTGACGAGCCAACAGCAGAGCTTTTAACAACACGTGAACCAACACTTGAACTCTTCACCAAACCACTCGACATCAAATCCCACTGACGAATATTTTCTCGATCAATGTTGCTGCCATCATCACGAAGAATTTCATAAACGTCTGACATAGCATTCGGAGCACAAGCAAGTTGCACATAAACATCATTTTCATCCATCTTCGGAACTTCAATATTCTTTTTCTTTTTTGTTAACGTTCGTTGATGATCTTCATTAACATAAGTAACATCGCGTGTTATTTTTGTTCGTGACTTTCGTTCAGCACTCGATGACGATGATATTCCCCATTGGCGATCAGCATCACTAATTCTTGCGGCTTTTGTTGCAGCTGATGAAAGACTTTCTATTCTGTCCAAATCATCAAGAGAACGAGCATGTCGTTGTGAAACACGACGTAAGCTTTCACACCAAATTGCATCTTCTTCCCATAATTGATCACAATCAGCAATGGAAGCGTCTAAGTTGTCACTTTTCGGTGGCATTGAGTACAATAAATTATCAATCGATGTTGAAACATTTCCATCGACGTTTGTGTTTTTCTCATGGTAATAATTTATACTTGCGAACGATGTTGTCGGTTCGTCCTTGTTTACAAGTTTTTGTAATCGCCCACTACCAGACTCGTAGAGGTTTCGACTGTCTATACCTTGTTCTTTCTCTGCTTGATCCTTCAATATCGACGTCAACTGTTGCTTGTTAGTATTGTTAATCAAGTTTTGGATGTGCGAAATATAATTTGGATTTTTCTTTCCCACTTGAACATCACGTTGATTGTTAAGCTTCTGAATTGTGTCAGCTGTCAAGTCTGAATAATAGTAAGGAGCTGAATCAGAAAGATTGCTATTATTTCGACTATGACTCGGTTGTGTCATATCAAAGATTGTGCTAGAACCATCAGCATCAAGTGAAGTCTCTACAGCATTGTCGTAATTTTTATTCTTCATCTCATCATCATGTAATGCATCGTGAATAGACAAATTTTTCTCTTTCAATGGCTGCAACTCTTTATTACTAACATCTTCAAGCGAGTCGTAATACATCGCGCCCTTCTTTTGTTGTTGTTCAATCATATTGATGTTCTCATAGTGAAGTGCTGTCGGATCCATAGAACCGCCTGGCATATGCCTCAAGTTTTCCGTAAGCCAAGTCGTTTGTTCTTTACTGAACAGCAAATCGCTTGTTTCTAATTTATTTAAATAATGGTCAAGTTTTTCGTTAGCGTTTTGTTCATCTTCTAACTTAAATAGCGAGTCATCAGACAATGGAAGAGGTCGAGGACGTGGCGATTCTGTCAGACTTGATTGCGATTGATTTAATGAATCAGCGCTGATTGACGGCGATTGAAGCTTAATTTTGTTATATAAGTCAAAGTCTGATGACGTGTTCGAGCCGTCATCCGTGTTGATGCTGCAATTGCTTGCCGTTGAGAATAATTTTGCATTTTTAAGCTTCTCAAATTGCGGAAGATTGAGATAACCGGTAGCAGCAGCATCATGTTGTTGCTGTTTGAAGAGTTGATCTTGAAGACTCAAACGACTTGTGCGATTTACATCAGAATGTCTGTCACTCAACGGCACACTACTAGCCGACATTGTTCGGTGATGAATGATTTCATTGCTTGTTGTGCTGTTCCTTTTGATTGTGTTAAAATTTTCAGATGAGAAAATTTCTTCAGAATCAAGAGGGGGTGGTGAGGTTGGAATTGGTGGTGGTGCTACAATTTCACTGTCAGAACTGTCAAGACATTCAGCAAGTGGAAGATTTTTGTGAATTGAACTACTGGTACTGGCGCCAAGATAATAAGAAGCAGGCCGAAATGTATCTGACAAGCTAAATCGAGTTCTCGACTTCATTGTCAAGGGTTCTTTTGACACATCTTCATCATCTGCATCGGAGCTGTCATCAGATTTGAAACTTTGTTGCGACTGTTTCAAAATGTCTGGCAAATCATGTCGTTTCTTAATCCTCGACGAAGATTTCTCGGTGTGACGTTTTTTAGTCGCAATTTTTCCATCATTTGGCGATTTCTTTTCAGTCTTTTCTTTTGCATTCTGTGATAATTCCATGTACAAAGGTTCACTTCCACTTTTCTTTCCTGAAACCATGACAAGCTCATACGGTGACACTTGCTTTTCCACACTCATCTCTGACATTCCTGAACTCATTTCAATGTAAGGATTTTCTTCAATGGCATCTGTCGAGCTTCGAATGGAATTCAAAATATCCATAGCAAGAATTGAGGTTTCAGAAGCACTCGAACTCAAAATAGCTTTTTTAGGGGTCATCGGTAAGTAATGTCCCTCGGAGATATCAAACGAGTTGTCAATGCTTTTTAAAGTGTTGACAGGTGTCAATAGTTCTTCACATGAAGTTTCATCTTGTTCGGTGTTTGTTGTGTCTGGCTTACTAGTGTCATGATCAGCAAGGGCTTCATCCAAATCATCGTCAGTATATTCGAATTGTTCCCCTTCATCCTCTGAAATGTCTTCTTTAATGTCGGTCAATTCTTTATCATCATTTTCATAATTGGAAGCAGTTATTGTACTCTCATCGTTATCATCCGTTACCACCGCTGACGATTGGGATTTAAGTGGACTCACATAATTGTGCTTGTAAACAGGAATGTAAGGGCTTTTAGTGATGTCACAAATATCCGTTTTTGGATCGTTTTGGTGCTCGATGGGAGATTGTGAGTGGATGGTGGTTGTGTGTTGTGAGTTCAAAGAATGTGTTATATTCATTTCATTTTGCAACATATCAGTGGGATTCACATTATTGGCTTTAAGAGCACTTTTAAGTGTATTCACGTGAGTTGTTGATGACCTTCCTGCCAGCAGACGATGAGAAGCATCTGAGGAACGAATAAATTGACATCGATTTGATGGCAAGTTTTTAATGAAATTTTTACGCATTTTTTTGTTTGTTCTGCCTTTTAAGTAAAGTGGTAAAGCTTTTAATTACTTTATGACGTTAATTAATTAAGGTGAATTCTGATACCATATTAAAACCGAGCGAGAGACAGAGAGAAAAAAAGAGAGAAAGAAAGAGAAATATTTTGCTGCTTTTTTTCTTTCCTTTTTAATATTATTAATTTACTTTAAAAAAAGCAAAAACACAAATGCTTCTCTACCACCCGCTAATTTAATTTACGACATTACCCTTTGCACCGAATGTGTTTTTCTATGTAAATGTGTGTGTGTGTGTTTGTGGTTAATTTTACCGCTTGTTTCTTGTAATAACGTAGGATTAATGTAAAGCATGCATCAATTAAATTGTGAAGGTGTTTTATTGAGAAAAGGGTTGGTTTTAAGGGGCGGGGGTGGAGTGGGGAGAGAAAACATGAAATTACATTTTGTTTAGTTACCAAAAGAATGTTTTGCCCCGTTACTGTGGCAAGAAGGTCATCGCCGTACATCGTTAACCCATTTTTAATAATCTGCTAAAGTTTGGCAGAGCGCTTACCCGAGTTAAACAAATGCCCATTCAACTTTCTTCATTAAGAATTCATTTAAACAAAGGAACTTAGTTCAGTCCTCGGTCAACAACAATCGTTTCGAAACAGAATGAAAAAAAAGTAATTTTCTTTTTTGAACGGTGGAAAAACTTTTTATTGCATCGAGCTTTCAAAAGCTTTTCAACAAACACTTTCACATGAGATTGAATAAGTTAAAATAGTTTCATCGTAATTGTGTATTCAACCCAACAACATAAATGTCTATAAAACTATGATTCAGAAGAACAAGTGCAACTTTCAATCGATACAACTCATTTATTGTAAACGTAAATTAAAGCTCGTCAGTTGAACGAGAAAATAAACTTTTTTCCATTCTGTTTACGAATTTTGCTGCTAAATGTGCATTTAAAAAAAAACATAAAAACAAAAATAAAATTTTTGATAGAAAAGAGGAAAAAGCATAGAAAGCATAAAAATTTATAAAAATTAATGTTTACGTTCCCAAGCTGAATAAAAAATATTTTTTGGCAATCAGACATTCAAAATGCGGAAGAGAATAAAAAGCGATGAAATGTTCGAATGCATATAAAAGTTAAAAGCAAGCGTTAACGTGAAAGTAAATAATTTAAAATGAAATTTTAATGCTTATGATGTTGAACGTGAATGCAATGAAAGGAGAATGAACATAAAGACAAGTTTAAAGCTTTAGGAAGAATTGATGATTCAAAAGGTTGAAGAATTCAGACTTCTAAGAGTTCTGGTTGGCATGAGGGAAGTTCATAAATAACTAATAAGGTTGCAACTTGAATATTTATCATAATATCTTGAAAAAAAAACATTATTAAAATTTTTTCAAAGCTTTTGACCATCCGACCTTGGGGTGCCACTTCCATCACATAAAAAACCAAGACTCAACTTCAACATTGCCCTTCGACGTTCATTAAAATTTCATGAATTTTTGTATATTAACCGTTTGCCTTTCTACGAGCATCGCTACACCGGGAAAAGAAGCGATTACCCAAACGAGAATTTTTTTTTTGAGGTTGCTAAACGACAAGGAAGAAGCCAAAAAGTCACCACAAGTGCACAAGCTGAATGGATAAAAAATAAGTTAACAAGCTTTCTACTTTTTCCATTAATAAATTGACATTCAAGCAGGTTAAAAATTCAAACTAAAAGGGGTTTAATAAAATTTTAAAGCTTTTTTCTTTTCAGAAGTAAAACAACAAGAAGAAAAGTGAAAAGTTTTCAATCGTGAAAAAATATTTTAATTGAAAAGTTTTTATTTTTCTTACTTTCGACGTTTTTCTTACTTCTTCACATTACTTTTTCGAGAAAGAAGTCGACTGGTGGATTTAATTTAATCAAAAAAGCTTTTAGGATGATTGGACGAGGATAACATTGGATATGACTTTGGATTGCAAAAGGATAAGCAAATTGATTAATTTTCTTCTCATGAATGAAAAGCTAGTCACTAATTGCTATAAATTAAGCAAGATTGACAGAAAATGTACACGAATCAGAAGAATATTTATATACAGGTAGGAAAATGGCAACAAGATACAAATTCACGACATTAACTTCAACCCGAAATTGAGCAGAAAATTCTCGAGAAGGAGAAAATTGACCATAATTAATAGAAAAAAATTGAGATTGTAGCAATTTCTTCTTTTTTCTTCTGATAGAAGTCTAAAAGAAGTGAAATGTTTGATGGCTTTTCCCAACAGACGATCCTTTTCAGCTCAATTGGGAATCTTCCAAATACAAATTTATCAAAGCTAAGTAACAAAATATTGCAAGCACAAGAAAAATAAGAAGAGAAAAAGGCTTTGTTGCTACTCAAAGAAGTAAAGAAGTGTCAGTCACTCACCTTCATCCTCTGATGACTCCCCATTGTAAGCTGATGTTGCGTTAGTATCAGACCGACTTCTTTGTAGAACATGATTCGACTTTTGTTGTGATTCGATCGGCTGTTGTTGATAGAAGTTGGCAGATTGAACGGTGAGTGGGGATTTCGGTGGTAAGTGAAGGCTGTTAGTCTGTTGACCATTAGCTTGTGCAGCAACAGATAATTGTGGACCTTTCCGAGTGAGTGGTGATTGAAGCATTCGCTGCTTCCATTCCAGAAGTCGCTTCATCGACTCTTCTCGTTTTCTTTCTCCATCTACACGATTTGGATCTTCTTCTTTCTTCGGTAATCGCGCACTCGCTGAACGAAGAAATTGTTCCTGTTGACTCAAATGCTGTTGATGTTTGCTACCGTTTTGACGATGAACTCTCGGAACACTCGCTGATCCACTCTGCATGTCGTCAGTGATTTCATAACGATTCGCTCGAACCATTTCAATCTCACGTTGAAGCGTCTGCGAACTCATCGATGGATGCATTTCTGTAGTAAGGAAATGAAGGAATTTTAATTCAATATTGTTGTAAAATTTATAAATATACTCACCACTTTGTTGCTGTTGATGTGAAAATGAATCTTGAACCTTATTCGGTATCGTTTGCTTTTGTAAGTACAAAGCACTTTGTCGCATTTTTTCAGCGTAACTCGATTCGGAATAATAAGAATTATCTTGACCTCGATTAATATCAAGACTCGACTTGGGACGTGGCGCTTGTGCTGGCTCCGCTTTCATTCGTGTCGTTACGGGATTCCGCGCCTCATACTCTAAAAAATCAGCTGAATGCGGACGTGGAACGGTTGGTGGTGGTTTTGATCTCATGTGAACTTGTTGCGATTGCTGCTGTTGTTGTTGTTGTTGATGTTCAAGGAAATTCGGTGTGTAGCGTTGAGGCATCGGTGGAATTTGAATATTGTTGTCATACTTTGTAGGACTTAAAGGTCGTCGATAACCACTCTCAGTTGTTGGTTGTTGTGATTGTGCAACTTGAGGCATAACTTGTGATGATGCTTTACCAATTTGATAAATATCTTCATAGTCACCAAATGTTCTTCGATCATTACTCACACGATCGATTCTCGGTGGACCGTAAGTGTCAGGTGTTCGTCTTTCATTATTATAAGACATTGGAATTGTATTCGCAAGATATTTCTGTTGTTGTTGAAGTTGCTGTTGATGTAAAATCAATTTCTGCATGTATTGTTCCTGTTCTAATGCAGTTCGTTGATCACTTGGATATGGATATGTTGAAACGATTGGTGACTTAAGTGCACTCGGTGATTTATTCTGATCTAACCGCATTTGTTGCATTCTCATGTTAAGTGCCGGATCTGGTGTCTTCGTCATTGAACGATTGACGGGTTGCTTGTAACCATAAATTGGATCTTGTCGCATTCTCTGTCCGTAATGATCATTCGCATTTTCAGGCGATGGTGACGAGTAACCGCAGTCAGTAACACGTCGAGGCTTTGGTGGCGCATTAGCATAAAGTGGTTGATGTTGTTGTTGTCCACTGTTATCTGAAGCTGGTGTAACTGGAGCATTATTCATCTTACCTTGTTGTGATTGGAATGTGTGAATGCCTGAATCGCTGTTGTCACCAGCTGAAGCTCCCGATGGAATGAATGATGAAATACTCGGCTGTGATTCTGATTCACTTGAACCTTGCATCAATGCTGCCATCATCAATGCTTTGACCCATTGACCCATCGATTCGGGATTCTCTGCAGCCAACACGTAAGTTCTCATGTTTGTATGTTCACATTTAAAAGCATATTTTCGGTTCGCTTTGTCATCGGCAGTGCAAGCAGAAATTCGATATGATGGCAACAACACTGAACCCATGATTTTCTCTTCTTCAGGTCCTTTGTAATAAAACAGACAATATTCACTAAGAACAAACCACCGCTTCCGCCATACTTTCAACCCTTCTGATCCTTGCTTCCACAACCATCCCGAAAGTGCCACGGGAGCATTTGGATGACGTTTCGCTACTGGTGACTTTAAAGTGTGAACAGGTTCACTTTTCTTTCTCTCTAATGGATTATGTGATGGTGTTGATGGCGTGCTTGTTGATGTTGTACCAGGAGTTTCAGGTGACTTTGTTTTAATTCCAGATCCACTAATTTGTGTCTGCACGGCTTGATTTACAACTTGACCGGGAATGTTTTGTTGAATCATTGGAACTTCTGTCGGTGTTTGTTGTTGATTTTGCTGCTGTTGTTGTTGCTGTGCAATTTGTTTTTGCATTTGAATTTGCTGCTGATACATTTGCTGTTGTACAGCTTGAATTTGTCTTTGTTGCACCATTTGACGTTCATTCTGAAGCATCATGATCTGATGTTGTTGTAAAGGATTGTTGAGCTTCATTGGACCTTGCGCTGGTTGATATTGATTTGTAAGATTTAAACTTGACGGTGGTAATGTTCGATTGTTTTGAAGAAGATGTTGTGGCACATTATTGATTGATGACATGTTTGACATTGACGATGTTTGACTTTGAATTTGATAAGTTGGGACTGGAGGATTTAATTGCTGTCGCAATGCGAACGTCTGTTGTTGATGCATCAAAGCTTCATTTTGTGTTCGCATTTGAACGTCGCGTTTCTCTTGTTCTAAAGCTTGAAATTGTTGTTGCAGTCGAGCGCTGTTTGCATGAACATGTTGATGAACACCAGGAAATTGTCCACGAGATTGATGATGATAAATCTTCTCGGGATGATTTGTACTTTGATAAATCTGATCATGATATCCTAGTTGAGAATTCGGTTGATGTTGTTGCGGAAATGTTCCTTTCGTATGTAACTGTTGTTGTTGCTGAACATCCTGAGGATTATTTGTCATGTTAATATGTGCAAAGTTTGACGCCAATGATTGATATTGAGGATAGTTTTGGAAGACCGGGGATCTAGACGGACGGAAGTCGCCATGCTGAAAAGTTGGTGGTTTTGTTTGTGGCATCGGCGCAAGATGAGAATTTGCTTGTTGAAGCGCTTGAAGCTTCTTGCTATCCATACCAGCGAATTGTGGATCGATCCTATTTTGAAGAAAGAGAAAGTTTTATGAAAATTTATTGATCGTTGAATATGGGAAAAAGCTTTCAATAAAATAGAAACAAAACGAACGAAAACTGAAGAGCAGCGGTTTATACACGAATTGCTATCGGATGCGTTATAAAGTTTGATTAGTCTTACCAATCCCATAGTTGCCACAAACATGATGTAAACATGATGTCAAACGGTAAATAATCAACTTCACCTCCCGAATAATCTTCTTGCGTTGCGGCGGGTTTAGTTAAAAAAACCTCGTGAAACAACACCGAAAATTGTCTTTGGATTTATTTAATAACTTTCTTGTCTTTCTCTTTCCTCTTTGCGCGTTAGATTTCACTAATCCCAGAGAATTTACATAAAAAATATTTGTATTTCATCCATCTTGTGGCTGTTTCTTTTATTTTCTTCTTCACTTTGTTCGCTTTTAACGTCTTCGTCTAATTGAACATGGTTTTTATGTTGATTTTTTAAAGCAAAAATTCCATTGTCATTCACTCAGTAATAATAACGACTTTTTTGTGTCACTTCTGCGAAATGTAAGCAAAGAATTTATGTCTGAAAATATTTCTCTTCGAATTCCATCATTTTTTTCTCTTTTATTTTGTCATCAGTAAACAACAGTTCGACTTGACTTCAGCTTGGAAACGAGTTGAGTAAATAAAGTTATTTCGCGAAATGTGAAATGTTCGACAACAATGTTAGATGTTCCGTTAGAATCTAAATGAATAAATTTATGGACATATAAAAATCTATAAACTTCTGCTCAATCTCACAATACTAATAATCACATCAAAGGCTTCCATTTGAAACAAATATTTATCGGCAAGTACATTTTCATGTTACTCCACCCACCCAGTTTATGTCGTCAGAAAGGAAAATTGTTGTTGTGACATTTGAGAGTTGTAAAAATTTTTCCGGCATTGAGAATACTTAAAAGCGAATTTTTTTTACGGCTTTTCCTTCTCACGAGAAAAGCTTTTCATCATCAAAGCCATCAACCTTTCGAGGTTTTACATAGAGGTGCGGAAAATCAGACGTGTTGTGTTTAGATATCATTTAGTAACAGATCTTATTTCTCATTCTGTCTACGATTTTCATTGAAATTTTATTTTTGGCAAATTTGCGTGGGTGTGAAAGCAAAAACATGTCGTTAATTTCACTCAAATAAATCAAATGCAATAAAATTTGAAGCTTAAAGTGTCAGTCTGGCAATTGATTCTGTCTTTTTATCATCATTTTTCATTTATTAAATGTCAATAAACTTAAACATATGAAGAATGAAAAGCAAGAAAATCACGCTCGAATAAATATTCATTACGCTAACAACATCGCCCTTTAATCATATTGATGTCGTTCGTTTTCATTTTTGTCGTGATTCATCTTCGATTCGAAAGCAAAGGCATTTAAATTTATGTGTATTTATGCTTGCTTCGAAATTCGAAGCAATGCGTCATCAAAGAAGGCACAAAAAGAGAAGAATGATACATTATTCAAACAGTTCACGTGCTGCCGTTTCGTTCGCTTTGCCTTATAATATCTGAATGATTCCGGAATACTAAAATCAATAGATGTGGTTTGCCATTGATACGCTGGAGTCGAAAACAATTTCTCTAGAGCACTGCTTCAGAGGAAATTTACGATATTTCAAGCTTTCATACCAGCATAATACAAAAAGTCATTTGAATGGTGACAAGAAGAAGTAAACAAGAATTCTAACGAATTCATCTTTAATGATGACTTCTGCTGATTATGTTTATGTCACTAATGATGGAAAAGATGAAAGAAAATGAACATAACAAGTGAGAAATCAAAAAACATCTCAAGGCGTACAATGATTGTTGGGAAATCAACAACAAATGAAACAGTCAGAGACACTGTTCGTATTGAAAAGGAAACTTTGCTTGAATGCGTCATAATTAGATAACGTGATGGTTGGTTGCCATCAAAACTTTTATTTCCATCACAATATTATTATTCTGATCGGGTACAAACTTTGGACGTTTTCGTATTTTACGTTTTCCTAAAATTCCTTCGTTATTTTTTCTTTCATTAAATGACTTTCGATATTTATTTAAGCAATTTCATTTGCTGACAAGTGAATATCTGTTTGGTTTATTTTGAAAAGGATTCTTGCAGACTCACATCGACAGATTTGTGAAAAAAGAAAAGAAATTTGCTGACATGCAATGTTTTATTGTTTTGTCACTTAAGGAACTTTCAATCAAAACCAAAAGCTTCATTCAATCAATCATTTGGTTTTACAGATCCTTAAAAAGCTTCAATCAAAATCGAAGAAAGAAATTTGCAGAATTCTTGTAGAAATTTCAAATCTTTCATAACATCAAAAATCAACAATCAAATTGTTGTTTCTTTTGTTTCACTGATTTCATTTTAAATTGACTTAATCATGTAAAATATTTCTTGCGAAAACTTCAACCTTCCAAGCCAACGAGTTAGAAGAAAGATTTAATCAATTTTTAATCGAGCAAACAGCGCTAAAGAATTCAATTTTCAACGTAGCAAAAATGTTAGAAAATGGAAAACTTCTTCAAATCTCCACGGGATTTTCTCATCTCTTTTAAAGAACTTTCAAATAAGCAATTTACAGGATTCGGTGTTGATAAACTCAGCTTTAAAACGAGGTAAGAGAAAAGTACAATTTTAGAAGTGAAATCAGAACGTGAAATATTTTGAAACTTCATCACATATTCATGTAACAAGAATGAAATTTTTCTCAGCTTTAATGTCTCGATTTAAACATTTTTATTCATCTCAGGCTTCATTCATACTCCATTATAATTCGCCTTAAGCATCGTAGTCACTTTCACACTTCACGTCATCTGTAAAATACTTGTTAGTTACTGCAACGAGAAATCCATTCAAGAATTCTTTTGTCTTGAACATAATTCATGTATTTATAGATTGCACATAGGAAGACACAAAATAAGTTTATAAATGAATGATTTGAAAGTACTTGAAAAGCGTTGAAAATTGTAAGCACTTCAAAAAAACATTCCAGATATGAATCTTGTCGGCATAAGTTTACATTCTATTCAAGCTTATAACATTGTTTGTTATCTAATTGTACGTACGATTCACAGAATGAATCTTCAATGACATAAACAACAAAAGAATCTTTTTCGAAATTAATTCAGACATGTTTTCACTGAAAAGCACATAGCAAATGATCAACATTGTTTCAAGTGAATAAAGCTCACAATGAAAACACTTCAGTGCAAATCATCTTGTTAAGTTTGAGAGCTTTTTCATAAGTTGACATTATCACTGCACATGGCATTGACCAGAATATCTGACACAACTATAATCTTCCTAAATTTGATATTCATTGCCCATCGGTGCTATTGGAATTTATGTTTTATCATGATTCATGATGCCACCCTGAGAGCAAAACGCAATTAAGTTTCTCTTATGGAGACAAGCAATGTTCGTTCCTTTTCATGACCCATTCCGTCCTATATCCAAAGTTAATGGTGGCATGGCTCAATGAATAAATTTAATTTCGTCTCGTTTTTTTTTATTTTCATTGAATTTTCATTGCACAGAATTATTGCTTAATGCTCTCACTTTAAATTGTGTTGAGTTCAATAAACATGTTTAAATGCAAATTGCAATGATATCAATCACAATTTGGGATTTCGCTAATTAGTTTAGCAACATGTCAGTAATTAATTAATTGCGTTACATTTCATTTGATTTTTCTTTTGAATTCTTTTAAAGATTTTGCTTCGTTGTTTAAATTTTAAAGCTACAAGAAACATTTATAAGCATCGTATCGCTGTCATATCTTCTGTCGCATTTGTACGATTTCATACTCATAATGTTGAAACTCTTGAGATCCTTTTTATTACGATTGGTATCAACGTCAACTCGTTTAAATTTTTTTTCTCCTGATGGATGGAGACTGAACACCGATGATTCTGATATCAATTGTAACATGTTTTCGTATCATGACAAACTTTTCTGACAACATAAATTTAGGGTTGTTGTTAAGTTTCTCAGAGTCATTTCAACAAACATTAAATTAAAAGTGATTTAAGAGAAATTTCATTCTCATGATGGTTTGTAACTTAAATGAATCTCTTGTGTCGTTCTTTATTATTTGTTTTTTTAATTAACTTCACGAACGAATGAAATTATTTATTGAAATTATTACAATTTTTTGGCATCATTGAGACAATTTCATTTGAAAACTGCTCTGCAGTCATCTGCAATATGTTGACCCATTTCAATGGGATATCGACGTAGGTTTCTAGCGACGATTCAAGAATACGAATTGTATACAGAATTTTAATGACGCTTTAATCTTTAAGGAAGTCTTGAGGAGAATGACTGAAGCTTTTATTATCCTTCAAGAACAAATGTTCTGTTTTCATGCTTCGTTCGCTATATAAGTTGCCATTATTTATATTTTCTCTTCTGTCCTTTCCCTTGTCATTAATGATTCTTATTTGAAACTTTGTCATTCAATGATGAATTCAAAGAAGTCGACGAGATGAAAACTTTGTCAGGTGGAATGGGAATGTTGACTGAATACATTGCTAATTAAATGTGAACGTTACAATGCTTGTCCAAAGCTATAAATGTCGAGCTGAATAAATGTCAATGTACGAAGCAATTAAAGTTTTATGTTTTGGGAGAATGGCTGGCCAAATGCATTTCCAATCTGTTCATTTGAGTATCTCAATTTGCAACAATGTCGATACGTGAATTCGACGAGACTCGTAAATAAATTTTTTTCTTAAATTGAATTTTGAACAGGAAATTTATTCTGTCTTTTCAATTTCATGAAACTTCTCCATTGCTGCCAAGATTTTCGAAATTCTTCTCGTTTTTATCGTTACTTGAGTCACTTAAGATTGGTCATTAAGAGAGATAGAGATTTCTTATCTCCTGTGAAGTTGATTTCAACAACTTTATAGCATCAGCAAATGTTAGCAAACTTCGAAAAAGAATGAAAATGAAATTGAATAAAATTCTGAATCAGCAGGGGTTTCTCAAGACACTTTCTTTCCAACACATGTCGATATCTTCTACTGCGTCATTTTCTGTTTATAGCCAAGTATTAAGGAAGCCAGAACTTCCATTTAGCTGATGTTGGAGAATGTCATTTGAATTGAAAATTTTGCAGATAACTTTATGCCGGTGAATGTCATCAATAAATCATTTTGAGATTCATGTACATATCTTATGTTGTTTGCTTTTATTTCAGAGCCAATAAAACATTTTGTTTACATATCACAATTCACCCGAGACGTAAATGAACCTGATCGTTAAAACGCAATATGTTTAATGCTACAAATTATTGCATTTTTTTATCTGTTTTATGTTTCCTTCTTTTTTCCATATAAACCAGAAATGTTTCGTTCGTTATTTCTGTTCTACCGAAACATCGAGACTGTGTCGTTTAACGAATGCAAACATTGCATGCATGCACACACAAACCATCGTCTGCTTCTTTAATTTCTTTAACAACAGACCGAGTTTCCTAACACAAAATTGCTTCCTGTACAATTAGAAATTTTATCAACGAAAGTTTCGTCTTCAATTTTAACTCACCCAGAGGCGAACACTAAGAAAGGAGAACAAAACTCTGACGATAAAATAAATAATCATTTCATTACGATGAAAAATGATGGTTTCTGATAACAGAAGAAAAGTTCTCTCCTTTCTTTCATTTTTTTTGTTCGTTCTTAATCGTATGGATGGACGTGCTTTAGAGGGAAACAAAAGTTTTTTGGGATTATTTGATGCTTGGACGAAAGGTAATTTTATACCTTGTCAAATCACTGTTTGGTATTATCGGTTGACGCAACTTTAATGAAAGTTTGTCATAAAAAGTTGACCTTTAACATAAATAGGTAGATTTGCGTGAGACAAGAACAAATCAGAGTTTAATTTTCAGTTATCCATACATGTATCTTTGTCGAGTGGTCTTTATTAAATCAAAACCAGTAATTTACCATCACATCACATGAACATGAACATTATGTTGTTAAATTGAATTATTTTTGCTGTTGCGTTCTCAATGGTTCTTGTTTTTGTTTAGGGGCACGACAAGAATTCTTCATTTTAATGTTTGTCTTGTCGTTGTCATAAACTTTGTCTTTGCTGGCTGTTCTGTGGCTTATGTTATCCAAGATCACAACTTTAAAAAATAAAATAAATAAAACAGTCTCAATGGAACGCAGCCACACCTTGACTGATGTTAATGTTGAGACTCTTGAGCAATTATCGTCATCATATGAATTTTATCATGGCCATATTGTCAGCCATTTAATTTTTACAATTGACTTCAGAATTTATTGACTCATGACAACGACGGGGAAAATTGAAAGCGAATATTTGGGGAGAATTAACATTGTCGTCGTTGATTGTTCTGGTCGTATGATAATTGACTTTTTAAATAGACTAAATTCTTCATTGTCTTTTTTTTGCAGTTCAAAATTGCTGGTATTCATCCCACTACTTGATGAAGAGAATAAAGAGACGAGCGAAAACTGTTTTAGAATGTGAACGTAATTAAAATTCTGAATTTTCAATTTCCGTCACAATTTGTCGTCTCGAAATTTATGTTTGCAACAACAAGAATCGTGATCATGATTGAAATGTTATTTTGCGATAGATGTATGGTGGTTGAGCGAGGGAGGTGAACACTCCCTTCATTTCTTCTGTGTTTGTTTGTCAAATTCTATGAGTTTGCAGCAGATGTTGGAACAGTTTCATGCATAGCATATTTAACAATCGATTTTTTCTTTTTTCGAGAATGACGTTCGAGCTCAAAAAATCTCTATTTCAATGCTTCATGTTCTCTATTCATACACTTTTACTCTTATCTTAATCAAGAGAGATTTTCTAAAAATAATTTACCGTCGGGATGGAAACGTAAACGAAGTTCAATTAAAATTTCTTTCACCGCAGAAATATTTCATTAAAACTTTTAATGTTTTATTGATTGATGAACAGCGGCTTAAATAAATTAAAGTAAAGTTTATGTAGTAGCATCACCGTCAAAACTCTTCCAATTATCGTCGATAAATTTATAGGAAGAAAAAAGTAATTATTTTCATCTTTTGAAGGTTCGTCGTGTCCGTACGAGATATTTACTGTTGGATGATGAATAATTCATAACTCTCAATGCCCAATTTGATTTCCTAGGGCCCAAAACGAAATAAAAAAACAAATAAATTGATTTTAAAAGCAACAAGAAGAAGCTTCTTCATAGCAGTCAGCATAGAAAAATTAAATTACATTCATTCAGGTGGAAAATGGATTTTTTCTTTGTTTTAGAATCTCAAGCTACATTCCTTTTAAAAGGACAGACGTTGGATGGAAGGTTTGTTTATTTTATTGAAGGTTCTGTTAATATTCTCAAGCGATGTTTTGAATTCCATTTCGCTCTTCGTTATAATGAAAATGACGTGACCGTTTCTAGTAGCAAAATTGATTCATTTCCGTCGATGTTCCTTTCGTATGAGAACTTTTGTCGCTACCCTAAGGGACGTCCGTATGTTTATTTGACGATAATATTGTTCACATCTGCCCATACCAAACATAAATATTTTCATTGACCACCCACGCATATACAAAAGTTCTTATTTAATTACTTTTTTTCCTACAAGGTCATTTTTGTGTGTGATTTAATGAGAAATAAAAGAAGGAAAAAGAAAATAAATAAAACTTCCGATTGCATGACTATCACGCATTTTTTCCATCGCTTGAAATGCTTCGAAAGAGTCGGTAAACAAATTCTCGTTAATAGCTAGCTTAAATGCAATCAGCATTAGATTGATTAGTGCAACAGTAGTTGAGGCATTATGTTTGCAATGCAACTCGATTGCCTTTAATCAAAAATATCGAACGTTTCTGAACTGAATCCCATCAATTTGAATTCGATTATAATTTCTCTAGAGACAAAATGAACGTTAAAGGACGAAGAGAAAAAAGGTTTTCGTTGTTTCTATCATTTGGAAATTTGACTTCTCATGCACATAGAAGAAAGACTCAAAGGATTTTCAACTAATTGACAGTTTGACTGGTAGCAGTTATATTTTGGGAAAATAAATGATTTTTTTCCATCATAAATTATTCAAAAAAATGGTTGTTTGTGCACGAGTTCCGAGAGAAAGCAAACGATGTTAAAACTTTCGAGGACGACACGTGATTAATGATTCAAAAAAAAAGCTCATTTGTAAATACTTAATTCAGTGTTTTAGGAATTCTTTCACTTCAAACTTATTCCGCCTTTCAACCCATTAAGCTTCTTCATGTTAAATTCATAACTCAAAGCATTCTTGTCTTCTTTCTACATAGTTTGTTACTTTTTTCATAAATAATTTTTGTGAATACGCAATTATTAGTGCGTGCCTTCGTATGCAAATTGGATAGTTTATAATCCTTCCAGCCCTCTTATGCTAATACATTATCCATCGTGTACAAATGAATAAAAAGTTAATACGCCGAACATAAAAGAAAGCATTAAAGTTTTTTATTTCCTCCATAAATGAATGAATGAATGAATGAATGGAAAGAATGGAAGACGCCCGCATGTCTTCTTATCAATTTTTCGTTTTTTATTTCTCATATATCTCTGTCATGAATTTTTCTCTTTTCCCTTTAAATTGAATAGTATTTTTCAGAGATTAACCTATGAGAGTTTTGTTCGTGTCATCATTTATTTTGCGTCACTTCCGTCTGCTTTTTTAAACGCGACATGCAGAACTTGCCGACATTGCAGAAACCTACAAGCAAAACGACAATGATTTGATAATCTGCTTTAGGCGCTTTGCAACATTAAAAAGGCATGGAAAGAGAAAAGGAGAAACATAAATCGTGCATGAGGCTTTATGGTTTCACTAGATATTTAAGCCCGTTGCAAGGCTTACCTTAACTTTCATGCTTCATCATAAAGAAACGCGGTTGTTAACTTGGCACAAATGGGATGGAACTATAACGAAGGGTTGTTATGTTTTCTTTCAACCCTTTGTACTTTTATAGACACACTTTATAGTTGTAAAGGTTGACTGTATATATTCAAGCCATTTAAATATTCAAACAATTCGCTCGATATCTTGAGATGTTAAATGTCTTTTTAAGCAGATTTAAATCTAATTTAAAGTTCCTTAAAATAAAATGATTGAATTTTCTTAATGGAAAACTTACACTCGTCTTATAAAAGTTTAATGATTGAATTTGCCGTCAACACATGTTTTATTCTTTGCCTTGTTTTGTACATTTTTACTTATTCATCAAGGTTCTCATGAATTTTGAGTTGTCGTCAATATAAAGCTGTCACAAAAGACTTAACAAGAAAATACGATTTCATTTACTTAAAAGACGCTTTGGCATAAAACTGTTCATTGATAAGAAGCTTTCGAAGGTTTAAAACTAGAAAAAAAAGCGTTCAATGATGAACTTTTGATGTTGCTTTTAAGGAGGGCGAAATGAAGTGAAATGTATGAAAAACAGAAATAAATTAAATTCAAATGAAGTACGTAAGGAGAGACGGATAGGCCACTGAGTTCTCAATTGAATGGAAATTCTGAAAGTCATCATTAAACGATTCCCTTGACTAAGACTTTACGCCGCTTAGTACAAAATCAATATTTCGTATAAGTCCGGTTTTTGCTTCCCTTACAATTTTTGTTAATGTTCGTCACATTTCCTTTCTATTTTTATTTATTTTTATTATGGCGTTAACGCCCAGAAGTATCCTTCCCTGACCCACATAATAAATACGTTCACGACACCTTTCTTCAGTTGGGATTCGAATGATGTATGATGCAAAGCGAATCTAAGGAGAAAGACACGTTCAACTACGTTTCTCATTCCACAAAATAAATAGAAGGAAGAAATGTTGCTGACGACAACAATGTCTAGTTGCATGAACAAGAAGCTTTTAAATAAGGTCTTGATCGACAAAGAACATCCGATTTGAAAAGCATTGAAGGTGACGTAAGAAGAAGAGCGATAGAATCTTGAGATCCTTCACGAATAAATGAAAACTTAGCAGTCATCTTTGAAATTGACGTTCTTACGTGTATGAGAATGTAAATTGTTTGTAAAGTGGAAGTCAAGACCGGAACTGAAGCCCGACGGATGTTCTAGCTTTGAAGTTTTAGGCTATGGATCTTCGCCATAGGAACGATAAAAAATATGCGCATGATACTTCACCATGCCAAAGAATAAGAAAGTTTTCTTTTTTCTCCTTATTTTTTGCTCTTTCCGCCACCCACAAACGACACAAATAAGCCCAAACACAAATTCGGAAGGAAAAGAAAGAAAGTTTTCCGCTATATACTTTAATTTAATGAGAGAAAATTGGTCGTGTCGTGGGCGGCGAGCTTGGTATTATGCTCAACATTCGTGGATTTCAATGAAATTGATATTTATTTAATCGGCTGGATTTTAATGCAATTACGTACGCGAGACATTTATTCGTGCTGCTAAAGGACTCTGAGAAAAATGGAGACTTTCATTGAAGCACGATTTGGTGATATCGTGCATAAATGTAAATGAGAGAATGAAATAAACTTTAATATTTCATTGACAATGATGGTGACACTCCGTCAAAGCTTGTTATGTGTATCCTTTTCTTAGTAATTGAATTAGACATGGATACACCTGAATCATGAACGCTTGTGACTTTTACGTCGTTTGTTTAGTTATCCATAAAGTAATAAAAGACAATATAAGACATTAAATTGCTTTAAAGCATATCAACGGAGAAAATTCTCTTACATTTTATACATAAAACTTGTCAGTCTCATACAACAAATAATAACGAAAATGTGAGAATCATAAATTACATCAACATTTTTACGCGACACTACTTTCATCTCAAACTTTAAACATTTCGTAACTTATTGGACTCACGTTGTAAAATATAATTACAGACAATTACTCTCCAGGTACATGACCTGAATTTAAAAGAAATCACAACATAAACAATTTTCCATTCTGAGAATTAAAATTTTCACTACTTTTCAGAGACATAATTGCACACGAGATGATATCCATGTTTAACCACATAATGATGCATAGTTTTTAGCTTTTCAATTTGCCACATTTAATGCCCACAATTAAGTTGCACGTGAGAAAGTCTTCGCTACAAGTTTCTCTATTTTACAGCTATTAAATCATTATTTTCATCTTGTCGCACTTTAAGAAACATAAATTTTCTCCCTCATATTGATATCATTATTACTCTGTTCCACATTTTCCTTTCGCCTTCGTTTTTAATGCTATGAAATTCACATACAATTCCTTCGAACATTACAAAATAAACCAAGAAACGAAAGAGAATTCTTTCACGTCGCAGCAGTAAATAATTTTTTCTTCTTTCCTTTCTCCCCCTCGCTTTAAGGGTTGGAAATGAAATTTTTTGATGTTTCACTAAATTAATGTAGAAGCAAGCGAACATTTTATGAAATATTGACGATAACTTTGGCACAAAACCATTTTCATTCTTACACAATAATAAAGGAAACTCCTAGGAATAATTTAAAACATAAAAAACAGGAATCTTTAAAATTATTTTCTCTTGTTTTCCTTTTTTCCTTCCCGTTAATGCACGTAATACGAATTGACTGCGTACAATTGAAAATTCCGATAGAAACTGAGAGAACGAAAGAAAATGTCTGTGGAAAAGCGAGAAATTTCACTAACACAGTTGCATCGATGTTGCATTCTAGTACGTCATTCAAAGGAGGGGAAAACAACGAAATGAGAGGAGATGCGAGAGAGAGAGAGAAATGTGATTATCGATGCACGTTTCACGTTCAAAAGTCATAAAATCTTTACTAACTAGACCATCTACACGAGACTTTGAACTATTTACAATTCATTTCAATGATTGAATAAAATAGCAGTGGGCTAGAGATCTACGACTCCCCACCAATAGTTTTATGATCCGATTATTAGTAATTTAATTGTGAACATAAAAGTATCAAGTTTATGATCGTTAATGGGTTGATTTGTCAAGTGAACAACTCATCTGTGACGGTTATTGTTGTCAGCAGTTAAAACTGCTTCACGGTTTTTTATTTCAAAAATAGATTGAAATAAAATTTATGAAAGAAAGAACTATTAAGCAATGCCAATCATTTATTAACAAAAGTTCCCATTGAATGTGTAAACATGAATACAAGCCAATGGGGATTTTTCCTAGTAAACAAGTAGATAATTATTTAAAATCGTTAGCAGTTCCTGAACGAACCCCAACAGTGTAAAAATGATTCGGGAAGTGACTATGCATCTGTTTCCTGACTAAATAAAACACACGAGTGAGTGTCTGGGTTTTGTATTCTTTCAACTCTAACTAGTGCCGCCAATCAATGTCAAGCAATTAGAAAACAATATAATTTCAAATCGTGGCACTTTCCCTTGTTTTAATTTCTGACTTTCAGTGTTTTTGAATATCCATTGTGTATGTGATAAAAGAGAGTTGAAGGAAGGGAACTTTTGCCGTTATTTGATCTACAGCTGGTGATTTTTTTGTTTGTATTTCGTCTACCATTGCACATTATATTGTCTCGATATTTACGATCATAGCATTTCATCAATATTTCAAAATAAATCTTTGTTGCTTTTGCAAAAGAGAAAAAAGTTTGCGAAAATGTTGAGTAAGCGGAAATCGATGCTCACGATTTTTTATTTTCCTTTTTTAAAACAGCTCGAATGTCGCTAATGCCGTACATGATACTTTTAGATGGAGGAGAAAAGCAAAATGACAAATTTTTGCCGTCAAAAGCATGTTGGACGTGCTGCCGTTTGTCTGGCTTCGAATGTTATGTTGAGTCTTGCGCAGTTCAAATTTCTCTCAATGCGAGATTTCATTTCATTTCCAACAATGTTTCTGTGCGAAATATAAAAAGAATTAAATCTCCGAATTGTGAAGAATTTCAATATTTTGTCACGGTTTATGATTCGTTTTCGATATTTTCGAGAATGCTTTTCGTATCGGTCTCTTTTAATAGTTATTAGCGTTATAAAAAATCTCAAATCAATCACAGAGAAATCGAATTGATTTAATTACATTTTCTAATTGATTAATGGGGTTTTATCGATTGGTAATCGGAACCATCTGTGGGCTCACTGAATCATCGTCAGAGCGTAGCGGAATCAAGTTTTTCTGCCATCCGCTAGCGGTTCATCTCATCTCTCAAAACAGAAACAAAATACCATCGATATTTCATGCCTTAATGCGCAATCATAATTTTATTTTCATCGAGTCTTGGGAACAGAGGCAAGAGCACTAAATTAGACGAAGATGATGAATCACGATGAGAGTTCTACGTGCTTACGGTACCTTGACGCTGTCTATTTTAATTCGATTTGTTTTCCAAATTCAGAATTCACAGAAAGAAATCACGAAATGAAAATCCTCGCTACAGGCAATGGTTTAAAAAAAGCAAAGTATAAAATTAATTATTAATTGCTTCGATCTTTCGAAACACGCTCGTCTCAAGTCTCAACGACCTAGAGAAAGTTTTTTTTCGTGGGAGACAATCGTCAAACTTTTCCTAATTTTCTGTTCTTCTCATTCCATCGATTTTAGAAGGAGTGTAGAATTAGTCGCTTTCTTTTCCTTAAAACAGTTCCTAAGGAAACGAATTTCCTTTTTTGTTTTTCTTTGAAGCGAGTTCATTGCGCACTTGCTATGAGAATATCAGCGCTCATTTCCCCTCGAAAGCAAAACAGAATTTTTAGTGAAGATTAAGAAGAAAAACCATGCGATAAGAACATGGATTTGTTTGCAAAAAATTCACGTAAGCAGTCGCTTAAAGCGTACCGTAAATGTCATAAAAACTCAATTTTATCCGTGTTATCTCGTATGCACGGCTGTCGGGGATTTCTTATCTCATTTTCCAGCATCGCAGCTTTCCCTTCCAAAGGTTAAAAAAGAAAGAACAAAAAAACAAAAAAACTTCTTTTAACCAGCCTTGATAGGATTAGTTTTTGTTAGTCAATTTAGTTAAGGTTCTAATAAAATTCCTGAACCTTATGCTTATGCACACATTCACCACTCTGACATACATATATGTAGATATATTTCTATTTACCCAAGCAATAACATTTTTCGCCCATGTAAATTTTCTATCTTCTGTGTACATATTTTTCAGTGGATTTTACACAAATTTATGCTGATAGGGAAGTGGAGAAAAAGAGCTTGTTGGAATTGCCGGACTTTAAACCTTTTTTCTTCTTCTCTCGAAAGATTCACATGAATCACTATAGGCTACAAGCATAAACTTCTTTAAAGGTGTTGATAAAATGCTGGTATTAATAAACATTCTTCTTTGGAAAAGGCTCAAAGGATTTTATGACAAAAGAAAGTTGAATAAAAGATTTGATATTGAAAACAATCTGAATTATGAATGAATTTCTCATGAATAAATACTTCGTGAATGAAGGAGAAGTTTAATGAAAGCATTCGTAATCGTCATGAGATTCTTAATGGATCTCTCAACAATTTAATTGTCAAATCAAAACTTTTATCTTAGGAATTATCTCAATCACAACTGTTACTGAAATGCAGCATGAAAACTTGATGTAATGTTTACATTATTTCTCTTATTGTTATCTCAAGTCATTCATTTACAAAAACTACTCATTCGTGTATATTTCTACCCTATTGATTGTGCCATTGTTGTTCATTTCAACCACAAATTGGTGATTTCCTTGTTTGGTCTAAGCCATCGTCTTCATTCTTCTCTGTGATTGTTCCATTCATTTGGCTCAGATTAAGCGGGAAAATTTCCATTCAATTTAGCATCCAACAGTGTTTTCTACATCATGTCTTTATTATCTATCTTCATGTAGCAACTGAAGCTTAGTCAAAGGCTTTGCATTGATTCAAGTGGCAAGTTTATTGCCAGAAACGAAATAATATCTTGAATTGCAAAATTAAATTCAATTCATCGAGATTGAACCGAAGTATGGATTTTAATTTAATGGAAGATTTAATGCGATCATCGAATTAAATTTTTCACCTTAAGTGTCAATGAAAGCAATTTCTTTTCCATCTAGAATGTTACGGTAAAATATTCTCAGTTGAGTGTGCTTCAGTGGTTTTCCACATCGAACGAAGATGAAAACTTACTGAAGTCAAAATCGATAGCTTGAAAAATTCTTTATTTGTTTATGCAACTATGAACGTTCTAATTCAATTCCTTCGTTCACCGTTTTAAACAACATCGATAATTATTTTCTGCACGTTCCGATTCCGCACAAGAATGAAATCTTGCTGTGGCTTTAATTGAAACAGCAACCACCGAAACAGAAAATCGAAGAATTGTTCTATTGTCTCAGTGTCGACAGAAAACCAAAGCCATAATTGGTAATAATAGTTTCGGATAACAAATTGCTGTTTCAAACATGAAATAATCGTGAAATGAAATTTCTACGTCTACAACGAATAAATCTCTTAACCGTGAAAAATGTGATTACTTTTATCTTCCTCCCTTCTTATTCCTGTAATATTCTCTTCTTACAAAGCATTCTACTGAAACAAAAATCAATAATTACCAGTTCTATATCTTATTCTTGCTGATTCATCTCGTATTTGAGAATAAATAAATGTGTGGCCAAGTCAAGAAGAAAATCAGGTTTCGCACAACTCAACATTCGAAAGAGTTCAAACGTTATAGTGGAGAAATTATTTTCATTATTTTGACTTCCAAGATCATATCAAGTGGAAATGGGTCATGATCCAGATACTCATAACATATTTATACATAGTTCTACTTTATGTTTATATATTTTTTGTATGTGATAAAGAAAATGGATTAAATTGATGCTGAGGGGGGTCTCGAAGCAATTTGCTTTTGCAGATTGCTTCTTTACCTAGCACAACACTTCGTAGTTGGCAAATTTATGTTCCAAAAATGACAACGCAGTTTTATTTGTAGTTTTCGAGTATATTCTTGTTGGCAATGATTCAAATCCCAAAACTTCGTAACAGTTCCGATGTTTTGGCTTTCTGTGGAAAACTAGACGACGATGTCGCCACCAAATTCGTTTCTCGCATATTCATCTTGCTGTGTTTTCATCACTGATTACGATAACATGTAAATATGTATCTAGATGAGAGCTTTAGCAATGACAACTCTATAAATCTTTATCACAGAAGTGACAACTGGAAGTGATGGCATGAAAAGGAAAATTAAATCTCATGTGTAGTATTGCGAAAGAATTAGAAAAAAAAAAACAAAAGTAAAGAAGTAAAAGTTTTAATTTTTTGTTATTTTAAGAGATAAATTAATGCGGTTTTCATTTTCAAATAAATTCATTTCTTACACCCTTTTCACGTTATGTGGGAGGCGGTGGAGGAAAAGATTTAATTTCTAAGACAACCTCAAACCTCCCACACATTTGAATACAAAAGCGAAAACAAGAATTTTCCTGAGCATAGCAACTTGTCACGATATCAAATTCTCGATGAAGGAAAAATGTGGAAAAAAATGCCACAAAATTTAAAGAATTATTATAAATTTCTTCCCCTCACACGAGTTAAGATGCTCGAATGATTTCCGCTTGACGCTCAGCTAAGAAAGTTTCAACTCCGTTGAATCGGTTTTGGGTGAAAGAATTTTATTATTATGCAAAAAGAATCTTTGGTTTCGCATGATGAGAATTAAATGTTAATTTTTCTTAAGAAAACTTTTACAATTGTGTGGGTTGTTTAATGCTAACAGCATGATCATAAAATTAAATATTTAATGCAATTTTTTTGAGTGTTTTAAAATCAAGAACGATGATTTAGAGAGTACATGAAGTTCTTGTTAAGTCACGAATTTATCATCGCATTAAAATATTATTTAAATTCATGACTAAAATACCAGGAAAAATGGCTCAACATAATGAACAAGTAAACGAACTCTCGTCTCACCATTCGAATGAAGGAAAACATTTATGAATTAATCGAATTAATGTTCAACGAAATACTTCGCTTTTTAATATTCTTGAAAGCTCTTAAAATGAACAAAACAAAATTTATACGTGCGATGACTAAAGTCGCATTGGATTATTTAGGTGAATAATGGCAAACGCGATGGCATTTTTATTCAAAAAGAAAAACTGCCCTTTGTCAGGAATTTAAGTATACGAACCTCTTTGTCGCCGTGACTGCGAGAAAAGATTCCGATTAATTCTTTTTCTCCACAGAAGAATTTCATGAGTGAATTTTTTTGTTCAACTTCAAGTATTTTTGTTCTTTTTTTGAGAATTATTCGCGTTGATGTTGATGACAAACGGTAGAGATAATAAAACAACACATTTGTGTTTGAGACAACTTTTGTATGTTCCTGAGATTGACGACATACACAACGAGACGTTTTATCGTATGAATTTTCAAGAACCTTGTCATTACAAACTTTTTTATCCTTTCTTGTGAAACGAGGCAAGCAAAATTATTTCCATTCTGTAAAGGGAGAAATTCGAGACTAATTTCAAGTCGTTTGGGTTGGCCACGACATGAGAAAGTTTCACAACGTTCTGTATTGAAAAAAAAATAAGAACTTAGGTAAGTATGCATGTTGAACCTTTTACAGAAACACATTCACGAAAGTTATTTCTTGATGGAAAAAGCTCTTTTTTATTGCTGGGACCAAGCGACCGAACAATTGAAGATTTTGTCATCAAAATGACTATCAACAACAAGAAGGAACTAAAATTGGTTAAAAATGAAATTCGGATTTATTGGGGCATTAAATGGTCATTGTATCGACGACCAACGATCGAAGTAAAAGCCCCCAAATGACAAAAAACCTCTTACAATTAAAGGTTCACAATGGGATTACATGTTCATGCTTTTTGTGATTCGAAGAAGTTTCACAATCGAATCATACGAATGAGAAGGAAAAAATGTTGACGAGCGAGATTAAAGTGATTCGGGATTGTGTTTAATTTTGCGCTTCAACGATCACAACTTATTATTGTTGGTGGTGTCGGTTGCTTATAAAGAATGGGCAAAAAATAAAACCCGAATTAAAACGGTAAACACAAGAGCAGAAGATAATTCGATTTATATCCATGAAATGTCGTTTTTCTTATCGTTCGATGATTTCTAATGTCAAGAAATTTGAACCAAATTTTCGTCTTTTAACAAAAGTTTCTGAACATCAAAGTCGTAAGTAATTTTGAGATGAGAAGCGAGAACAATGAGCGATAATTTGAGAATTAATGATGTTACTTAAAAGATCATTAGTCTGTTTAAGATTCAATCTGTTAGTTGTTAATTTGATCGACGAACTTTCTTCCATCTGCATTCATCATAACTTCATCAAAATCAGCTCTAATTTTGATTTGAAAATAAATTCTTTTAATGTTGTTCAATGAGCCAGAACTGTGAAAACTCACGAGACAAACGTGCGCGATATTTTTTCATTTTTTTAATTTTGATTTCCTGCTTTTATGTTTCTCTGTCGTCAGAGTTTATTCAACCTTCAATTTTATGCTTTTTTGATCCGAGATGCAACAAACAAATCACAATAGAAAAAAATTAAGAGAATAAGAAGCATTAACAGTGAAATCAAATCTGTTATGATGATTCCTTAACGCAACAAAGCCCACTGGAAGTCATTGTTGGTTGTTTATGTAATAAATCACTTCAGTATTGCTTTCATTGAATAGGAAGTGAGAGCAAGCAATCGCATGCCTACGAGATAGAATTTCTAAGTGTCATATGTCTCTTGGATTATCTATCTATTCAAGACTTTATAAAACATCACCAAACACCCATAAAATTTCTCCACGCTTCTTGTTGGATACTTGAATGCGGGAAGAATGCGATAAAATAAAGTAAAAAAATAGTTTGATGTTGATTGCTGAGCTCTCGAACATTCGAATCAACAACACAACTCAAAGCGATAGAAAAAAGTTTAATGTCAACTAAATTATTTAATGGCGAATAAAATTTTATGTTGAAGCCAATAATTCCATCAGTGTCGGTAATTTCATTCATTGAAACGTTTAAACATTTCGCAGCTTTTAACTCTGATCATCATCATCAACGTTCGGACACATTAAGCTTACTGTTCAGATAGAAAGAACTTGAAGTTTATGACTATTAATAAAAATGATAGGATGGAAAGTTTTCTTAATCAGATTTATGATGCCCGCAGACGGAAAGACAAAAGATCTAGAAATAATTCAATTTAATATGCTTTCATCAGTTAATCTCATCAATTTTCTGCCTTTTTTTCTTGCTGAAAAAGTAAGAATCAGTCTTTTAATTGCTAAACTGTTTTTTCTGTTCTGTGTGATGTTCGTCAGAAGACAGCAGAAGTTTGATAGAAGCTTGTTTGAAAACTTGTGAATTTATGAATAGATTCGTTCATTATGAAACGTCATGAGAATCTTTTCAGAAGCCGTTAAGCGCTTTCATCCGTACTCATTTTCATGGCAATTGAAGCTGGCGAACTGAAGGAAATTCACTAACAATGAAAATTGATTGAAACTTTTTCTTATTATTTCCTTACTTTTATTTTTTTGGGAGGGAAAAGAAGTTTTTAAACGGAAATTTATTTGCCATATTAAAAATATTTTCTCTTTCACATGTGTAGCAATTACTGAGCGCTCCTCTCTGCCTTCTTTAAACTTTAAACCTCAAATCACTTTCAGAATTGAAGAGATCAATGAACTGAGAAATTGCATTTTTGTCTTGTAAGTTGTAAGTTGCAAGTGTGTTGAGTGCAGTGCCTTTGCCACGTCATTACTGTGTTGACCATTTAATGTAAGTTTGCAACAGTAAGAACTTCAAGTTTTTCAAGAAGTTATGTAGGTTGAGAGTAAACAATGAATATGATTGCCTCAAGTGATGACAATATGTACACAGAATGAAAATATTTCACATATCTCCAAGCAGAAAATTTGCTATTTATGTCCCAAAGCCATTTGAATTATCTAAAGGTTTCATTTTATGTCTGTCGTTTTTCATTCAATCTTGACATGATTTGTCGTTGTTATTATTTCATTTTATGTAGGTTTTTCTCCACTTCACCTGTACGGAATCTTTAGAAATTTGTGAAATGAAATTGTAATAAATGGAAGGCACGAAAATGGATTGTAAACAGAAAAACCGATGAAGAAGAGAAAGTGCATCAATGGTAATATAAAAAGGCAAGCACAGACGACATGGAAACAAAATAATCAACCTGTTACATGCTGAACGTGGCAGAAATGACTTAAAAGAACATTTTGCTATCAACAATGAACTGGATTCCAGTTTTATTTCTTTTATTCATCGAAAGACAAAACAGATACAACGAGAAACATTTGATTGTGTTACCTTTTTATAAAAATAGCTTCGCATCGATTCCAATTGAGATGTTTAACAGATATTGCATTATTTTTTGATAAAAAGAAATTTAATCTTCTGAAACTTTATGAATTGGTAATGTAAGTAACATAGCAACAATATTTCTGATGAATGATGAAAGACGAATCTAAAAATAAACTGACATTGCTTTTTTGTAATAATTAATGAAGCAGCTGAAAAATTGTTCCCGACCTGTTCGTTTCTTTTTCTTTCTTCGTTTTCTCTCAATTGAATTTCAAAAAAACGACAATCATCTTTCGACTACTGAGTAACGAAGACAACAAATGATTCACAGTAAGCCGGGGAATGTCCATCATCTTAAGTAATTAAAGGAAAACATTCAATTTTCGCCTCCACTTAAAAATCAAATGACAATCGTGAATTGTGTCTCCAGCATACCATTGTTGAGTTATCTACTTAAAAATATTTATTTTTCCAAGAAATCACCAAAGCACGTCGCTCGTTTGAAGAATTTAAGAATAAACAAAACGCTTGTGACTCAACATTGACTGTTGGAAACTTGAAATTCCATTCGAATGGAGTTTTGGTTAGCCAGCAAAGAAAGAAAGAAATTTAAAGCCATTTCTCAACAATTCGCCGTGAGTGACTCATATTTTCTTCTCTTTAATTCAATGTTCGAAATGTCGAGACTTGAAGTGTGTTTCTTATTTCTTTCCAGTGAAACCAGCTTACTTACTTACATGCTACAATGCAGTAGATTGGAGTAACAAATAAAACTGCAATTGTCCAATTTCTTTGCTGTTTTCGATTATCACTTCAAAGCTTTTTCCTTTTCTCTTTACTTAAAACAACAAATGTTGCTTGATTATAGGTTGAGAGTAAATAAATAAAAGAAAATAAATCACAACAGTAAATGCAGCATGGAGTGAAAATTATCATATGTGACTGACTATTCGTGTCTTCTTTTTAAAGCATAATTCAATGAATTGCTTCGGATGTGAAATGGAAACCTTCAATTGGAGGTATGAATGGCACTGAAGATATTTTTCCATTTTGTAATCAATAGGAGGGAGAAAAAACTGGTATTTAACTACTAGAAATTGTCGGTCTTGTGTTTCTCGAAATGTACGGCAATTAATTGCAAAAATAACTTTCTTGTCTTCAATCAAAAAACTGGATTTAACTTATACTTGTAGAAAAGAGTTTATGTTTGCACAAATTTCCTGATTTATTGAGATGAACTTTGAACCTTCGTTGATGTGATTAACGTAGGTAGAGATATGCATGATGTAATTTTAAATCATTTTAAAAGTTTTACCTGTCAAGAATTGTTCAAATTCAACCTTCGATAATTCATTAAAAGTTAAACGTTTGAAACCTTGTCAGTCTGAGAACCGATAAAGAATCTTCACGACTCATAAACACAATTTAAAAGCAACTTCCACGTTATTCTTTTAGCATAACCAGAAGTGAAACATAAAAATTATGATAAATTAAAATAAACTCATTTACTCAGAAAAATGTATAAAAGCCCATAAAGAAAACTTCGAAGAAACTACAAAACAAACAACGTTTGTTCCCATAATAAACTTTATTGCATAAAAATGCAATTTGAAGCAAGAAACACCCAAGAATGAGTTGCGGATCTGTAGCATGTTTTGTTGCAATTGAAAAGTTTTTATTCGCTTTATAAAAATATTGCAAACAACCATTAACGCAACTTTTCTCATGAACACTTAGGAAAAACATTTTCCTTATCATGAGGTTCGAATTTGTTATAAAATTGTGTCGTTTAATGTCTGCCAATACGAGTAAGGAGAACAAGAAAAAGTTGACTTCTAAAAAATTCGTTGAAAATAAAATTGTAACAAGCAACATTCGTGGCCTTGTTTACCCGATAACATTCTGCAGTCTCGCCTTGTTAAAGTTTAGTTTACTCTTCGTTTGTTCGTTCGTTTCGTTCGTTAGAAGCCTGCTATGAAATTAAATTAAAACGAGAAGAAAACTGCACTTACGTCTACACAATTTAGTTTCCTAGTTTATAATAATTGCAATCATTGTTTGAACGTTGTTAAGCATTTGCTGCAATGCATTTTTTCCACGTCTTTTCCTTGTGCATCTGAAAAATAAGAATTGAAAAAGAAAATCAACAATTTAGCTTTCATTATCTTAGGAAACAATGATAAAGACAACAAAATTCAGAGATAGAAAGATAAATGAATGCTTTTAACATGAAACTACTTCAACAATAATGAATGAGAAAAATGTGCCAAAATAAACTTTCTCAACATTTCAAACTTTATATAATTGAGCATTCTCAATTTCTCTACATTTCTTCTCGGAATTTGAATTGTTTGTGAATCATAATATTAATTTATTTTCAATATTTTATGTTTTCAGCTGTCTCGAGTTGAAAAGCTGCAAGATTAAATCATCCCGACACATGAAACACTTTTAAATAAGATGTAAACATCAACATCGACCTAGTCACCCTTTGAATAAGAAGTTTTGTTTTCCACTAATCGAAATTGAAAGTAAAACATCTCTCGCGCCTCCAGACAATGAAAACACCGATCTAACTGTTGAAATCACTTGGGAACTTAAAAAGCGATACAAAAATATCTCGACGATGAATGGAAAGCATAGAAAAATCGATTAAAAACTTTTTCATCGGTTTCTACTTTATTCAAATTTGTATTTTTCTTTTTCTCTCCATCTTTGCAAACATATTGAAGAGTGAGAAATGATAAATCAGTTTTCAAAGCTCTCCCTTGTGCAACGTCAAAGTCATGAAATATGTTCGATATGTTTTCAACTAAACTAAAAGTTCAACATCTCAAAAAAATGTTTTTCTACTTGATGGAGAAACTTTCAATCGTTTGCGCTGAGTCATTTGGCAAAAAGCATTGGGTGAGTACTTCAAAGGTCATTAATATCATCGACGGTGATTAATTACCGACTAAATTAGGCTTCATTGCGAACCCGCATGTTGCCTCATTAAATACCAATCAAGTGAGTGACTCTTTCTCCTGATGCAAAGTTCAATTAATTAGCAAGAAGGCGGAAGGAAGCGAAAATTATCAGTTCATTTAATGATCAAATATTTATGCATTCATGAGAGTTCTTAGTTATTGATTGAAGGGTTATCTATCGTAGTCATAAAAGATTTTCCTTGTTACATTCTTTTTTCTGTAAGCAGTTCAAGAATCAAAAGTCGTGTCGCTATTTATGGTATGTTGTGAGATGGTTAAGGTGTGTTACTAGACAGTTTCTTTTACATACTAATTCATCATGAAGGTAAGTTGACGGTCTGTAGCGTATCAACGTGAATGTTTTGTTGAGGGCTTGGAGATTTAACAGATTTTTTATATGTGTAAAATATTTATTTATGCTGCCATGATATTGCGAGACATGAATTATTTATGATTTGAAACGTTAAATGGGTAGAAAATTGTTGAAGCATTTTGTTTGTTGTCGTTGTTTATGTCGAGAAGAAGAGAAGCTCAAAAGAGGTAATCAAAGGTGCTTAAAATTTTATCATTTCCACAAAATTTCCGGTCCAATCTCAGAGTTTGTAACATTCATAAATGACCTACAATCTAAATACAAATGACTGAGTTCTATCAATCGTTGCTAAATAGGTGTGATTCAGGTTTGGTGATGGTAACTGTTGTAACAATGAAACTGATTACGGACATTAACCACATTACTCTAATGAAGAGATTATTGAGAATCTCAACCGCATGCTCTTGACCTAACTTTATTTCTGATTTTCTCTTCCTGACAATTTAATTTTATTCATCGGTTTGGAAGCCAAAATGGTCAGTGAAATTGTTAATCGTCGCCTTTGCAAAAGTTTCCATAAAAGACTTTCATTACCTTCCCACGACACTTGTCCATTGTTCCGAATATGTAAACAAAGAAAGTGACATCGTCACTCACCAGAAGAATTTATTGCTTGAAATTAAAAGTTTATTTCTTCCAAAAAGTTCATCGTCAATGTTAACAAGCAACGTGCTAAGTCAACAACTGAAGAAACGTTCCATATATTGATATCTTTACCATTAATAATATTTACGCGAAACGTTTTTTGATTATAAATTTGAAAACAAACATAAAACTGAAACGATCCAAGCCAATTAATTGAGATATAAATTTTGCCACCCACACATTCACTTCACTTTAGGAATTCTTGTTGTGAGATGAAAACGCAGTCGTTGTTGTTTAGATTTTTTGTTTACATTTTGATTACTTTGAATCAGGGCTTTGAACATGTTTTAAGTCGTTTACAATTTCATTCAAATGCAACCACCTTCACCCATGCTCATCATGTGTTGACATAATTCTAATTAATAGAAACAGCTCTTAAGGAAACCGAAAGAGTATAATAAAAAATTTAGAGAGAAGAAAAGAAAAAAATTATCAAAACAGAAAATTTTATTTTTGGAAAACGAGATTTTCCCACGCGAATCTGAAATGAAAGTGCTTTGGGATTTCTCTCGTAAATATACAAAACTTCTTCTTGTTTATGTTTTCATAACGTCTGCATGCAAGTGAAAATTCAGGGGATTTAATTTTAGATTTGTGATGAGAAAAAGTAGCTTCATCGACAATTGACACAATTTCAGTTATTTGAAGCATAACAAAATTCAATGAACTTCCTTTCGGCATATAATGAAGGAGAATGTCGCTGAATTGAAACAAAAAGAAAACTGCGCACCTTTTTTAATGAATTTATTTTTTATTCCTTTTATTCATTGAATGAAAGTGAAGTTGAACATGAGAAAAGCTTGAAATGCTGCAAATGTCAGATGGAAAATTAAATTAATTTCACATCCTTTAAACATTATTTTATATATTTCTCAAGCTCATTTTATTGAAGTGCAAACTTCTTCATTGCACAAGCTGAATACTGTGAATAAACTTTTTCAGATTTTAGGAAGGAAGTGCCTTCGGGAAAAACTCATTAACAATTGACTGCATAAGTTTTCGACTCTTTCCTTTGCTTTCTGCGTTAAAGATACGTCAAATTAAATTATGATAATTTAAAAGTAACTTTTGTTAATTAGCGATTAAAATCTTTTCCCTTCCAGTGTTTGCATTTCATGGGTGAAGAAATTTTCCCACGAATTTTTGTAAGATTACGCTAAACATACACAAAATAAAATAAAAACTATTCCAACGATGGTCAATGAATGGCGAAGATTTTTCTTTTCTTAATTAATTATGTTGGCATACAGTTAATGTTCCATGGCGAATTATCAAGCGGGGCGTCTTTCTAATTCATGTTTTAAGTTGAGCTAAGCACTTGCTATATTTCTGAGACTTGACAGAATATCACGTGCCGTAATTTAAAACGAACTGATTTCATAAAAAGAATGGAAATAAAAAGATTTTCCTCGTCGCTTTGTGCGGCAAACTCTCCAACCTAAGCAATTTATTCAACCGAACCTAAAGGGTCAAAACGAGTCTTATGTCTTATCACAGGCGAGCATAATTGCCTCATTTACATCGGAAACCAGTTATCATCCAGCATAAAATTATACCGGTTTCAATTCTTTCCATTTCACTCACTCTTTCAGTCCCTCGCGCTATTCAACTTTAATGAGTTTTTCTTCCTCTACATCACCGAAGCATCTCTGAAATATTCATGAGATTATTTTTGGGATGATGTGATGCGTCTAACTAAGTTCTATCATTATAACACATGCATATGCTTGGAATTTATGACAACAATGTTTCGGTTTAATGGGACTGTTGGAAAAACAAAGATCGAGAGATGAAAATAAAAAAAGTTGTAGCTTTAGTAGAATCGAATTTAAGTTTCAATCGATTGGTAATAGAAACTGGAAGATAAATCTATCATGTGAAGACGACGAAAACATAACGTAAGATTGTATTAACTACTTTAATGGTGTATAACGTTTAATCATGCCATACGAAGTGTTGTTTAAACAAGTGGAAGTTGTAGAGTAGTAAAGAATCGTGTAGGCATCAAAATATGAATGAAAAATTGAATTCCATGAAAGTGAATTGTCAACATCGTCTTTTAGATCATCTTTAAACTTATTCCTTGCTTTATTTATAAATATCTTTTTACCATGTACAGAATATTTTGAAATGATCATCGCACAGATGTGAGAAGCGTGCGACTATCTTGTTTCCATCAACAAATATATTCCACGGGAGATTGAGCAATAAATTATTAATTCTAACTGTTCACGATTCTTTTTTTTTTATTTTCAGCTTGAAATGGAAAAATCGGTGGCAAAGTTATAGCAAAAATTATTTTTTGAAAGGTTTTTTTATATTATTTTCTGTAGATACATGTGATTATTTGAGAAACATTTATTACACGAAGTTCAATTATAATGAACCTGTAGCATGGTCGACGGTTGAGGAAACTGAATGGGAATAAATAAACATTTAACAACGTTCGATGAAGTTGCGCAAAAAAGATCTTGTGAGACTTAACAATGTCATGAGAATTGTGGAATTTAGCAACTTAATGAAAGCCTCGAAACTTGAAATCATTTATATGCAAATCAAGAATGTGAAGTTATTAATGGACTTGTGCAATGTTGCGATATATGAACAACTCACACAAATTGAGAAATATTAAATAAGCGATTTGAAAGTGCTAAAGCGAATAAGAAATTTGCGTCTTTTAATGACACAAATATTTAATCCTAAAACCAACTTCATCAATCATTTCCTTTCTTCAGTGCTCAGAGAGAGAAAATTCAGAGGAAATTTCAGTTCACGGTATAAAATAAGAAACAAAGCTTGGCTATTGTAGAACAATAATTTGCAAATAAAAAGAAACATTCGCAGACAAAATGAAAACAAAAACCGTTGTGGCATGTGAGGTTTTTCGTTATTTCAACCTCAATCGTTCTCTCGGAAAAATGAAAATCTCATGTTGACCCATCGAGATTACAAAACGAATGGGTTAATGGGAGTGCAGAATGTGCTCATTTCAACGTATTGAGATTAGCGAAATAAACGAGAGAAAAGAAATAGAATTGTTGGACAGGAGAATGCAACATTTTTATAAATTTAATCTCTTGGTATGCGCATTCCATTCCGCTTTTAATGCTTTTTAAGTTTCCTAATCATATTCAATAGAGATTTATTATTTACGAGAATAATCAAATGGATTTTAGAATTCAGAGGCTTCATCTTCCAATCAATCTTTAATCACTTCTCATAAAACCGAACATTAAGTGAAATTATTTTGAAAGAAATTATGAGAATGGAAGCATAAGAAAGAATGTTTTAATGTTGTGATAATGATTCTTTAATCTTTTGGGTTTTGTAATTAAAGTGATCATAAAATAACTTTTCGTCTTAATGGATAAATGCGTAACTTTGAACTTTTTAGTTATGGTTTTTAGGTTCATGATGATTTTATGTCTTATTAAATATTAAATCGAACAACTACACGTATGAGAATAAAAAACTTAGCCATGACTTGATCGTTTCCATCATAAATCTTTTTAAGTTTTAAAGTGAATTTAATATTCATCACGTTTCCAAAGTTTTTCTCATATTTTCATAGGTCGCAAGTGTTAACTATAAACAGTTCATGGTTGCAATAAGTATTAACTATGTCAACAATGCTCCTAAATCATAATACATAATTTTATTGCAGAATTTGTCGTACCCAGTTCAACATGAGAACAAAATCAAGGCGACACATTGACGGTTTAAAACCTTCTCGACTTAACTCAAATCTCATGTTTCAAATTCAGAAGCATACAAAAGTTTCCAACTTTTAATATGAAAGCAAATTCCAACATGAGAAAACATTTTTAATTTAAATTCTGCACCATGCAAGCTTTCAGCAACTGGAATGCAGTAATATGCTGTAAGACTTTCTTGTGGATAAATATTTTAGTAGTAAATAAAATTTGAAAGTTTATCGTTGAATGGAAAAACTTTTCAGTGGTTTAAGGATTGACCACAGAAAAAGGTTTTTAAACCGAGACAACTTTAAAGTTTCAACCCAACCACATTCAAACTGGGTGGGAAAATGAAAATACTCTCCGAAATTGATTTATTTTCTATTTAACAATAGTTTTCCGCATGATTATGTCGTTTCTTATTGTATGGCAAAAATAAATGAAACTTTAATTTTTTTTGGCTGCAATGGTTCATCAACTTTGTGGTTTATCCATCCAATTTATTCAAAGTGTTATGAAAACATTTCGACGGCTGAGTGCAACCATTTTCATTTTCAAATCTCAACAATATTTGCATTTGAATACTTCAAAATGTATTGAATAAAATTCATAATTACTTCACCACGACACATGTTCAAACACCCATCAAAAATGAAAAAAATTATTTTTGAAAAGGCTAAAACACAACTTTTGAAAGCATAGACAACTTGCTTCGCATTTACAAACATAGCCAATTCCATAAAAATGTATGTGACAACGATTATGATGCCATTCAAAACTGAAACCTTTTTTTTTTGTTTTAACATTTCAACTTCAGAGCATGAAAATTGAAAAGAAATCATCGAACGTGATAACATGTAACATGGGAGTGTCATGAAGACGCTTAAAAATGATTTGAATACAATGAACACTTAGTTATAATATGTTGCGTGATTGTTGTGAGACGACAGGCACACACATCATCATCAATTAAAGAAATCAGGTTTTTCAGATCTTTAATGCTTAACCGGTTAACTTAAGTTTTATGTTACTTATTACGACTAAAATTTATTGTTAGTTATGATCATGCATGCTTGCTTAAGGATTAGAATCAACATTCAGTTTTTTTGCGGTTTCAGCAAGTCTTTTAGTTGAAAATCCAATGCACCGACTGAAATATTAGACATGTTGCTGGTCTTCTGTTTTTCTTTCTCTCAAAGATTGAATTTCTTTGAAAAATGTTTACTCATGTTATCCTCTTCAATACAATTTATTCGATACACAATCCGGTTTTAAAATGACGCTCTTTTCTCCTGGTCGTTGCGGTTGTGCAACAAATTCAAACAACAAACAGGTGCCACATGCACGTTAGCACTAAAAACATACTTAAATATGCATGATTTTCCTTCTCGTTCCCTCTCTTTTATTGTTGACGTTTCTGGGTTGATATTTTAACGGGAAAGTTGATTTCTAATCATCCTAAATACGACACTGTTGCTGACTTATAAAATGTTTGTTATTCTTTTTTCACTGAGTTCTTTAATTCATTGGAATCAGATGTAACTTAAGAACAGAAGCGACGTCATGATGATACACTTAAACTTTTTAAAATGCATAAACTCTTTAAGAATTTTTCTCAATTCATCTACTCAACCTTATCTTACCCAAGAGTGTTAAAACGTGAAGCGACTAATTAGCTCATTAACATTAAACGAAAGCGTTTCTTGAAATACGAGAAGGAAAAAAAACTTCTTAACTGACAATATTTTTCACAGATTTATGTCACCATTTAGGTTTTTGTCGCGATCTACTTCACTTTTATGTTTCATGATAAAAGAAAAAAACGAAACCTTGGAGGGGGAGAGACGAAGAGAGAGAGTGAAAATGAATTCGATTCAAGTTGTAATTTCAAGCAAGCAATGACGAATTATGTAAATTTAATTAGCGTTTATATTCAAATTAAAAAAAGTTTCTTCAAGTACAAAATGTCATTTGGTTGTAAGTTTTGAATTCGTTAGAAATTAAGACAAAAGCCCATCACGTCCATCACGAATTTTATTAAAAATAAGAACAGAAATCGAAAGAAGTCAGAAAGCGGTTTAAAATAGTTTTCATGTTGGACATGTTTTAGGTCGAGTTCTTCCGAGAAGAAGGCTCGAATGAGAACAAAACAAAATAGAATGAGAAAACGGTTACATCCTGAACGCTCAAGATCCCTTTGTCGTGTGAAAATTAAACACAAAATGTCTATTCGTATTCAACTTGTTTTTTTGTAGGTCGATGTTAAAAGAGGGAATCGACAACTTACACAACCAACATGATGGCCATTAATGAATTACCTGTTTACATGTTTCGCTTTCTTAGTCTACGATCTTTTAACCCATCAGGTTCTTCTCTTTTCATTCCAATTTGTTTTTTTTCTTTCAATTGCATTCAGTTTTCAACATCATCACAAATACATTTACGTCGATCATTGAATGATCTGATAGTGAACGAATGTGTATTTTATTTATACAAAATATAACGTCAGAGTCATGGAGAGCACAATGAAAAAAGCGGTCACGCTTACTTAAGCTTTGTGTGAAATAATTTTAAAATCGCCGGCGTTTTGTTGAATACTTTTTTGAGGAAAATTACAAATTTTTATCTTTTAAAATTAGCTATGGTTGGCATTCAAACTTTTCATTTCAGAATCGCGCAATTTAACGGAAATGCTTGGAAGGTAGGAAAAGTGAAAAAAGTTAATGAATGTCTAAACTGTGCTGAACACGATAAAGGTTGAAAGTTGTTTTATGTTATGAAAAAGAAAAATTTAATAACAAATTTTGTGCTGATGCCTAAAGAAATGCACATTTCGTTAGACATTAAAAAACGTGAGTGACTCTAAAGGGCTATCAACCTAAAAACATTTTACGATGTGTTGTGCTAATTACGCAATTTATTCTTTCCTCGTTTGTTACCCAAATGTTTGGTTTACCAACATGCATTGTAAGTTCTTTTTGAAAAAAAAAGCATTCAACATCAATGCGTTGTAATAAAAAAGAAATGGAATTAAAATAAAATAAAAATAAAGACCTGGGGAGAAGAGTGAAGTTCAATAAGAAGAAATCCCAAAATACGGTTAAGCAACTCACAAGAAGTGGAATAAAGGAATATTAAAGAACCCAATTGGAACCAGTTTTTCAACTTGGACCGAAGTTGTTTTCGTAAAATTATGATTCATAATAAAAATCTTTCTTTTAAAGCGAAAGCAGCTCACAAGTTGAAGAGAATTAATTTAGTGAATGTGATATCTAAAGAAATGAAATGCTTTACCTGTTGATCGATCTCCGTATAAGAAATTCGCTGAATATTTACGTTTCCTCTCGATTTAACCTTGAAAAACTCTTTCTTCTCTATGAGGAATTCAGAAATCTCTCTTCTACACTAATTCTTAACGAACTTCAGGTTTCTATTAAATTTCGCTTTAACTTTAATCTTCTCATGAAACCAATTTCTTCTTTAAACACGTTTTGATATTTCAATTTTAATTCCCTTCTTTTTCGCCACACATTCAGTTCACTCTCATAAGTTCTATTTGAAATGTCGTCATCAATGTATGGTCACTTCTTTCTTCATTTTTTTCTTACACGGCGTTCTTTTGTTATTTATAAGAAGAATCTTTCAGATTTTTTTCTTCTCAATACTTTTGAGTCACCCGTTAAATGGTAAAATCCCGGATTTTACGAATTTTTGACAACAAATATTATTATTTTTACACTTTTTTTAATTAAGCTCTATTCTCACTACATTTACTCAAGTGTTAAGCTAATTTATCATTTGTCAAAAGTATTTTTCATAATTATTTACTTCGATTTTAATAGAAATGCGTCCGATCGTTTCGACTTCAAGGCACAGACTGAGAATTGAGAGAAAAAACGTAACCGATCACCTACCTGTTGCCGTTCAACGGTCTACGGCGTTGCTTCTAAAAATCTAACGAATTTTATAATTTTGAATCCTCTTCTGAAGATGAAAAAAACTCTCCACTGAACGAAAATGATCGCTGAATATAAATATTTTGAATATTTTAGTGGAAAGTATTTTTATGCAAATTAAGTAGTTCTACTTAACAAATTAATGAGTAGCTTTGAAAACGAAAAAAAGATTAGAATCTTGTTTGTTTGTTATGGCAATACATGTCGTAGTCCCATGGCAGAAGCAGTATTTAAAAACCTGACTAAGGAAAGGAATTTAGAATCGAGATTTTTTTGTTGATTCAGCGGGGATAAGTGAGAAAAAAATATTTTTTATTTCTTTTTAAAGTTCTAAAACCGTATTACTTAAAAATAGGCTCATGGCAATCTGGACAGGAACCGAATGACTATGTTAAATTTATTCTAAATCGCAATCAAGTTTCATTCAATCACAAGGCTCGTCAAATAACAGTCGCAGATTTCAACAATTTTGACTATATATTTGGAATGGATTTCTACAATGTCCATGAACTTCATCAGTATGCAAGCTCACTAGACAGTAAAAGTGAAATAGATATGTTGGGAAATTTCAATCCAGAAGAAGATAAACTCATTGCTGATCCTTATTTTGATAATAAACCTCAGGATTTTGAGAAATGTTTCGATCAAATTAGTAAAAGCTGTGAAATGTTGTTAAAATATTTCCTAGATAGATGATAGGTTCCTAAAAATAAATGAATAGTGAAGAAAGTGATAAATTAAAAATAATGGTCAATAAATCTTTAACGTCTTTAAAAATTTTAAATTATCATAAAAAGATAAAAAAAAAGTTCTCCACTGAACGTATTAAATAATTTGGTAAACACAAGAAAGCCGAATATTTATCAATAGTTGATCTTTAACAATTGAAACAATGACAGAGAAGAAAGGAATACTTATGATTTGTCTTGGCAACATTTGTCGTTCACCGATTGCAGAAGCTGTAATGATTGACTGTATCAAGAAACAGAAGTTAATGGAACAATTTGAAATTGATTCAGCTGCTATTGGTAAGTAGATAGCATTTTGTAAAATGAATTAATTTTTAGTTAANTATTAAATAATTTGGTAAACACAAGAAAGCCGAATATTTATCAATAGTTGATCTTTAACAATTGAAACAATGACAGAGAAGAAAGGAATACTTATTGTGGGAACTGATATTTTTGCTGTAATAAAAGACCTGAAAGGAAGACTAAATAAAAATGCCGATCTTTACTGTTTGACCACTTTCATCAGAATGAATATTTATTCTCTTTTCTCATAACATATTAACATTCTCGCTCTCCCCTCTCATTCTCATCCCACAATCCTCCCCCTGGGCGGAAAAAAATAATGTGAAACATTATTTTGTGAAGTCTGGATCATTGTACTTCGGGTTCTCTCGTCTGATCCGTTTTGCAGGTGGTGGAGTTAAGTTTACCTCGTGTTCCTGGCTGTAAAGAAATGAAGGCGGATTAATTAGTGATGTGCTTTCCCGTGCTGGTCTTATTATAACGTCTCCGATATTTCTTCTCAATTCTGTGTTTCCGTTTTCCAAATATATGTCTGCTTTATCCCGTCTGATGACTTTATACCATTTTGGCTGATAGGTTGATCCCATGTTTCCAGGTTGAGGATTTATGATTGCTACCTCTTCTCCTACTGAAATATTTTTAGGTTTAGCTTTTGATTTTTTGTCTTGATATATTTTTCCTTTATCCATTGACACCGAAATTTTATCTTGTAAATCTCTTTCTTCTTCATTTATTATTTTAACAACGGGGAAAATTGCATCATTAAGTTTTCGTCGGAGTAAATCTATTGGAGCTTTTAACGTTATCGAGTGAGGGCGGCGATTATATTGGAAAAGAATATTGTTTACATATTTTTCGGTTGATTTAAGCGTTATTTCTTTGTTTTCGGTTTGTTGTTCCACGAAGAAAGCTTTTAACGATCGTTTTAATGTTCCCATGAATCTTTCTATCATTCCATTTGCTCTTGGATGACCTGGTGCCGATTTAATACTTTCCATATTCCGAATTTTGCAAAAATTATCAAATTCGTCGCTTTGAAAGGGAGGTCCATTGTCCGAGATAATTTTCTTAGGATATTTTGTTTCCTTAAAGGTATCTTCTAAAAATTTCGCTGTTTCGATAAAATTTGTGCTGCTTACGAATCTTGCACGTACATATTTTGAAAAGTAATCTTGCAACACCACGATAGTGAATTTAATCGGGGTAACTTTATTGAAGAAATCTATTGCCACGTATTCATCAGGTTCTGTTGGTATCTCGGTTCGTTTCATTGGTAATGGAGGGGCAATTTTTCCTATTAACGCGCAATGTTCACAGTTTTCCCGAGTTTTCTCGATATCAATATTTATTCCTGGCCACCAGAAATGCTCTCTAAGATGTCTTTTCATTGATGGCACGCCTGAATGTGTAGCGTGTGCAATCTTTAGAGCTTTTCGTTGTAAGCTTTCTGGCAGCACATACTTGTCATCCTTGATGATTGTTTCATTAAAAATTTGTAAATTTTCTTTTAGTTTCTTCCATTTTTTCTCCGTGCCTTCCCAATTATCTGTATTTATTGCCTGCATTATTTTTAAAAGCGTTTGATCATTTCTTGTCTCTTCTTTTATCTCGTCATATGTGATGCGTAATTTTCCTTTCTCGAAATTAAGTTCTGTCGGGCTCACATTGACTGTTGCTATGCTGTAGTATTTGTTTTCATTTTCTTCTTCATATGCTATTTCTTCCGGTTTACAAAGTCTTGATGGCGCGTCAGCTAAATTTTCATCCGATTTAATATAATTTGTTTTAAATCTGAAGCTTGAGAGACGCAAAGCCCAGTTTTCAGCTCGGGATAAAGTTCTTTTGTCCTTAAGTTTTTCACGACATAAAATGAATCTTAACGGTTTACTATCAGTTACAAGTGTAAATTCTCGTCCCAGTAAATAATAACTAAATCGTTCACAAGCCCATATTATCGCTAGAGCTTCGCGTTGAAGTTGTGGGTAAGATTTCTCTGCTTCCGTTAATGCTTTTGCCGCACAAGCTATTGTTGTATGTTGTTTTAATCCGTTTTTCTCCGAATTTTGTGTCAGCAATGCACCTAAACCGTGTGGTGAAGCATCTGTGTATAAAAATGTTTCTTTATTTATGTCGAAAAAACCCCTTTCTTTGATTTCAGATGTAATATATTTCTTGAGTTTCTCGAAAGAATCTTCGTGTGCCTTTGTCCATAAATACGTCGATTTGTGGCGGGTTAATTCTCTAAGTTTATTTGTTTCTGAAGCTAAATTTGGTATAGCTGCACCGATGTAAGTAACTAGTCCCAGAAAACTTCTAAGATCATGTTTATTTTTTGGACTTCTGAATTCTTTAATCGCTTTAAGTTTATCGAACTGCGGAATAATTTTGTTTTCGGCTAAAACATGTCCAAGAAATGTTATCTCTTTTTTGTTAAACTCGCATTTTTCCTCGTTAATTGTTAAGTTGTTTTCCCGAAGTTTTTCCTGTACCTTTTGTGTTCTTTCTTTTAACTCCTCTAAATTTTTACCATAAACTAAAATGTCATCCAAATAGATTACGATTCCTTTACACTCTCTCAAACTAGACTCCATTAGGTTTTGGAAAATTTCAGGGGCACAATTGATTCCAAAAGGTAAACGTGTGAATTGCATCGGTCCAGATTCGGTCATAAAAGCCGTGACTTTCCTACTTTCCTCTGCCAATGGAATATGGTAGAACGCTTTTGAAAGGTCGAGCTTTGTGAAAAACTTCGCATCCACAAGTTGCGGTAAAAATTCTTCCAGAGTTGGCATTGGGTGATTAAATCGTTCAATATTTTGGTTCACTTTTCTTAAATCGACGACGAGTCGTCTAGGACTTATTTCTTTGACCGGTGATTCCCGTAATTTTCCCGCTAACTTTTTCTTTGCCTCGATGTTTGTTCCCTTTTCAACTGTTCGTAATACTGACATCCATTCTGCATAGCCTTTAATTGGTTCGATTATATTTTTCTCGAGGAGTTCTTTTAATTGTTTATTTGTACTTTCCCTTAGAGGTAAAGGAATCTGATAACTACAACATCTATTTGGAACTGCATCTGCTTTGAGTTTCAACACAATCGGTTTAATAGGCATTACGGGAAAAGGTGTTAGTTTCATTTCTTCTGTTGATTTTTTCAACGTTAAAATTTGTTTTGCCGATACCTTTGAAATTCTTTTAATGAGTCCGAGTTTCATCGCTGTTTCATAGCAGAGTAGACCAATTTTTGCTTCCTGAATCACGTAAAACTTTTCAAAACTTTCGTTTCCCAATTTTGTTTGAATTGTGGTCCAAAATGACGCTATAACTGTTAATCTTCCGCCACCGTATCCCGATAGATTTTCGCCGTCATTTCCAACTTTTATGTTAAATAATCTGGCTTCTTTAAGTTCCGCTAAGCTTTTCCAATCTTCAACCGTTATCGTATTTACTTCTGAGCCTGTGTCAATTAGTATTTCGATGCTTTTGTCAGTTTTACCCAATGAAATTATCTCGATTAACTCGTCGTGCTGTCAAGTTCGCAAAATATGTAAATAAACAAACAAATAAATGAAATTAATTATTTTTCTTTCTTATGAAATTTTATTTAGATAATTCTTGTAACTTTAATAAGTGTTCAATACAATATTTAATTCCATTCTTCTTCGTTTAAAGTTACCTTTTTGACGGTTTTTTCCTCGACATTGTTAACCCGGAATAAGCAATTACGTGCGATGTGACCTGCTCTATTGCAGTTATAGCATCTCTGATCATTTTTGTTTGAGAACTGATTTCCATAAGCGTAGCCTCTGCCACGATAACGGTACCGACCTCGCATGCCTCTTCCATATTTAAAGTCATCGTTTCCTTGTGGACGTGAATAGGGACGCTCGTAATGATAATAGTTTCCTCTACCTCGTTGTGGGAATCTTTGATAGCTTGTTGCAACGTTTCTACCTTGTTGGTAATTTCCCACAGCTAAAACTTCACGTTTTGTTTCATCGTCTTTTACCGATTCCATTTCCTTATTCCCTTTTTCATCCATTTCAAATGTAGTTGCTAGTTGTTCCAGTTCTTTAAGTGTTTTCTTCGAGTAAACGTCTGCCGATTTAAGCTTATTGATTCTTGTACCTGCTACTGCTTGAACTATGATTGCATCTTCGAAATTCTTTTGACTTATCTCGGCATCAATAGCTGCGTTTTTTAATCGATGGATAAATTTTACAAAACTTTCTGACTCGTTTTGTTTTGTGTTATAAAAATCTTTCAAGAATCCCTGTGTGTTTATTCCGGCATCAAAATGGTTGTCCAAAGTTTCAATAATATCTTTGAATTTTTGTTTTTCCGTTTTGTTTGATTTTTTAATTTTAACTCTCAAAAGTGCGTCACGAATTTCTTCACCACAGAACAATTTCATGTAAGATAACTTGCTTTTAGCCGTGTCAAATCCACTAGCAATCGAGAAGAATTGTTTAATCGTGTCTTTATATTTTTTCCACTCGCGCTGCTGTTCTTTTGGGTCTGTTTTCTTTGACATAGCTGGAATTTTCATAGCGCTAGCTTTCAGGAACATCTGTGTATCATTTAGAGTTCCAGAACTTGCGTGCTGTTGTCTTCGAGGTCGAATAAAAGGATGATCATTGTCTACAGCCGTGCTATGTCTGTCATTGTCTTCTGGTGGAGGAAAATTTTCTTCCATTGTTAATTCGTCTTCGCTTTCATTGGATTCATAATTCATATCTTGATTAGTTTGTTCTTCAGATGTATCAGAACTTGATGATGAAATTGAATCCGAAGTGGTATCGCTTGAACCTGAATCCGAACTGTTTTCGTTTTGCGTATTCATTTTTTCCAAATATTTTTCTTCTTCAATATTCTGGAATTACAAATATGATTTCTGACGTAAGAAACGGTTTTGTTACTAATTGTTTTGTAGAAACATAAACATTTATGTTTGATATAATTCTAAACATAATTTGCTCGAGATAAAATATTAAACGTGTTCATTTAAAAATTCGGTATAACCTTAAAACTTTTTAAACATTAGAAACTTACTAGGTTAAACAAGTACGTCGAAGTCAGGTGATGAGTTATGTGATGATGACACGTAGGAGAAATCTATAGTTGACACCTTATTTATCTTTTCTTTCTCTTAACTCGCTTTAATACAGTTTTCTGGAAAATATTTTGAATACGAATTAATTTTGCAACTTTTTCCTTAAAACGAATATTTATAGAATTTCCACCGAGTAATTATGCATTCTTCTTTCTTTAGATGAATTTTGATGTACTTACAGTTGTTTTAATATAGTTTTTCCTTTATTTCTCTGATTTATTCCGATAATTCTAGAATTTTTTTTATTCAATGCGACTTTAATGCTTCGCTTCGTTTTCGCCAAATGGTTGATTTCCTAGAATTTTGATTTGAGCATGAGAGAGAAAACAAGACGGAGTAAAGATTACTTTATCATTTTATAAAGGTATTAGTTTTCTCGTCCTTAAATTCAGCAAATTAAATAATTCAAATGATCTTTCAATTTTGGCAAAGTTCTTTACTTATTTATGTTCATATTTCGAGATTTTCTTAATATTTTTTTTCCATCAATTTTGGCGCGTAATTTATAAATTTATTTCTTGCTTCGAATCTCTATGCTTCTTTTCTCTTTTTTTTTTCTTTGTACTTTCTGTTCATTTATTAATTTTTCATTTCTTAAATCGTTACAAATTCTATAATCTTTATTTAATTCTTCTTTTCTTTTGTTCATCTCAATTCTTTTTAATTTTATTCGTTTCTTACTTCGTTTGATTCTATTTTCTTTAATTTTATTTCATCGTATTTCATTTCATTTCATCTTTTTTTCATCTTATTTCATCATTTTTCATCTCATTTCAACTTTTTCCATCTTATTTCATCATATTTCATAATATTTATTTCATCATAATTTATCTCTTTTCTTTTAATCTTGTTAATTTTTTTCAATCTATATGTTTCATCTCGTCTTTCTGGCTTTATTTAATTATCTTTACTTCTTTTCTTTTCTTTCTTATATTCGGAATCTTTTTCTCGCAAGTAAGCGTCGCCAAAAAAAAAAAAAAATTAACGCCAAAATCGATATTTTCCGTTAAACACGTCTGTTCTCGGTTTAATTTATACTTACAAATATTTATTATTTCGCTGTTCTCAGCGCCATTTGTGGGAACTGATATTTTTGCTGTAATAAAAGACCTGAAAGGAAGACTAAATAAAAATGCCGATCTTTACTGTTTGACCACTTTCATCAGAATGAATATTTATTCTCTTTTCTCATAACATATTAACATTCTCGCTCTCCCCTCTCATTCTCATCCCACACTTATGATTTGTCTTGGCAACATTTGTCGTTCACCGATTGCAGAAGCTGTAATGATTGACTGTATCAAGAAACAGAAGTTAATGGAACAATTTGAAATTGATTCAGCTGCTATTGGTAAGTAGATAGCATTTTGTAAAATGATTAAATGTTAGTTAATTTTTGTTTAAAAAGGTCCATGGCATGTGGGTAAGAAACCAAATCAACGTGCTCTTGATACAATGAGAATTCATAACTTACAATATCATAATAAAGCAAGACAAATTAAGAATGATGATTTCAATAAATTTGATTACATCTTTGGAATGGACGATGAAAACATTGACGATTTAAATGGAATGAAACCAAAAGATAGCAAAGCTAAAGTACTGTTGCTTGGAGACTTCGATCCTGAAGGTGAAAGAATAATTCGCGACCCTTATTACGACAGAGACGCAAAAGGTTTCGAAAAAGCTTACATTCAAAGTGTTCGTTGTTGCGAATCCTTTTTAAAGAAACTTTTGGCTGGAGAAATTTAAATATTTATTGAAATATTCCATTTTAATTTTATGTACTGAAATAAAACATTCTTTTGTGTTAAAATCAGTCATAAACATTTTTTTGATTTTTTTATGCTTCAGTTTTTTGCTTATTATATTTTTTATACAAATAACTTTCAATCCTCATGAACGGAGTCTCACATGCAAGATATAGAACAGTTGCTAGAATAATTGTACCAAAGATGTCACCCCAATACATGTGAATCCATTCAATTTCTTCGAAATAAATCGGAAGTTTGTAGTTTCCAATTGCAATAATTTGATACATCCAACCGACCAGATACATGCTAAGACACATACGACCGATTGGTTGCCATTGAGGTAATGTTAAAAACCATCTGATGATTCCGCCTGTGCCATTATGACATGCAAACACCAACCAACACAAAGCAACTGACCAACCATTTCGATAGAGTGAAAGATAAAATGAATTTTGAAGTTGTGTTGTTACATTATAAGATCCTTGCTTAAACAAATGCATTGCGCCTAGCGTAATTGCAGCAAATGTACTAAGACAAAGTATCCACATTATGAATTTTACAATTGGATTGATTCGAATCTTTGTCCCTCTTGTTTTATGAAGAACAAATCCAAGAAACATTCCCATGAACCAAGGACCTTAAATGTAATTTAATTGCTAATGTTTGCATTCAATTAATTTCTGAATTATAAGCTTTACCCATTCTGGCATGCGTTGGATAATAAACATAACGAAATAAGTCTAACAGTCCTTGTGGTGATCGTACAATGCAACGAATTTCCAATTGATACGAAATGATGAAAATATAAACAGCACTGGCGATAGTTAATCCTGGCAGAACCCAAACATACTTCCATCCATATTTCCAAGCTGGGTAAATCAACAATGGTGATACAAGAAACAGTTGAAAATCGACTGCAAGATACCAGCTTTGATCTAGACAAAACTCTTCAGGATTCATGTAGTTCTGAATATGAAGGAAAACCCCCCACCACCACTTTTGGCAATTCTCCTGACTTTGATAATTGTGTTGATCAGTTAGTGGTCCAAATCTGAAAAATTTCTGAATAGAAATTGTAAAGAGAAGGCAAGCAAGCAATGCGGGGGTGTAGCGTAAGTATCTGTGAAGATACATTCTCCAAAGTTTTACAGTTCCATTTAAAACAATCTCGATGAAAACAAAAAAAAATTATTATTAATTATATTTCAATTCCAACCGATCTAAGTTCGGTATCATTGACCATACAAGTAGCAAAGCTCCCATGAATAGGAAAGTGTCAACTGCAACTTGATGTGTGTTGAATACTGACGATGTTAATTTTAAATACCATTCTCTGAATGCTGTTAGATTCACAAGACCAGTGGACAATGCGATTCCGACTCGATGTCCCCAAATAATATAAAGAACTGACAACGCTCGTAAGCCATGAAGACAATCAATGGAATTTACTGACTTCACAGCTCTGACGTCAAACAGTTTCTTTCCACTCGTGTATACGGAAAACGATGCGTAAAGTTCGTTGACATCATCTGACGACATTATAAACAATTTTAGACATTATGAAATGGGCAATGAAATTCATTAATTTTACGATTATTTCTTATCTTTGAAACCTCATAAATTGTGCTTGCAATCATCAACAATCCAATTGAAGAGAAAATTAATCTGCAAATCTTGATAAGATAACAACTTAAAGAAATAAATTCAGTTCGATTATTATCTAACATTGTTACGATATCCATGACTTCAAAAGGCAGTGGATCATTAGTTTGACATCTGGCAGCAGATCCAATGAGGTTTTCTTGTGAAAGATAACGATTAGCATATTCAAGAGACTTCTGATTTGAACATGACGACGGCACGCAAATTCCATGGCGGAAATTTAATTCATATTTGGAGATTTTGTGACCACTAGGAAGGGAATCTGATGATGAAATCTTCCCACAATAATTAAAGAAATTCTTACATTTCTGTTATATCGAATTCATTCGTTTCCTTCACTTCAATTGAACTTTCAGTACTTTTGAAATCGATCATACAATGTTGACCTTGAATTTCTCCAATTTTACTTTCATTCGTTTGATGACGAAAATTGACACAATCTGTGAATCCTCCGGGGTTTAAATTATTTCCACGTGAAATACTTGACTGAAACTTCGTCCAAGTGTCAAAAACTTTTTAGAAAATATTTAATGTTTAATGATTTTGATAGAAATAATTTTATTCATTACCAAACAAAGCCCAATGTTCACGTTTATCTAAAGCATATTGTCAAAATATTTCAATTGATCTTCACATAATTTGTCGTCAATCGTTGAACTCAAAACTTTATAAGTCAATGCTGTAAAGATAATTAATTTGAATAGCAATTTGTCCATGTTTAATAGACAGCTTCACACAACAGAAATCAAACGACAAATGGTCTCGAAAAGCCTTAAACAAGTTTCTTTATGTTTGCTTTATCTTTAAGAACATCAATCGTAGAGATTAAATTGTCAACAATGAAATTTGGCTGATAAATACTTCTTAGATTAATTTTTGCTGAAACATTGCCATGTTATCAATCGCAAAGATTTACAAACGAGACGATGCTGAACTTCCTCTGTAAAGTAAATAAATAAACAAAAAATCATTCGCATGGTTTTTTATGTTGAGGTGGATCAGTTATTCATATATCTCGTTCATCGCTACGAACATCTGAGTAAAATCCCAACGATTTTGTGAGTTAATTCAAGTAGTGCAAAACAAATACTTGGATAAAGTTGCCTAATTGAGATTATTATTCTCTGTTAAATTATCTACTTCAGTTGTGAGTTAAGCTTGTTCATTTAACAACTAAACAAATTCTTTCCACTTTCAGACGAAGAAAAAAAATCTCTCGTGTTGCTTGAACGTGAATCGAGTAGATATTTATCGGTGGTAGAACATGACAACATGTCCTTGACTTTACTCAACAAATTAAATTTTATCTGCATGTTGAACCAATAAAGTAGCAACAGAAGTAATGAAGCGTATTGCAAGGTCTTTTCCGAATAGAAATCCCCACCGGATCGCCGTTCTTTACTTTACTCTCATTACAGTTATATTCGTTCTTTCACGAGGCACTTTATTAAAATGTTTACTTATGTTTTTTTTTCTTAGTAGCAACATCGACTTAATCATATATTAAAGTCAGTGTTGCCGTCACTCAATCTTTGAAATTATCAATCTTTGCCGAGCTCCCGCACCACTGCACGAAGACATATTCGTCCGACAAGTTTCATTTCTTGTTCGCTTTGGATTTTTTTTAATTTGCTTCAGCAGTGTTAGTTGTGCTCTTCTATAAAAGCTTTTGCAAACTCACAAATCACACATAGTCGTTGGACTTATTTTTAAAGCATCGGTTTAGTGTCCGCAGTTGCATCGGAAAATTCAAGGAAGAAAAAAAAACGAAATAAAATCTGTGAATTTTATTTCCGCTTCCCAAGTTCAAGTGCATTTAAAATTATATTTAAAACAAAACAAAAAGTTACGTTTGTAAACCAAAACGTGGATATTTAATAAAATAATTTTAAAAAATACCAAGCGGATAGAAATTGATGTGACCTGAAGTAACTTTTGCAATCAATAATTAACTAAATAAAAAAATATTTTGTAATCAAGTTTAATCATTGGATGAACATAATTTCGAAATAAAATGCCAGTTTACGAGATAAAAGAACATAAACAGCAGCAACCATCGCAAATAGCTGAGAAAATATTTGACGATCATGGCAGTGGAAGTTCAAGTGGTGTCTCTGAAGATGAAGATACAACTCCAGTTGTGAAAAGGAATACAAATCAGAACCAGAACCAGAAATCTTCTGATGCTTCTGCCGAGAGATTTATCTCATTACCAAATCGGAGTCATGAAGAATTCTTACGAAAAATGTTTGACAATGTTCTCAACAAAGCAATCTTCGAAGGTACAAAACGCGAGAATAAAGTTCTCGAATGGGTCGATCCTAAAGTTCTTGAAGAAAGATTCGACATGAGCTTGAAAGACGAGCCAGACACCGATGACGAACTTTTGAAATTGGCAGATGAGACCATTAAATACTCAGTGAAGACTGGTCATCCATATTTCGTGAATCAGCTTTTCTCGTGCGTTGATCCGTACGGGTTTGCTGGTCAAGTCATCACTGACGCACTCAATCCCAGTGTTTACACATACGAAGTGTCACCATGCTTCATCTTGATGGAAGAAATTGTTCTTAAAGAAATGAGAAAGATCGTTGGATACTCGAATGGTCATGGTGATGGAATTTTCTGTCCCGGTGGATCTACAGCAAACGGTTATGCTATTTCTTGCGCGCGTTATCACGTTTGCCCCGATATTAAGGTATGAAAATGTTCACGAGAGTAGGAAAATTCCCAAAGAAAAAGTAATAAATAAACGAACGATGCCAAAATAAAAATCGAAAGTATTTGTGGGCACAACCAGTTATTTGACTCGTGAATGTTCAACTTTGCCAAAACATAAATAAACAGAATTAATATACAATGAGTCGAATGGAAAATTTAGGAGAATTTTCTTCTTCTCTGCTACGCGAGCATCCCACATAACTGCGATAGGAAAATTTTCCACTCGTGGATAAAATTTTTAACTGCCTTTTAGAGGAAAGTAAGAAAGTAAAAAAAATTGACCTTGAATCATCTGGTGCCAAAAAAAAGAATTTTTTAAAAATATTTCTTTCTTGTTTTACGTCACGCGATATGTCGGTTAAAATTATTCACTAAGCAAAAATACTTTGCGGATGCTCAATGCGCGCAAAAAGTTTTTTTCTCATCTTTTCTTAGATTTTTCACAAATGATTAAATGATTTGAAATTGCATGAATGAATAAATGATAGAATTTCATCATCCAATGATATGTAATTCGACACAGATATTTGATTTATGATGTTGCAAATAAAAATTGCAATCGGTAATTATTCTGTAATAAAATAAAACAACATCGTAAAGGAAGAACATGCTGCAGTATTAATGTAAAAAAATCGTAATAATTATTAGTTTTATTCATTTGCTTACAGACAAAAGGCCTCCAATGTTTACCGCGTCTTGTTTTATTTACATCAGCTGACGCTCATTACTCGATTAAGAAGTTAGCCTCGTTCATGGGCATTGGAACCGATAATGTTTACTTAATTGAAACGGATAACTTGGGCAAAATGGATATGAAGCATTTGGGTGAGCAATTAGAAATAAAAATATTCCAAATAATTTCAATAAAGTTACTTAACATAACTAAGTTCAAACATTTTTTTATTTATGCGAACAGAAAGTGAAATTATTCGTGCAAAATCTGAAGGTGCTTTGCCGTTCATGGTTTCAGCTACTGCAGGTATGTAAATAGCACCAATTAATCGGATTTGAATTCACAGACACAACAAATATCATCTAAATTTAACCCTCAGGTACAACAGTTTTGGGTGCTTTCGATCCATTAGAAAAAGTCGCCGAATTGTGCGAAAAATATAAAATGTGGATGCATGTCGACGCTGCGTGGGGCGGTAAATATCTATAAAAATACTTTGAAAGCTAATTTATCTGTTGACATATTTAACTCACGAAAAAAAATGTTTCTCACTTAATCAGGTGGTGCTTTGATGTCGCAGAAATACAAAAAATTGCTCAAAGGAATCGAAAGGTAAGTAAGCAAAAACCTATGAAGAGTTCAACATACCGTTACAACATAAGTATTTACACTACCGGTTTAAATATTTATACTCAAGGACATCTTCTGATCAGCAGCTGACTCGATAGCCTGTCTCAGTCAGTCATGTATTCCGGAACCGTTGATTCATTTCATTTATGTAAAACTTGATTTATTTTTTCTTTCCCAATCGTCTTTAGATCTGACTCAGTTACGTGGAATCCACACAAGATGCTTGCAGTTCCACAACAATGTTCAACATTCCTTTGTCGTCATGAAGGCATCTTATCGGCATGTCATTCATCAAATGCAGCTTATCTTTTCCAAAAAGATAAATTCTACGATACAAAATACGACACAGGTGACAAACATATTCAATGTGGTCGACGTGCTGATGTCTACAAATTTTGGTACATGTGGCGTGCAAAGGGAACAAAAGGATTTGAAAAGCATGTCGATTCTATTTTTGATCGTGCTGAATATTTCACAACACTCGTGAAAAGCCGGGAAGGTTTCGAGCTTGTGTCAGAACCTGAATGCACAAATGTTTGCTTCTGGTACATCCCATCAAAGCTTAGAGCTTTGCCACGTGACGATGCAAGATTCACGCAAGAACTTCATAAAATTGCACCAAAAATTAAAGAGAGAATGATGAAGGAGGGATCGATGATGATCACATACCAACCTCTCAATACAAAACCAAATTTCTTCAGATTGGTTCTTCAAGATTCGTCGCTTAATCACAACGACATGATGCATTTTATTGACACAATCGAGCGGTATGGTGAAGAGCTTTGAATGTCTTTCTTTCTTTTCTTAAATCATCAAAACTACAATCCAATAAAATTATCTAAATAAAAATAAATATTTTAGTCTTAACTTGTGCAGAAAATAAAATTTTGTGACATTTTTACAAACGAATTTTTTGAACTTGAAAACTGGCTTGGTTCATAATCAGGGCATGAAATGTAATGACTTTGAATAAACTTTCATTTCCGTAAGCAGCACAATGTTTACGTTACAATATTTAATTGTAAAATTAAAGGGCTGTAAAGTAATAAAGGTTTCTGATCAAGACAAATTTCTTTTGGTTTAATTTAAAGTTTAACTTCCTTCAAGATTTCCTTAATGTTATTTTATTGTGACATTGGAATTTTTATGCACTTTTGTAATTAAAAGCCTGGCTCGGATGGCTTCCGTTTGCGCTTTAAATAAGATCATTGAGTCACTGGCACTTATAACTTCTGAAAAAAAAAAACTTTTAAGACAATCACGATTTCAATTATTGACGATATCGTGCAAATAAGTTGTCGTGGTGTGAATTATTTAATGATTTTGTTAGTTGTTTCATTTATTCCTTGTTCACGATTTTCAATAAATAAAATTGCAAAGTAGATATTCCTTAAAGAACGTTGATCCTTTAAAACTTCATCAGTTTTCTTTTACCTTTCTTTTACCTAGCAAAAATCGTTTTTCAAAATGGGAAACAAAATTTTCTATTTCGGGATTTGCATGCTCGTGTGTGGTATGTAACAAAAAATTTGTCTCTAACATATCAAATTTAATATTTTACTTTCGGCTTTTGCGTTGACTGGTTTAGTTAATGCTGGTGGTCCATCGTATCCAAGTGACCCATATCCATCAGGGCATCCAGAATGTTATCGTAACGAATTCGACTTATGTGAGAACATTAGTTGTTTTTATAACACACGTCAAATAGACTTGATCAACTGTTGTTGCTGGAAGAATAACTAAGTTCAGTAATTTCGAACTATCAATACGACGAGCTGGTTTATTTTGAATACATTTAGCACATTTATTACCTTTTCAAATGCTTTGATGAGACATAATTCTGTAAAATTAGATGCGTAACTAAATTAAAACATTTGTTGATTAAATTTTTGCGTGTATCCTTTTTTATTTATATGATTTTTAATAAACGGATGGTACACTATAACGAGAAAAACGATTTTCATTAGAATAAAGAATCTTTCGCAGCACTTTCGAATCCACCATCCAGTCCACCATCAACGATTTCTCGTTCAGCTTCTTTTTTTTCTTCTAATTTTTGGGAATTCACTAGCAGGAAGAAGGATTTGGGATTGTCTTTGTTTTAATGGAAGGAAGGAAATTTATTTACAATCAGGGGAAAATAATTTGAAGACTTTGTTCTATTTTTTCGTAGCTTGATGAATCGAGTAAAGAATTTCGATTTAATTTTCACTTGTTTCATGACTCATTTATGTCCTCATTAATATCGCGTATCAGAAAAACGATTTACAAAAATAATAATTATATATGCAAGATCTTTTCAATTAATTTAATCTTTTCCACAGTATTGTCCATTTTTTTTGTTTTAGTTTTGAATATTTCTTTAAATGTTCATCATACGATTATTAATTATGTTGCAAGTCGTGCTAAACAAATGACAGAAGAAGATGACGGGAAACTCCTGAATCTCTCCAATAAAGTATGATGAAAGCATGATCAAGATGTAAAAGTATTTAACGCATAAACAAACGAATCATCCTTAAATATGCGACTTAGGGAAAGATCACGATGATGATCAATTTTATCATTTAACAACATTTGAAGCGTCCTAAGCGATGTCCAAGAATGTCAAACAGGAAGATGACGATAACAGATTTCATATTCATTTAGCTAATATAAAATGAATTATGTCATTGTTTAGCACGTTAATCTCTGCTTTTCATTTTCTATCCTTTAACATGTTTTAAGTTCATTTATCATCACTTTTATCATAAACCGCACTTTAAAGTTCCATTTTTTTTCTCTTTTTTTTGCTATCCAATCTTATAGCGTTGCAAGTACACTTGTGCTTGTTTTACAATCAACATTTTCCTTATCCGCTTTTAGAAACACAACACCCAACGACGACAACCACTCCACACATTTTCCAATGTCAACAAATGCCAGCGTTTCTTTTATAAATTCACAGCTTATGCCCGGTCGATAGCTAAATATGACAATGAGATTTCAAGAGATTAAAATTAAAAATAAAAAACATAAATGTTGATCAATTAAAATGTTAAGAAAGAATGAATTAAATGATGAAACCATCGGGATTGACTCTAATAATCTGAAATACATTAAAAAATCATTTTCATGCAATAATTTCTTCTTCTGCATTCGTCAGGTCACTTGAAAAACGACGCCCATTCACCTCACTTCGCTTAACTACATTAAGTCTTAACGGAAAAAGAATAAAATAAAAATACTTAAGCTTCTCTTTCAGAGAACATACACTTTTATGATCCAATTTTTGAGCGCGAGCTTCCTCTCACGTTCAATGAACCAATCCATAATGTAACCCGACATCTTCGGTGACTCTTTATAAAGCTTGAAGAATCGACTGTAATTGTTGAGAGCCCATGCTGAACGCAATTTCAAGGCATGAGAAATGCACTCATCAGCTCTCTCTTCGGTGGTAAGGGACTTAAGAATTGTCGATAAATCTGTAAAATAAAACAAATTAAAATTAAATTAATCAATAATTAATTAAACTCACCTAAAGTGTTCTTTGTAAAAATGTAATACAAAATTCGATACGCAAGAAACTCCAATTGATTCTCCCCACCAATTTCCGAGTAGAGCATTTTGAGTTGCGTTTGACATTGATTAAACTCCTCATGATCTCCCTTTTCCATTGCAATTCTAATTAAATATTTAATTGTTTTATTAAGTGAATAATTAATGTGTTTTTTTCAGGAGTTTCGGCCCGTGGTCCGTTTTTGTTCCGTTGTTGGAATACGTTCTGTGGTCCACGGACCAAAAGTTTTTCTAGAACATATTTCGACAATAGAACAAAAACGGACCACGGACCGAAGACCTGAATTCTTCATGACTTACCGAGCATGAGTCTCATAAACTCTTACAGTGAACTCATCACGTATTCCTTGAACTGTCAAATCTTGTCTTATCGATTTCAGTTGATCACAAGCATAATAATATTCTTGCTTCTCAACCCATCGATTCTTAACATTTGTTAATGAATAAACGAGAACATCGACTGGTCGAACTTCGGAAGCTTCTGGTGCTCTTGTAAGTCTAAGGAAAGGCTTTTCTAAATCCCTGCATGTTCCAACTATGTGAAGACTGAGGAAGTCAATCGAATCATCAACTGAATCATCAACAATTGGATTGAAAGCTGTTGGTGTTGCGAACTTTTTCCGCGAGTTGAATGAATTAAGAGTCGAGGTTAAAACTGGTTTTGAGGTCATTTTATTGAAACGATCTGCTCGCTTCTTCAATCGCTCAACATCAGAAGAATCAACCAAACCTCCTATAGCTCCATTCTTTGTGTAAAAAGCTGACGCCTTTTGAGCCATTTTCTCTTTTCGACTTCTTTTCTTACTGTTACCGATTTTATTGAATGCTGGAACTTGTGACTTATTATTAAAATTATATTTGCTGTCATTATCATCATCAGAACTGCGACGTTTCCTTGGTGGCGTTGAGCTATTTGATCTTGAACGTGACGATCGAGATGAAGAACGTGATCGTCGTTTCTTTGTGATCGGCGATTTTCCAAGACGAGCCCCTAAAGGTGATGAAATTCCTTTTTTAGCATTAACAGCTGGCAAGTTTTGAAATTGAGAAAGTTGTCCAACTACAATCGGTCGATTTTTATTAAAAACATGCTGTGCTTGTGGTTGGGGTTTCTGTTGTTGCGGTGGAGTTTGTTGTTGCTGCATTCGATCGCTATGAAGAATTGGCATCGGCTCATTCTCCCAATCTTTAGAGAAAAGTTCACCACGAGTCATCGCCATTGTTATTTTCCCTTTCAAAGTTATTTCGCATAAATCTTTATCAATCGGTGTGTGACATTTCATGTAACAACGAGCAACATAATTATACAAACTTTCAGGCCATTCCATAGCAGGATTTACTCCAGCAACTGTTTCCGGTGTTGTTTTATTATTATCAGAAGAGACATCAGTCATGTTTACGTCTTTAATATCATTCGTTGAGGATGCTTGCGAACTTGTCGCTTCAGGTGGCTTATTAAACATCGAAGAAGTGACTTGCTGTGATGATGTTGGCACAAATGATGGTGGTGGTTTGTTGAAATCATTTTGAAGAGGTGGCAACGGTGGTTGGTCATGGGAAAAACCGTCACTTTCGTTACCAATGTTATAACCACCGTTCTTATTCTTCTTTTTCTTATTTTTATTACGCTTTTTTGGATTCGCATTATTGTGAAAATTGTTCATCATGCAATTATTTGGATTTTGCATGAAAGAATTGTTTTGATTGATCATCATGGGATTAACTTTCGTGCCTTGCTTATTGATGTTGAAGCGAATTGGCTTATTGAATAAACATGGCGCTTGATTCATTTGTTGTTGGTTATTGAAATATTGCGGCCGATAGAAATCATTCGATCCCATCTGCTGTTGCATTCGACTTTGCGCGTAATTAATTATAGCATTTGACAAATGATTGTTTTGATATGGAGATGACGAATTATTATTATTATTATTGGAGGCAAAAGAAGGCGGTGGTGAAGAGAAAAGTGACGGTGGAGGACATGGCGATGGCACCTTTTCTGATTCCATTGTTGCCACAAAAACTTTACAAGCTGGATAAACTTACCTAGAAAAGATTTTTTAATTCGTTTAAGTTTTTTTCTTTCCTGGATCTCGAAAATGTGACGTCATTTTCACTTTAGAGAAAAATTCAATTTTCTTACCTTAATCGATGATACTTTTCGAAAGCTTTATGTTTTCCTAGTTTATTAACTTCTCAATATTAACAATTTGTTTGATTAACTCTATTTTATTATCGTTTGATGCACTTTAAAACAATTAAAAATCTTTTCCTTTTAAAGTGAAAAAAAGTTTCGGTATCTTGACGAAACAAGCTTTGAATTTATCTACCAACCTACACACCCCGGTCGGATAAGTAGTTTCAAACCCCTCTGGAATTTCTATTCCCGCGATTTATTTGTAAACAAAAAGGAATTTAGCTTTGTACAATATTGAATAATTATGAGTACAACACGTCTCGAAACAACTTACGATAATATTTCGTCAGGATTCTATCGCAAAGAACAACAATTCAAAAAGCAATTTTGTCATATTTATGCTTCTCGTCTTTCACAAATTAGTGAACTTTTAAAAAGCAAAGCAACCAAGAAGTTTGGTAAGGAAACTATTAAAGCTTATAATAAATATTTTATTAACTATGTTACAAAAATGCTTCAGGTAAGAAATACCCGTTTAAAAAGATTTCCGAACTCTCAGAAGATTCCCCCGAAACTTGCATCATTTTTGGAACATTCTTTAAACATCAAGAACTTAAGCCAAGCATTTTGAAAGAAATTTCTGAAGACAATCAGTTAGTGCCTCTTCCACCACGTTCTAATTACAACGATGAGAGTGACTTCTTGATTCTAGAAGATGAATTACAACGTATACGATTGGATGGAAAGATTAACGTCCCAGAAATGGTTACAGGAATCGTTGGAGCTGTTCTAGGTAAGTTTAATTAAAAATCACAAAAGAATGTAAAAATTACAAAAGAAATCTGGTGACAAATAATGAAAATACCTTTTAAAATTTATTTAGGAAAAGATCGTAAGTCACAACTCTGAATATTCTCTCAAGAAATTTCAAAAATCTTCTTGTGGGTTTGTTAATTAAGTTTTTCTCTTGGGTTGAGTAACAATTTTCATTCTTTATGATTTATAACAAAACACTTTTTAGTGCACATTTCTTTAAAATTGTCTAACAAACCTCATTTGTATGATTTTATTCCTTCATTTTCATTTGCTGTTTGTGTCATTTCTTTGAATTTTAAGTCATAATTAAATTAAAATTTTCTCTTTAGGATACATTGAAGCAGCAGGCGTTTTTGTGGTTGAAGATTTCGTTTTCTACGAGAGTGGCCCAGAAATTCCTTTGAAAGCGATAAACTTTTCGCCTCTGATTGTTTTCTTAAGTGGATTGGATCTTGCAAATGTTGACAACGATTCCTTGTCGCTTGATTTATTCCAACAATGGCTTTATGGAAATCTCGAGTTGCCAACAGACGACGATATAAATCCAGTCAATGTGGTTCGTGTTGTCATCGCTGGAAATTCAATTCGAGCTTCTCCAGCTAAACAGCAGAAAAATATGAGTTCATTAACTTTAAGAACATTCGACACCAAAGATATGTTGAGCAGTTTGAAACTTCTTGATGACGTCCTTTCAAACATGTCACAATCAGTTGAAGTTGACTTGATGCCTGGTGAATTTGATCCTTCAAATCATATGTTGCCGCAGCAACCGTTCCATCATTGCATGTTTCCAAAAAGTGCTGTCATTCGTGAGTTTAACGGAGTCACAAATCCATATCAATTTGAAATCGAAGGTCGTTTGATTCTTGGAACATCGGGACAGAATATTGATGACATTAAAAAATTCTCAACAGTCGAAGATCCAATTGAATGCATGAAAAACACTTTGAAGTGGTCCCACATTGCACCAACATGTCCTGATACACTTCCTTGTTATCCATACTACGATGAAGATCCTTTCATCATCAAAAAATGTCCGCATGTTTATTTCTGTGCTCAAAATGATGGAAATATCAGAAGTGAAAATTATAAAAGTGAGTTTTCATCATCATCTGTCAGTTTCTTCAGAAAATTGATAAACTTTCATTCATTTCAGATTCCAATGGACAAACCACTCGATTAATAACAATCCCATCATTTCAAAAATCTCAAACAGTTGCTGTTCTTAATCTTAAAACATTAGAATGTAAAAACATTTGTTTTGCTATCAACTCCGATTCACATTCAGAAGAATAACATGATGTAAAAGATTGTAGGGTTAATTTAAGAAGATTGCTGAGTTAACTTACTTAAGATTAGATTATCTACATTAAATTTTCCTATAAATGCTACTTTTGACCAAATAAAATAAAGAAAAGCTTTTTTAAAATTTGCATTATTTTCATTTAATGTTTTAAATTATTCGGATCCATACTTACATCAATTCATTCAACCATTAGATTTTTGTTATTCCCTCTTTTATCAATATGATGTATGATATAATGTCAAATTAAGTACAGGAATTTGTAAAAATATTAACTTCTAACAGCTGGATTAAAATTTATTAGGTAGTATCCAAAAGATTAGATTTCTTTTGCCAAAATGTATATTTCTGTAGATTGCAAAACGAATTTCACCATTGCTTTGTTCATTTTTCTTGGAAATCTAAAAGCGGCTTGAATAATCTAACAAAGAAAAGACCATCATAAATAACTGTTCAATTATGATATCAAATTTTATCAATAAATTTACGCATGATTTAAAACAAAAGAAATATATAAATATGAAAGAAAATTAAAGTAAACATTCATTGACATAATGAAGTGTGCAATTTTCATTGTGATTTTTGTGAGCGTTGTGTACGCAAAATATTTCGACGAAAGCATCTATAAAGAAATATTCGAAAGTTTAAATGATGTGTCTGATACTTCGGCTGAAGACAAAATCTTTAAAGAAATAGATGATTATTCTACTAGTTTCTTAGGAGAAGAAGGGCCACAATTCGATTATGTCTCTGATACTTCTGATGGAGAAGGAAGGGAAATAAATGCGTATGCAGCAATTTCTAAAGACTATATTAACAGGCAGGCAAAGGATGATTTTGATGATGATTATGGAAGTTTTAATGAAATCGAAAGAATTGAATATTTTGATGAAGATCATAACGGACAGCCAAAAGCACAGACAAAATTCTTCCATGATTCTTATGCTGCATTTTACGAAATAGGCTATAGTTATACTGGAAACCGAAATGTTGTCTTCAAGACTTTTCATAGCCTTGTGACTCATGAAAATCATTATGTCCACTACATAATGAAACCATTGGATGGAGCGAGTGGCGCGGAAAACCCAATGTCCACCTCCCAATGGAGAGAGAACGATTTTCCTGTGACAAATATAGATTGTCTATATACAGTTAAGAAACAACTTGATACAATAGGCAAAATACTTGGAAATGTTAAATATGCAGAACAATGGATTAAAAAGGACACTGAGTATATCTTAACTCGTGGTCATTTGGCGGCGAATGGCGACTTTCCGAACGAACAATTAAAACGGCAGAGTACATATACCTTCTTTAACGCTGCACCACAATTCCAAATATTCAACAATGGCAATTGGAAATTGGTTGAAGAAAGTATTAGAGATTTGACAAAATCTCGTGGTGATTTGGAAATTTATTCTGGTACACACGGAGTTGGCAAATTAAAAGTTAACCAAGCTGATGAAATTGGTAGAGATATATATCTTGGATGGCCAAAAAAAACAATCCCTATGCCGAAATTGTTTTACAAAATGGCTATCAAAGGAAACGAAGGAATTGTTGTAATTGGTGTTAATAATCCATATTTGACTGAAAAAGAAATTCATAATGATTACATAATATGCACAGATATTGCTGATCAACTTAAATGGTTGAGGGATATAAATCGGAAGGATAGAACCAAAGGATATATATATGCTTGCTCCGTCGAAGATTTTATTCAAAAGGTTCAAATTCCCATTGCACGTATTCCAGAATTTCCTTTGGATGATCAAATAAAAAACAAACCTTCAATGTCATATGCTATGAAGTAATCCTTTTCATTAAAAATAAATTTTCAATATGAAATCAATAAATAACTTTACACGAGCATCACAAAACGGCGCTGTTTTATTAAACAAATTTTTGATTATCCCAAGAAATAAAAGTTTTAAATGGAATTAATTCATCTTAAATGTAAGAAAAATTCACTCGGTCCGACTCAAATTTCTACCTAATTAGTAGCCTATCAATACTTTAACTTACATTCAGAAGAGCACTTTAAAGAAAGAAAACAATTTTCTTTAATTTTAAATTTTTAATAATTTATTTGCATCTTTAGAAAATATATTTATGAATGAGTAAAGAAAAAAAATGAAATTTAATCGCTTGTGACCTCATCTGTGAGCATTTTATCAATGTTATCAATATGTGTGCTGGTAGCTAAAAGAAGGTCAAGTGATGCATCACCAAAGTTCAAGAGATCATCAATCACTTCAAGATTCTCATTTTTATCTTGCTCATCATTTTCGTTGTTAATCATCATGCCATCTTTGTCTTCAACATCAATCGAATTGAAAATCTCCATCAAAACTTTATCTTTTGCTTCTTTATACGAAGACGAGCTGGAAGCTGAAGCAGATGTTGTGGGAATGTTTGATGTTGTCGGAGCATTTTGTGGTGGATTAGAACTAAATGGATTATCAAAATTTTCAAGACCTTCCGGCACTGGCAGCTTAGCAAGTTCTTCTCTTATCTGACGATATTGTCGTCGCAAAACCATCGAATTGAATGAGATCGCACGTCCACTTCTCTCGCTATATTGCGGACGACTCAATTCATTAATCCATCCTTCAATCTGCTGACAAATTTCATTTCTCTTCAACCAAAAATGTGTGTAAATGACGTCTTTAAAGCATGGACATGGATTTCTTAACTGTTCAAGCATCGCCCATTTAACACACGCCTGATAAATGTTGCTGTTGTACTCTCGACTGCTGTGGTTACCACTTGGAGTTCCACGAGATCTTTCAAAGCCTGGCTCATTGAAATATGGCTCAGAAACAAGAATCAATGATTGAATCGAAACAAGAACTTGTAAAAAGCTTGAAGTTTGTGCATTCCATTTCTCTTCTGGTCGTCCATGCCAAGTGTTAAGTACCGACAAACAAACTTTTCCATCGTTGTATAAATTTGGATTGAATCGGATTGAATGACGTCCCGTCGTCTCGAGATTTATCAGCATCGGTGAGTTGGGATAATCATGAGGGAAATAAACATCAAACTCAAAACATCCATTCGCATATGGCGTGTCAGCTGGTCCCGTAATCAAAACTTTCATAATATCTAAACGATCAGTGTCGCAACGAACAAACACAGAACTACTAAATGATAATGGCAAGCTTGTTGATAATGTCACAGTTTCTTGTGCTAATCGTTTAACACGTGCTGGATGTCCACGATCTCCACTCATTCGAACATTCGATTCAAAGTGATGAGAAATTGTGAAGCGATAACCATTTTCAGATTCGACAATCATCTCATAAGTGTCTGTGAATTAATCAAATAAGTAAATTATTTTACAAATAATTAAATAAACTCACCAAATTGAAGCGCTTTCATCACTTCCAAATACTTTTGCTCAATCGACGTTCCCAATGAATATTCAAGTGAACAAACCGACTGATCATGATCATCTTTATTATTAGGATCAGAATAAGTTGCTGATTGTACAAGTGCCGCTGTTTCTTGAATGTCTGGAATAAGCAAAGCTAATCCTTCGTCATCACTTTCATCTAAGCTTATGGAAATTTTCTGCATTTGCCCTTTGAGATTTGATTTCTTGTTGATTCTGTTGAAAGAATAAATTAAAATATTTGGTACTCATATATGCTTGTTTAATTAAACTTACTTTAATCGACTCGCATAAGTATCAACACACGACTTCATGTTGTATAATAAAGTCGCAATTGATGTCTTTGAATCGTTGTCTTGTTTGGCAATCAACAATTGAATGAGTTGCGATGAAATGGAGAGAGCGCGAAGAAGTTGAAGTATTGCTCGATAAAGTGGAATGTGTCGCGTTATATCCAACACTAAGAAATCATTTAATTAAACTTCATTTAATTATCATAAAATCAATTGACCTACCAGAATCATTTCTAAGATATGAACATAAAGCAGGAATCAAACACGATTGACGTAACAATTCAAGGAACAACGGTGGAAGTTCACAAAATTCTGTTGAGTCTCGATAACTTATATTATCAGAATCAGCAGCTTCTGCTGTTGGAACAATGTCACCAGGATTTATGAAGCTTGATAGAACCTGTGGGAATAATTAAAACTTAATGAACAATCAAGGAATAAGAAAGTTGACATTTCAAACCTGAAGCAAGACTGTCACGTGTTCTTCTTCACTTTTCTGTCTCAGCAAAGCTTGCTCAACATTCCACGACTGCTGCGTCGATCCAGTTCCAAATCCCGTGCCTTTCGCCCAATAAACATGACTTTTATCATCTGACGACACTTGTTCATCAGTGACAGCCACAGCTGGCGTTGTCTTCACAGATGGCTTTATCATTTCAGGTCCAGGTGCGATATTTGAATTGTGATGAGTGAAAATACTTAAACAATTAAGAACGAGATGAATGGCACCAACTTCAACAATCTTTTGCCTAAGGAGAACGCCGTCGTCAGTTGTTAACGGTGAACTATCAAGAAGTTGTCTCAAAACTTCAAAAGGAAGTGTCGGAAGCGATGATGACAATGCGAGACTATAAATATCGTCTAATGGAAGAATGTTTAATTAATTTTAATTCACTTTATGATTATTGAGATTGTTAAACTTACTTCCTTCCCCATCACCTGTCACACCAAGAATCAAACGAAGCAAACACTGAGCACGAACTTTATCACGAAGTAAAACTTCTGAATATGCTGGAAGTTTCAAGAATAATCCAAAAGCAGCCAACGAGTGTTGTGGTACGGATGAGATCACTGGCATTTTTGAAGATGATTCCAACAATGAATCGTCGACATCTTCATAAATTTCTTCATTTGGTTCAATTTTTATCCATTCACCTTTCACCCACTCGCCTTGCAGATTTTTATCTTTGTCGCTCAATTTTTGAGATGTTTTTGGTTGTTCAGGATAAACTGTCGGTAAGTAATGCGCGAGAAGTGACAAACCACCACGACTTGAGAAGATTTGCAGTGGCGATGGGAGTGGATTGAAGTCAGAAGCTTTCATCGGTGAATCGCATGTCGCTTCGTCATTCTTCATCTGAATCAAACTTAAATTAATGCATGGAGTTGACAATGACACGCCTGATGACTTTAACATTGTGAGAATCTGTCCGATTGTTGTATCACTGGTGATGATGACATCAGGGCACGTTGTGTGAACTAATTGAATACATTCTGGTAAACTTCCAATTCCTTTAACTTCATCTGGCTTCATTTTGAACACATTGAAAAAGTCTTTTGTTCTTTGAGCATTCTCTTGATTCTTCAATTCCTTCAATCGTTTATCCTTCGCTGTCACACCAGCAGCAACACTCAAAAATTCCATTCCAAAGTTCATTTGCATTCCAAGATCCCACAAATCTTTCTTATCACTTCGATTATCGTTGTGTGATGATGGCGGCGGTGGTGGAAAGTCTGCAGTTGCTGAACGTGATGCTGTCGTGTTGTTTCCATCTCCGCAATTTGCAGCATTAAGCGATGGCAATAAATTGTTGTAGACTGAAATGCTGTTCTCAAGAATGTCTTGACACTTGGCATTGATGCTCGTGTAGAACAACAAATGATGTGAATTTGGCTTCTTCGATGGATGATTACTGATATAAATCATGTTTGTGTCATATTTTCTTAACAACGGCAAATCACTTCGCACACTCACGACAATCTTTTCACTTTCAAGGAGAATTTGAAGCACCAAACGTCGTGTAAAGCCAGAAATTGAATATTTCATGTTGATTGGACTTGATGTGCTTCTTGAATTTGACGTTCCACTCACATTCTGATGATTGATGTTGTAATTATTTCTTTCCGTTGTTTTTATCACCGATATAAGATTTGTTGTCAACGTGTCTTGATTCTTTGGATGACACGACGTTACATTTGAAAGGAATTTTATCACAGTTTCTTCAAGCTCAAGATATGGTTGATTTGTTGTGTCATCGCTCAAATAAGAACTTTGAAGTTTATTATTACATAAAAGTGTTAACAAAGGTTCCCAAAACACTGAACCTTCATACGATCCCAACCAATCTCTCATGTGACCTTCCGTGCAAATCTCAGCCATAAAATCGAGAATTTCTGTGATCTTCATCACAGTCACCATTGGATAACCGCCAGCTTTATCAGCATCACACGCATTGTTACCTTGCTGTTGTTGTCCATCACGATTACTCGACATTCGATGACAAAATTCAAGAATTGCTGATGTGAAAAGATTCGGAAGACCAGAATCGATAAGTTGATGAATTGCAAGCGGCGATTGACATGACATTGAAATTGTTTGCAATTGTGATGTTGTGAGAGTTAAATTTGAAAGATTTTCAATGCTGTAATGACAATACCATTGCTCGGTGTTGTATTCATGTTGCTTGTTATCATCAGTCATACTTTCATTGTCCTTCCTATCATCGCTAATGCATGACGAAGTGTTTTGATTCAACACAAGAACTCCCATTTTACGAAGTAAAAGATTGAAGAACTCCGGACGAACACAACAAATTGAACACATCATTGAATCAATTGACATCTTCATTGGACTGTCTTCACCCACTTCGTTGATCCAATTGTAAAGATTCTCAAACATTTCCGGTGTTATCATGTTGCCAAGATCGAGAACTAAATTCGTTGCATAAGCTTGCCATAAGATCGAAGCAAGACATTTAATGTAGCCGCTGTTGGGATTGACATTGTCACGTTGTTCACTTGTCTGCAACGTCATCAACCAATTCAACATCATTTGAATTCGATCACGCGCATGAACGTCATTTGTTGTACAAAGTTGATAAAGCAAGTCAGAAACTGATTCGTTGCATAATTTGAAGATTTGCGGGACGCTTTCATTGAGAAGAATGTCGATGAGTTTAAGACTTAAATCGCGATTATGTAAACCAAGTTTAAGAAGGACAGTTTCAAGATTTTGTAACAGGAAGTTGGTCATTGACGGTGCAATGCTGAGAAGTGAACAACAAGCTTCTAAGAATCCATTGACTTGTGATGCTGACGAGATGACCATGTTGGAAAGATTATTATCAGGATTGAATGTCGCAACGTTGAAGCATTGTGCAAGAATTCTCAACCAACCGAAGCTCGTCTCTGATTGCGTCTCTTCATCAGCATTCAAATCACTGCTACTTGAACTTGATGATGACGACGATCCTTTGTTAAAGCCCGTGTCACTGAAGATTGTCGTTCCCAACACAGAAATCTGCGTCAATCCAATACTTGCGCTGTCCTTTGGTCGATACAGTCGAATGACAATTTGCGTCGCAATCTCCGGCTGTGAAAACTTCAATCGAATGCAAGTCATGCCTGTCGTTGAGATTGGTTGCGTTATTGGAATTGGACTGAAATTTCCATCTCTTGTTATCTCAATAGCAACAGCTGATGGACATGAAGCGAGTGTTGATAAATGTGGCTGAAGTTGAATCTCTTTGAGAAGCACAGCAGTTGGCATTGACATTGTCAGATCAACATGAGACTCGTTCGGATAGAAAAGATAACTCCAAGCTGGTGCACGAGCTCTGCGATGTGACGCAATCGGCCCTTGGATTAAAATGTCAGCTGGTTGTGCTGATGGATTCTCAGAAGTTATCGTGCAGTAAGGCGCGAAGTTTATCAAACCTTCTTCGTATTTCAACGATCCTGACGGCGTTTTCTTTGCTGCCTGACTTGTCAGCGATTGAAGATTTTGTGACTTCGATAAATGTTGCATGATCATCGTCACAAGATTCGGTTGCATGTTGAGTAAAGTTTGATTGCTTCTCACCAAATTCTCAGCTAAAATTCTTATTCCGCCCATTTCACAAAACACTTCAAGCGCTGTTGGTGCTTCGAGAATCTTCAAAATAAACCAAAGAAAAGGTTCAGAGAGTTGAAGTTTTGGCATTGCATGGCGAATGTTGGAAACGTAATTGAGATAATCAAAAAGTGGTTTAATGATGTAAACTGGTTCGGATGCCAATTTATTCATGAAACTCAACAGTTGAAACAAAGCATCTTCAACGTTCTGTGGATCATTAAAAGTGTTCTTCGATTCATTGTACATTGGCGAATACATCGAACAAATGACTAAAAGTGCAGCTGATGTTGTTGTTGATCGTGACAACGCGCCGAGAAGTTTGTTCATTGATGGGAAATGTTGAAGAACTGTGTCGGTGAATGTCGGCGTTTGTTTGGTCACTGTCGACGTTGCTGCTGTTGCTTGTTGTTCAGCTTTCTTCTCATCAGTTTCACTTTGTTGTGATGATCCGCCACCACTTTCCATCGTCACATCATCACTTGAAATTGTTGTTGGAAGTTTCGTTCGAATGAGAATCGACGACAACTTCAAAAGATTCATTAAAAGTGTCGTGTCAGTGACCGTCTTGCTTTGTGCACTTTCTGAACCAAGAACTGTTGCAAAAAGACTTCCAAACACATTATTTGAGTTTGAATTCGAATCGGAACTCTTCTGACATTGAACTTTCTCAACATTTGTGATGTGTTGATAAACGAGATGAGAAACACTTTCAATGATGCTCATTGCAACACAAAGATCACTTTTTTTATATTGAAAGTTTAATAATTCTTTAATTAATTGACTTTGTGCATCGATTGGGCCATGTTGCTTTGATATTGCTCCATCTTGCTGAATGAGACACAACAAAACACGAAGAAGAATTTCTTTAAGTTTCTCCTTCACTTGACATTTGTTTTGAAGACATGTAAACATATCTTGCATTAATCGGCACATTGTCGGACCAGCATAACGACTCGACTGCAGCGAATTATTTTTATAAATTCCACTGAAGAATCTCAACAACATCCGCTCGAAATTCTCATTCTGAATTATTTGATTTCCAATCTTTTTCATGAAACTCTCTGACGATGATTGTTGGTTGTAAATATTTTGAACAAGTTCAGTCTCAGGATCAGCGTTTGGCTTGCTTGAAATCGAATAAATAAGACATTGAAAGCCAAGACACCAACCGCGAATCTTCAAATTTGGATGCGTTGCAAGGGCTTTCAATAAGCCAAGAACTGCTTTCTCACCAAATGGAATCTTTGAATGTCCACTGTTGACAGTAAATTTGTGTGAATCGCCAATGTCGCCATTCAATGTCAACCAAAGTTGCAAAACTTGTTCAAGATTCAACCACGAATCTTCCAAATGCAGATCAGAGAAGATCGTCTCAAAAACTTCCATCAACATGATGTTTGTGTCGATTTGTTGTTGATAATCTGAATGATTCCAAGCGTTGATTGTTGATTCAGGCCATGGCGGATTCTCACTCATTACACAGCCCATGTCTTTGTTATCTTGTTGTGGCAACGTTGCAAATAAATTCAATGAAGATTTCATTGTCAAACGACGTAGAAAGACTTCAGTGTTTGTGTCCAAACCATACTCAAGACGTGCATCCATTGTTGATGACACTTTACTGCGATAGAGAAGCGTGTAAACGCCATTCCTAGCTGGCGGCGTGGGTGGAACTCCATCTTTGCACTTCCCAATTCCAGCTGCTGTTAACTTCTTCGACTGTTCAAGGATGTCATCAAGAATATCTTCAATTCCATCAGTGTCGTCACACTCCATCAATGACGGCAGTTGATACTTTGACGGTTCATTCTTCAAATAATCATAACTAAGAAAATCTTTCGCTTGCGATGAAACTTGCGTCGATGTTCCAGGAAAGTTTTGTGATAAATCAATTTGTTCAATGAGATCCAAATCGCGTCCCATTGCACCATCAACATCCATCATTTGTTCAATATCATCTGACGGACTTGATTCTTTGTAACTTCGATCAGCTTCTAAGATATCTTGAAGCAAGCACGTAATTGCATGAACAGCCCAAGGATGTTGTTGATTCTCCCACACAGCAATACGTGCAAGTTGAAGTAATTGTTTTGTCGTCATTATTGAACTTAATTGCACCGACATTTTACATGCATTAACAAGTCTTGCAATGATTTTGCATGTTAATAAAAATAAATCCATGTTGCAAGTGAAATCCATGTTCAAGAGCAGTCCAATTAACCCGCGAATTACGACAAGCATGTTTTGTGGCTTGATTGATTTTAATCCACGATCAAAAGCATTTTCATTGCTGTCAGCTGAAAAATCATTTTTGACGGTGTTTGATGACGATGTCGATGTTGATGCACCTAAATTTGAACTTCCAATCGATTTATTTGACGCTTCTGATGTTGATTTCTTTAAAAGACTTTTACTGAACAAATAATCGCTTAATGGAAGAAGTTTCTTGATTGCATTTTCTTGCGACTTCATGACAGCATCGAGATTAGCAGACGATAAAATTGTTGGAACATTCGCAATTTGCTCGGACATCATGTAAACTTTCTCAGCAATATTTTGATTTGTGCTGTTTTGTTTGCTTTGCATGAAGCGTTTCTTAAATGATCTTGAGAATGAACGTGAATTGCTGTTTGACATTGAGAGTCTTGCTTTGACCATGTCGCCTGACATGAAATCCCATCGTGGACTTGAATTCTCTTTCTTCTCGCTGTTATCATCCAAACAAACTGACAGGAATAAAAGCAACCAACTTAACAGAACCAAATCTGTGTTCCGCCACACACCAATTCGATTATCAATGTTCGATAATGGTGCGAGAAGATTTGCAATTGTTTTGAGAATTGAATCGATGACAATCGTTCGACATGCGCCTTGATGAATGCTTTTTCGCCCAAGATATGTGAGAAGAATAAAGACGCGATCTTGTGGGAAGATTTCAACATTCTGTGATGAAAATAATGACGTGAAAGTGTTGGCGAAGAAATCGCCCCACCATGGCTTAAACGTAAACGAACACATGCGAACAAGCAACGAACATGTCGCTAATCTTATGTGAGAATCACCATTAATCACCAACGTTTTAAACATTAAATTGCATGTTTTCAAGTCGAAGAAATTGTGCAGTGTTGAGACATTTTGAGCACCATAAGTAATGATAAAATGAAGAAGTGATTCAACTAAACATTCACTCAAAACACGAAGTTTGTCAGTGCTGAGCGTCTTCAATGTTGTCGCCTTCAATTGCTGTTCAGAACCATCGCCATTCACATTCAAGGAATTCTCCAATCGTCTTATGACATTCTTGACAACATTGAGTTGATTCTGAAACGCGATGCACTCTTCGTAAACTGTCGAAATTTTATTAAATTCCATACTTTGATCCTCATTATCTTTAATTCGATTCAAATAACTTTGCATGTGTGACATGTTCGAATTGTCACTTTTCAACAATGGTTGAAGTAATTCCGACAATTTACTGCTTGATAAACAGTAACGACAATGCGTATCTTCATAAAGTGCATTCAACACTTTCAATTGCGTTTTAATGAAACTTTCCTTACTTTTAACAAACTTCATCACGGGATCAGCGTAAGAGTCTTTATCAAGAATCACAACATGACCATAGAACGATCCCATTGGCAGTTTACATCTTGTCGCTGACATCCCATATCGTCCCATAAATGTGATTTTGAGAAAACGACAAACGAGTGGCGGTTGAAGATCGCTTAAAATTAAAGCTTTAATTCCAATATCTTGCGACACTGCCAAACGAACTGAATCGCCTTCTTCTTCGAAACACCAAACATCGATTGTTAATGACGCTAAATCGCTACATGCTGGAATGACGACATCTGTCAAGAGAATTGGATAACCAAAGTCAAGCGTCACTTGACGACGTGCACCTGAATGCATTCGATCAACAACAATCATTTGCTTTGCTGGTGTACTTAACAGTTTATGCCAAGGAAGAATTGGATTTGATGAATCTTCTTTGTTGGTCTCTTCGATAAATTCTTTAACTTTGTTATTGTAAACAGCTGAATTGGCTGCGTAACTTCGGACAGCTTCAACGTCAATCGCAGCTTCTTTCTCATCACCACCACCACCACTGCTGCTGCCACTTTGTTGCATCATCATCATATGTTCTTCATCACCAGTAAATATTGAAACAACGCCTGGTTTTGTTGTCCATTTATGATCAGAGCTTTCCTTAAATTTGTGTTTCTTGATTTGCGTGTAAGCAATTTTATCGACAAGACTCTTGGCGCTGTTTTGCAATCCCGATTCCATTTTCTCAACTTCAGTTTCATTGTGCAGCACAACTTTGTCATTGGGAAGTTTGATAAGATTTCCAGCTGTTAGGAATTTAGATGGTCCACCAACACTTATTTGTGGGGGCGTATCGATGACAATGTCGTCAATTATATTTGTTGCTTGCAATGACAACGAATCCATATTTTCAATTCTCGTTGCTTCTGATGTTGAACAGCAAGTGTAATGAAGTGGTTCAACTTCAAGAAGTCCTTTTATATGATTGCTGATACTTTTACGACGAATTTGAACTGGAAGTCTTAATTCGGAGCCATCTGGTGGTGAGAAATTTAAGTAAAATTTAATTGAATATTCTTTGAGGTTTTTTGAGGTTTTTAAGAGTTAAAGTTTAAGAAATGAAAAGAAATGAAAAGAAATGAAAGAAATTTTCAACTCACCTGAAGCACAGAAATTCTTCAAATCACTAAACTGATTTTGTTGTTGCTGCTGCTGTTGTTGACCAGTTGTCGTCGTTGCACCAGATTTTGTCACAAAAACATTGCAGTAAGGGATGTTACTGTTACCACTGATTGATGGAAGTTCGGAATCAAATAATTCAGACTCGAATGGCATTCCATAAAGTCCAAAACGTGATTGAAGAATGGAATTCATTGTGTTTGGACGTTCGGAAATTTCATTTAAAACTTCAATGAGAAGTTTGATGATTGCTGTTGAAATGACACCTTGCGATTCAGCATTTGATGTTGCAGAGATGAGCATTGTAAACCAACGAACAGCACCAGCATATGATGTCTTGATAATGTTAGGAACTGCTGTTAGAATAGAATTCTTAAGTGTCACTTCAAAACTGAAGAATTGCTTTTGATCGACGATATTTTGAGCACCATGTAAGGTTGAAATCACCAATTTAACACATTTATGTGCTAAGCTTCTATTATTCAGTAACACACATTTGTTTATAAGTTCACTCAAACGTTGTTCAATCAAATTAACGCAAGCACTTTGCTGTGAGTTGACATCAGTCGAAGCGTAATTTCTTGGACATCGATAACGTGCCAAACGAATTGAAGCAACCCAAATCAAAATATCCATTGCAAGACTCTGCATTAATGGTTCGTTGTTGTTTGTAGCAATTGAAAGAAGATTCTTTAACAAAATATTGGAGTCGAGCATTGCCAAGCGTTGGAGTCTTTCGTTTGTGATATTCGAAACTTCTCGCGTCGCACGAACTGTGATGGAAATTTCATGCAGCCAATCGCAACCTAGCAACGATAACGTTTTTAATTAATTTATTATCAAGCAATAAATTTTAATTGATTTATGTTGATGATTATGGGAGCGCCAATTATTTATGATAACAAAACAAATATCTACAATCATGATATGACTAACTTTGTATTTGTAAGCTAAGTTTTTATCAAATTTACTTTTCTATTTCTTTACAATACAAATGAATGATCGAAAATTAAACAAAAATTCTAATAAAGTTTTTTTTTTTGTTTTTGAGCAAAGTTTATTATCGGAAAACGATTAAATTAATGATTCATTTGAAGTCATTAATCATCATAAATTCAATTCGTTTAGCAATAAGAAAACAAGCTCAAAAGAGAAAGAAAAAGAAAGAGATTGAGAAGGGGGAGAGAAATGGAGACAATAACTTTACCTATGTAACGTTCATTAATAGAGTTTGTTTTTGTACCAGAAACTTTATCAATTGTCACACGCTCGTATTTGCTGGTCTCTTTGTTCGCGAATGATGAAAGTAAAACGCTTGTTATTCCTTTTTTTCGAACAGGTACTGTGAACAAAGAGCGAACATGTTTCGTATGGATTTTGTTTGTTTGATTGTTTTTTAAGGATTTTAATTGGAAGTGAAAATGTTTTAGTTGAAAGGAGAATGAAAAATTTTCTTTAATTTTTTCAAGGATGAAATGAATGAAAGGAATTTAATTAAATTACTCCTTGGATTGAATTTTATGAAGATGAAAAGTGTCATAAAACTCCACAAAATTCATGCTTTATGAATTAATTTAATTAATACTCACCTCGCATTTTACTATGTCCATCTTTCGACACATCCGCCATCGTTTTAATGTGAAGCAAATAATTTCTTGCCTTTGATTTAAGAAGTTTCGGACTCACAAACGTTACCGTTCCACCTTGTTCATTCAAATCCATACAAGACGAAAGTTCAATTGGACCGGCGAGAATTTCTGCATTTCTCGCTTGTAAATATTCTTCACTTAACACTGGATTTTCAACAGAATTAAATGCTGACGATGAAGATGATGATGACGTTCCAGAATTTAAATTAAAGTTGATATTGTCATCAACATCAAATGATCTCGATGACGATGATGATGACGGCGAATTTTTATTATTTCCAGGCTTTCGACGACAACACAAACCAATCGATTTCTGTTTCAATAAAGTCACTTGAATTGCTGGTGGATTCGAACATGGCTGAAGAATGGCAAACTTAAAGTCAATATGACCAAGTGATGTTGTCTTCGGTAAACTTAATTCAATCAAATGTTCATCCCATGTCGTTGCATCGTTGTGTAAACGCCAAGTTCTTGTTAAATGCGTATCTTCACCAGGACTTAAATGTTGGGGATGTCGGCGTTGCTTTTGCGCTTGAACAAGTTCCGTCCAACATCCAGGAACTTCAGCTGAATAAGGTGTCAACATTTCATCGAAAAGTGTCAACGAGTAAAGCACTTTAAGATCACTTAAAGTTAAATCTTGTCGATGTGCGATGAGCTCAGGAGTGGTGCGTTTATCATCGATCGGCTTTGGTGGTGCTGTTGATGTTGACGGCACTGCATTGTCATAATTTATTATTTTATTATCAAACTCATTCGTTATCATCAAAGTTTCATCTTCAACTTCATCACTTGAATCGATATCAAGATCGTAGAACGAATAAAAGTGAAGCAAACCTTTGTCAGTACACCCACAAAGTCTCTCAAGATTCTTACAATAAACTGTCGAAATAAACTTCTGACCATCAACTTTCGCTTCGGAAATTGTCTTAAGTGTTGTTATTGAAAGAACTTTAATTGATCCATCAACACACGCCATCACAAAGCCACCAGATTCACTTGGCGATCCACTAAAAAGTCTTCCATTCGTATCAAATTTAGGCAACATACAAATCTCTATTGGAGTATCTTTTGGTCCAAGTAAACGTTGACATAAAGGAACTTCTTTAATTAATCCATTGTCATCGATACTGTAAAGTAATAAATGAACAAAAGGAAATTCTTCGGGACTGTAAGCGTCATTCTGATCAGTTTCCATGAACACAATCTCATCATCAGACTTCTCTTGTGATCTTTTCAAAACAATTAACAAATATCGACTGTCGTATGATGGAAGAATTTCTGTTATCTCATAATCATCATACAAATATGTTGGAATTTGAATCGTTTGAATTGGAGAACAAATCACATCATTTTCACACTTTCCACTTCCACTTGTGATGACTTTCTGTGCTGTTATTGACGATGGACCATTCATTGGCAATGATTTTGCTGAATCCATTTCAGACGTTTCATTCTTTTCTGGATGAATGAACATCCACTTGTCAGGATTATTAGCGATTGAATTTGAAGGAACTAACATAAGCGACTCATTGACATTTTGTTTCGGTGCATCTTTGTTATCAATGAGTTTAAGGAAATCATCAAAGCCGTCTAATCTTTCTTCTTGTGATTCAAGAATTGTTAATAATTGCGATCCATTCTTTGTATTTGCATAAGGACTAAAAGCTTCATCACTGACATTGCCATTTGCTGTGTTATTTGCATTTGATTTTACTGACGTCTTTGGTGGTTCTGTGACAGCATAAAGAATCAAAAATTCATTACTTGTACCTTCTTTCGTTTCAGTTTCAAATGCTTGCTGTTTAACTTTGTTGCTGTTACTCCATTTACATTTAACACCTGCAATAATTCTCGTTCCATTCACACCAATTTTTGTCTTCTCATGTCCCGAATCTTTAACTTTTAACACTGTTTGCTTCTTGAATGTGCACAATGCTGTGAGTTTTGTGTTGAGGTCGTCTTCAACGTCGTGTTTCTTTAATATTCCTTTCTCGCATGACTTAATGCTGAATGTCAAACATTTTCTCAACTGTCGTTCAACATTCCAAACAGTTATGTCGCCAGTTTTCACATCGCCAGTGCATGTTATGCTTGCATTGTCACCAGTTGATATAATGTCAAAGCCATTGGTCGATATTGCTGGGCTTGTCGCATATGTCACTGATAATGGAACATTCTGAGTGTATTCACCTTTAAGAAATGGACAATCAGGTGAATGACGTTCATGTTCACTCCAAGGTTCGTCGGTTTTCTCCCAACAAACTAAACAAACAGAACATGTGAAACACATTGCACGATCATCGCCACTCTCACTCGATTGATGATAAAATCCAGCTTGAGCCATTTGATCAGGAAGCGCCCATTTGTAGTCAAGATGACTAAAATTAATCACAAATTAGAATATTAAAGTTTATTAATTAAAATAGAAACTTACGGCCATGTATCAAAAGTCTTTCGTCGTGCTGCTTCTGAGTACATATGAAATCTTTGAATTTGATCATTCTCAATGATTCGTCCGCCAACAATTAGATCTGTGAGACGCTCATTGACAGCTGAAGCAATGGCTAAAGCAGGAATATGACGTTGAAGACTCTTCAATTCCATAACCATTGTACTTGAAACTACTTTTAAGCTTGAATGTGGCAGTTCTAAACAAATTGTTTCCCATTTTTGTGCTTTAATTCCTTTTTTAGTTCGTTGTTGTGCTTCAGTGATCTTTAAGACAAGTTCATTGATTACATCGGCTGAGTTCTCAACACCTTGTTGTTCCAATAGTACGAGGCTTTGATGTAACAAGACAGCTTCTGATAACAGTAATTCGATTTTGATTGTGTGGTCGGTGTTGGAAAGCGGTGACTGGAGAATTGTGTCTAATAATAAAACTCCATTGTAGTCACTTCGCAAGCCTAAGTTCTTACTGTTCCAAAAGAGAATCTTATCATGTTCCGACAAATATTTGCCTTTAATTGTTTTATTGTTGGAATCTAATGGTGGAACGAGGAAATGACAAAAAAAAAGAATTTTTATGAGAAAAAAACTTACGACGGAAATTGATATGCGGAATTTTTTTATTTTCCTTCGGTCGTTCATTCTATACATTGACAATCTTCTTCATGAATCATGATCAGTATGCAATATAAAAAATTAATGTTTAGAATGATTTTCAAGACGACTCGTGATGCTTGTAACCATGAAAAAGTTTCTTGTGGAAATTTAAATTTTCTTCTTGGATAATTTTTCAATTTTTGGTTAGGTATTGGCTTTTTATCTTCTCTTAAATACCATAATATTGCAGTTGGATTCATGAAGATGTTTTGTCAATAGTTTTTAACGAGCCTTTGTCACAATTACCTGCAGCAGGTACGCGTTGTAAAACGACTCCAGAATTGACATCCAGAGTTAAAATTGTTGTAGTTGTAAAAATCAGAATAACGTTCAGATTCGGGTGGAAGATGATTTTATGTATATCTGAACAGTCATTGACAGCTAAATAACCGTCTTCCTTGAGAAAATCTTTGATTTCATCCATTTTTTTAACTTTTAAATGGTGCACTTGAATTTTCTCCAAAATGAAATGCGCTGTTGCACAATTTTAAGACTTAAACCGCATTACACGGACAAATTTCATATGTTTTGAATTTTTGGTGAAATTTTAATCCTCCTAAACTACTTTTTGTTATAAGAGACCTTCTAATTAACTTGAATTTACTATTTTATTAACTTCTTAAGAGTTTTACTTTCAATGTGTTTAGTAAAGATTTTTTTTCGCCGTTTCTTTCATACCCCTCGACCTAAAGTGTATTCAGTAAACTTATTTTCAACTCGTTCCAAAAAATTATATAAAATAATAAAATAAAGATGATTCCTGTAAGTTTAAATAAAAAAAAATATATCAAATCTTTAGATTCAATGTTGATTCAAAAAAGTATTATAAAATAACCAAAGGAGAATTCCAATTACAACAGTTAATCTCACTGAAATATTTTTCTTTTAAAAATGGACGCTGAAGCGTTGTTTTTGTAATATGATGATTCATAATTTTCGTTTATTTTATAAACTGTAACAAATTTCTAGTGTAAAATAATGTAAACAATTACAAAAGTGAATGATATATCGAACAATTGTGAATTTATTTTAGCGCACGAAAGTTTTCGTTGGCTCACTTCCACCAGGCTCAAAACCAGAAGATCTTCGTCGTTTGTTTGAGAAGTTTGGAACCGTCACCGAGTGTGATATCATGAATCGTTGCGGTTTTGTACACATGCAAACACAAGAAATGGCTGATAATGCGATTAAAAGCTTAAATGGGTCATTATTTAACGGAGCCAACATTGTTGTTGAACGTGGACGAATGAAGGAACGAAAAGCTAATCAAGGAGGTCCAAATGGTCCACCAGGTAGAATGAACAATGGACCACCAAACAGAAATGGAGGCAATCGTAATGACAATCAGAATCGTTCAGGACCTGGTATGGGTCGCGGTGGTCCTAATCAAGGGCAGATGGGCGGCTTCAGAGGTAATAAACAATTTAAAAATCGTCAAAACGCGTGAACATATTAAATCAAACAGGTGGTGGTGTTAAAGGTAGATAAAGTAGAAACTTCACTTTATTTCTCCATTACACGCTGCACTCATTTGAGGAAGAAAAATTAGAATTCTAATTCTATTAATTTTTTTTTCATCTTTCTTAGGTGGAAATAAAATGGGGAACAATAACATGGGAGGTGGCATGAATCAAGGAATGGGCGGAAACAACATGCAAGGTCCAGGTCCAATGCGTCAAAATCGACAAAATGATCGTCAAAACAATCGCAATACTCCTTACAATAAGAATCAACAAGGAAACCGCGGTGGTGGCGGAGGCGGTGGTGGAAACTTCCAAAGACGCAACAACGACAATGGACAAATGGGTAACAACAATATGGGAATGAGTCGATTTGACAACAACATGCCAATGGATAATAATCGTCAATCTGGAGGAATGAACAATTTCGATCGTGGAATGAATTCGAATAATATGATGGAACGTCGTGGTGGCGGTGGAGGCGGCGGCAATGGTTTTGATAGTGACAACAATTTTGGTGGATTTGGTGAAGATCGTCGTGGATTTGCTCTTCCTTCATTCCCAAATGATATGGGACAAAATAATTTTGGTAATAATGACCGTCAAAATAACTCGGGAATGGGAAATCGACGCAATAATGGTGAGTTTTGATTGAATTTCTTAAGAATATTTCATTTAAAACATTTTCTTGTCTTTTATGAAGGTCCACAACAATTCCGTAATAATAATAATAACAACAATATGGGATCAGGCGGACAAGATTTCCAAAGAAGACCGCAGAATAATATGGGAGGTGGTGGCAATTCAAATATGGGGAATAATTCTGGAAATGATATGTTCAGCCGAAGAAGTCAACCAGCTGGTGGTGGTGGACAAAACAGAAATCAGAACTTTGGAGGTAATGACGGTAATTTTGGCGCTCCTCAGAATTTTAATCAAGGAATGAATCGGTGAGTGAAATAAAATCTTAACTAATGTTGTCCTGTTGTCAGTTGTCTGAAATCCCAAACTTATCTTATAAATCCAATTTAAGTTATCACAAAACTTGCCTTTTTAGTTTTGGATAGATTTCTGTCTGATTATTGATTATGATAAAAAAGTTTTTATAAATTTCCAATGAACTTGTTTTACATGTTCAATTGATGTACAATCGTTAATATGAATGCGATGAATTGAAATACTTTGATGCGATATCGTTGCGGTTTATATCTAATTGATTGAACTAACGAATGTTTAATTCTTAAACATCAAAACCCTTTTTTTTATAGCAATCAAGGCGCACGCGGTGGCTTCATGAATCAAAATCGTCGATTCTAAAATGATGACTTGCAAAATAAAAATTGATTGTAATCAATGAATGTTCTTCAACATAATCCATGAACATTTAATTGCGTAAGCGGAATTTGATTTGCGACAAATTTCTTCACAAATATTCTTTAGAATGTAAGATCTCTAGATGTTGAGCGGTTTTAAAGTCACTTAAAGATAATTAAGGACTTTAAATTGCGGATAAATCATTTTGAAACTTTAAACTAGCATTAAATATCCACGTAGATCATAAATAATTTCATACATAAATTTCAAATATGTAACATGACTTCTAACATTTTATAAATCATAATTGTCATTAAAACTCATCCAAACCTTTTTTTGTTGCTTTGACCTGATCATTTATCCGAAAATCTCAAATCATTTTGATGATAAATACAAATATGCACGTAGTCGTATATTTTTGCTATAATTAATGACTTTTCACATATTAATTATTGCGTTACATTGTCACGGAATTCGTTTGCGTTTGATAAAACTTAAAAAATGTATTCAGGAAAAGAACAAAAATTATCAACAAACTAAATGAAAATGTAAAGAAAAAAACCGATGAAAAATATAAAAAAGAAATAAAAACATCAAACACGTGTCTTAAATTCATATTAAACAATCCATAAGCTAATAAACATTTAGGTACAACAAATCGACCACGGAGAAAAATCAAAACGAAAGCAAAACGTTCCTTTTGCGGAAGAAAAAATCATCAATGAACGAAACTTCATAAACGTTGCGAAAAATGATGAAAAGGATCATCACAGTTGCGGTTACGACGAAGACTCGCAAACAGATCTGCGATTGAAAATAGTGAAAAATTATTGTTGTGTTCGGAATGATGTGTGAAAACGTTAAAGCGACTTTATGTCGATAAAAGTGTTAAAACATTTTTATGAATAAATTCGATATTCGGAATGATAATCGAAGCGGTAAGCGAGTTCAAGTCATCCGAAAATATAATAAAAGAATCAATCAAAAACATACAAAAATGGGAAAAAGTGTGAAATAGTAGCGGAAAAATAAGAAAAATCCTCACATTCGATAACTGATAAAGACGTAAACAAAGAAAAGCGATTGAAATCAAACATTTTTGCGGTTGCGAAACAATAAAATAATCTGAAGCGTATAAGCGGTAAGTTGTTGCTTAAACTGATGTCAAACATCATCACCTTGTATCTTAATAAATTGAACTGAGCCACTTTCATGCTTGAAACATTTTTGCGTATTTATTAACTTCTCGTAGATTCGAAAGGTTTATCTAAGATTTACCATTGAACTTTATTTCTTCAGTGGGATAGAAAAAAAATTCTTTAATAAAAAAGAAACTCTCAATTCTTATAATTTTGTTTGAAATCTCTCTGCTTTAAGTTAGTCCCCTGGAAAATCATTGCTAAACATGTTTTTTCTAACATTATTTTCATATCATTACAGGATCTTGTGAAAACCAAATGATGAAATGTGGACAGGAATAATCTCAACAGCAACGAAAAGACTGAAAAAGCTTTAAAAGCTCAAACAATTTGTGACATTTTTTAGATGTTTTCAAAGAATTTTGAATAAATGAAAATGTTATCTGCTGGTCAGATAATTTTGTTATGTTAACAATAAAATTCGTGTTTATATCTTTTTAAATTTTCAGATCAATTTCTATCTAAATTCTCATCCTTTGCAGAATCATAATCAAAAAAATGACGTAAAACTTCTTCTCAATCTTTCAAAGCTTTTTTCATAGCAATGAGAACAACTCACGAGTGAGACGAAAACAAAAATGAAGAATCAGGAAATAAAATAATCATTGCGTCTTTGTGAAATATTCAAAAGTTAACTCTCGCGATAATTTAGTAGCGAGAGTGGATTCAACTTGAATAGTCGTGTCGCTTGTTTTCTTCTCCTCAATTTTATGGCAACACTCGAGATGAGAGCATTAAAATTTTTATTTATTTTTTGCTTGGGGATCTTTGAATTGGGATCGATGGTTGAGAGCGTTCCACAATTGACACAAACAACGGCAGGAATTTTCTTCCCTTCAGAGGACACAAATATAAAGAGAAAACCATCTCATGTAAGTTACGATTAAAGGAAATAAAAATGAATTAACATAATTGAGAAGAATCTTATTAGAATCGTAAACCATTGGAAGATTTGAGACTTTGTTATGAGAATGAATTGCTTTACCCTGGTGATAATGAAGGCGATTGGGTGTAAGATGAATTGATTAGTTATACATACTAGAATAGAAAAGTAATAAAAATATTCTCAGATGTGATTGCAAGCCTGGTTATGTCCATTATCCAGCAACTGGAAAATGTTACGAAGTTTACACTCAAGGTTAAAAGAAGAAGAAACTTTTTTGTAGATTTCCCACGGAGATTATTTTTCTTATTTATTTTAGGTCCATGCAATAATAATCAAATAATCGTGTTGAAAGAAGGCTCAAATATACCTGAATGTGTTAAAAACCGGTGTGATAACGGAAAGATATTTTACAATGACAACTGTTACCCGTTAAACAGCGAAGAAGCGTGCAGACAATATTCTGCTTATATAGGTCGAAGAGTCTTTCTTGTTCCTGATCCCACAACTATGAACTTGATCTGTGCTGATGAAGATTTTAGATATGCTTGTGTCATTGATTGTTGCATCGCAAGTAAGCGAGAATATCGAAATATTTGCAGAAGCAAGAAATTAAAGAACAACATAAATGAACCTGTAGAAACTCCAGTTAATAATGTTAATAATTTCAATTCTGAGAACATAAATTAATATTGAGTTCAATAAAAGGTGAGAAATTTATCAAAATATTTGTCTGGGATTTCCATTTGTAACCAGTTTTATTAAGAACTGGTTTTGATTTTATAATTTTCAGAATAATTGTACGTAATGAAATTAAACATTTAATGATTGTCGTCATAAGTTCTTCAAAGCATTCTGAGAATATCTGAAAAATCCTCTTAAAAAAGCTTTTACGCAATTGTCAAGCTTGTTATGGAGTGTCAACTCTCGTTCTCTTTCCAAGATCCATGTCACTCTCATAAATGTTGAAATAAAATTCTCTCATGTAACGATGATTATCAATTCAGTTCGTTGTGAGAAGCCAATCGAAGCTGATTAAACTATGGAAATTAAGTTAATTATTTTGACATGTTTTCTTTTATTTTCTTCAGTTAAATCTGATTCAGGCGTTGTTTATCCTGAATCAGACACAAATGAAAATAGAAAGCCACAAAGTCATGTAAGTTGTTAATGTTGTAAGGAAATTTTGCAATTATTTTATTTCAAGATGATTAAGAAAGAGATTAAAATTAAAAAATTGACCTTTCATGATCTTCGAACATTTTTCTATTCTTTTGAAATCGGAATTTCTCAATTGATATTTTTTATGGATCATCATCTGATTTTTTAATTCTTTTTGTTAATATTTAATACTTTAGATGAGACAACCTGTCACTTCATCAAAATGTGGAGAGGGTGAACTGTTGTACCCAGGTGTCAAAACATTCTTAGCTAATCTTGAAGTTCTTTATGATTATTACAACTTAATTCATTTAATCTTTGTTTAAGGCGACACTGCTGGTGATTGGACATGTGATTGTCGACCAACATTTTTGTATGATCCTGGAACGATGAAATGTTATCGTGCATACTCGAAAGGACCTTGTCAAGCAAATGAAATCTTCTTTCTCCCCAAATCTTCATTTATACCGAAATGTGAACAAAATATTTGTGGTGCAGGAAGAATTCTTTTCAACAATGTTTGCGCTGAAATTGATGGTTTTGTGGGATGTAAACAACCTTCACCAGGAAGATTTACTCATCGAGTTGTTGTAGATGCAACAACATTGCAATTAACATGTTTATTCCTAACGCATTCAAGATCACCCGAACCTATTGACGAGAAAGAAGGAATTTATGAAACAAAAGCTTGCTTTATAGGTGGAAAACGATCACAAGAAGGTTTATGTCCAACATCAGAATCATAATTTTGACAATTTATATTATCAAATTAGTTCCGTTTTTAGATTAAAGAATGGACAAAAAATTTATGTTAATGGTTTTTAATTTTCAATTTTTCAGGATATTTAAATTTTAATGATTGAAATTAAGCATGGACGTGCAACGATTTTAATCATCATTGGACTAAGAATAATCCATTACAATGAATTCAGTGTGAAATTTGCAGCATTTTTTGTTTGTTTTACTTTCCAGACAAAAGATGGCGCTAGCTATTTTTAGTGCTTAGTTTTACAAACTTTTTTGATTGAAATAAAAAAACAGATTTACCAAATTTTTAATTAATGAAATTATTTGAAAGAATTTTGTCCATAACTTGGTTTATTTTTGCTGATTTATTTTATCCAAAAAAATATTTAAAATTCACATCACATTCATTGCATTAGACAAGTTAAATTTGTTTGTGAAAGAAAAAGAGAGATAATGAAAGTTTTGTTCTTTTTTTAAGTTTAGATACATATTATATTCAATTCTTTAACTGATGGTTTAAGTTAAGACAAGTAAAAACAACAACATAAAGTAATCTTGATTAGTCAATTATAATGGTTCCAGGATTATCGATGTGAAAATATTTCATTATTCAGCAGCTGAGTATTCAACAACTTTGTCAGGTTGTGTCCAAAGCGATGACACCTTTTTTTCACCGCGAATAATTTCCAAAGTTGCCATAATATTTTCAGTTTCAACGCTTTCATCTGTCAATTAGTTAAAAGTTATTTTAAAGTTCAATTAAATTTATGCTTTGGGAAATGTTGTCAACAATTGCTTACCAAGGTATAAAAGTTCCATTTCCTCTGGTAAAACTTTTCCATTGAATTTATCAATGTCATTGTGCATGATGTTCAACAGTTTGAACATTTGATTATTCGTAAACATTCCCAAAGGAATTTCCAAAATACGATTGTGATCCAATCTTAATTCCATCAAAGCAGAGCAATCAGCAAAAAGTTCAGGAGATAGTTTTGTGATTTGATTATTATGCAAATATAAAATAGTTAAATCCAGTTGACTATGGAATAGTTTTTCCGGTAAAACTGTAATATTGTTTGATGCTAGGTTCAAGAACTCCAAACGCCCATTATTGTGAAATGCATTTTCATCGAAATGAGAAATTTTATTTTCACTCAAATTCAGTTCTTTCAATTTCTTAAGAGGCGCAAGCAATTTTTCACTGAGTGTTTTTATGAAATTGTTTTGAAATTCAAGTGATTTCACTTGTGATAGTCCGTTGAACGTCTTATCGCCAATTTTTGATATTTTATTATTATCTAATAAGAGATTCTCCAGCCCAGTTGCTCCGATGAATGAATTATCAAATAATTCTTCGATTTGATTGTATGCTAACCAAATGCGTCTCAAATGTTTTGCACTTTTAAGATTATCACGATTCCATTTCTTTATCCTCGTATTCACCAAGTCAAGAATATCAAGATTCGGAAAAATGGAAAAAATTTGATTTGGCACCACGTTGATAGTTGAATCAATGAATGAAACCATTTTGACGTCACTATCTGATTTATCCTTTTGATGATCGTCATGTTCTACGATAAACTCATCAGCAACATCAATAAGCTCAACTTTTCTTATTTCACAAACGTAAGAAAACACCGTATTTTTAGTGAATTGACATTTCAATGTCGTGGCACTTATATAAGCGAATAATGTGATGAAAATAATTGAAACTTTCATGTTTTCTCTCCTTGAACTTCACACAACAGAAGGTAGAATGAGAATAATTTTATTTTTAAATTTCTTATCATTTTATTATATTTTCTGATTTCTTTTTTCATGACTGTCTTAAGAGAATTAATGCTGGAGAGAAATTTTTAAAGAGAATTGACAAAAAAAAGATTAATCATGTCTTCGAGGGCAATTCTGCTTCTCATGTCGATTACGTTTTGCATGATCTCTGAAAGCTTTATCACATCCTTCAAGTCTACATTCAAATGGTCGTTCATTGGTATGTGATCTGGAAATAATAATAATTTTAAGAAAATCCGTCATTTTTTCTTATACTTTTACCTGTGGTGCCTTAGCAGATGTTGCCTTTCATGAAAAGATTTTCCACATTCTGGCCAATCACAATGATGTTGACGAAGATTCAAATGCTTACATCGAATATGTTTTCTCAATGCACCACCAGTGACAGCTTGATGCGGACAGTACTGACACTGACTTCTATGAGATTTAAAATTATTCACAATTAAAAATAAAAAATAAATCCGAAAATAAAATAATTTACATTCTCTTTTTGTGATGAACGATTGCAATATGTGAACTTAGAAGAACTTTTCTGTCGAAAATTTTAGAACAATACTGACAGCAAACTTCAGATTTCACATGAATTCTTTCATGAGCATAAAGAGCTTTCTGATGTGGAAGAATTTTACCGCATATAGAACAAGGAAAAACTTCGGATTTTAAAGTGTGAGAACGATTAAAATGATTCCGAAATGATTGTTTACTTTTAAAAATATCTGCACAGAGATCACAAATAAATATTTTACCAACAGAAAGCTTTTTGACGGAAGTATGAAGTTCATGTTGACGTGTTTGGCGCGACTGGTTTTGCTTCAAATTCTTTCCTTTCGTTTGTTTCGTGAACTTTTCATCACTCACTTTCATTTGTAAAACGTTATGTTGATCTTGTTCAAGAAACTCTTTTGTTTCATCATCACAAGTATTTGACTCTTCTATGTAGATGCAAAATTCTGATGGTTTAAAATCATTCTTGATGTTCACTTCAAGATTTTGAAAATATTTATCAGCTTCCAAGCATTGTAATCTAAACCCGTCAGCTTCAAAAAGACTAATTGAACATTGATTACACATCAGAGCTTGACTGTTATCTTCCACCTTCGAAATGATTTGAAATGCTTTATATAAACTTCAAATCGATCACAATTATTAATGTAAACAAACCTTAATTCCGGTCAATAAAAAAATTGTCACCGCATTTTTGTTGTTCTCGGTAAAAATATGAGAAAAACTTTCTCCATTTTCAGGCTTGAGGCAAAGTCTGCACAATCTTTTAACATCCATTAGAACGAAATGTCTGAATAATCACATTTTATTCTAAAATATAATAAATTTTGGAAATTAGGTTGAGGTTGACTTGTTTACAAAATTCTACGTTCGTTACGTGTTCTATACGTAAAATCTGAAAATAATCGTACGTCAAAATCTTGTTAACGGTCCAGCGCACTATGGGAATGAATTCACCGAAACGTTTGAATTTCAATTTTCAGTTATTTTGTCAACACTCTTATTAAAATTAAATAAACACAATTTTATCGGTAATTTTCTATCATTTATTGTTTCATCAATAGTTGTTTTATCACATTTAAATTATTTTTTTCTTTTTCTTAATATATTTCTTTTTAATTTCTCCAGAATTGTGAAGAGAAGCTTTTTGTAACCAACAGAAGTTTTGAGATTTGATTAAAAGTTTTGCACCATAAAAAATGAAAGGAGAAAGGATTTTGTAAAACTATATAATCAAACATAACATAAATGATAATGTCCTTCTCAAAACATAAAGATTGTTTTGATACAACTTGTGTAATGATATAAGAAATCCTCTTTAGTTTACTAGGCAGTTTGATATTTGTTTTCTCTTATTTATGATTCAATCTTAAACTTAAATCTTTGTCTTTCGTTATTTCTCTTTTTATTTCATTTGCGTCAAAAGAAACAGTGTTGTGCTTTATCGGGTATATTAAAACGAATGCTCACCAATCAATTGATAAGTAAGAGGAAAGTGAAAGTTTGCGTAAGAAAATAAATGCCACTTCAATCGTTTTGGGAGTTATTCGTTGCATAAAAAAATGTTTCTGGTCAATTATTTCAATAAAAAAGTTAAATGTGGGAGAGGAAAAGTACATAAAAATTGCACAAGATTAATTGTTGGTAGAATTTCCCACTTTCTTTTAACAATATGGATCGTAAATATCACAAACGAATCCATTAAACTAATTTTCATTTTATATTTTTTTCTTCTAAAATTTTCTCCCTCTAGACTTAAAATTTAAATTTTATCGCTAGTTTAGAATGATTTCATTTAATTAACTCTTTTTTCTTATCGCGAGAATGTAATATGAAAATTATCTAACTTATGAATTTTTAAATGATTATAAATTTTTGTAAATCTCGTCAAGAAATTAAAATTCATTCGTGACAATTTTCCAAGACAACACGAAAAAGTTCGCAAAATAAAAAGAAGAAAAACTTAACAAGAGAACTGTCGAGTAACTAAAATATGATTAAGTTGTGGCTTCGCGATTGTAACACGATCGACAAACTCTAACCGGCTTTGTCAGTCCAAATTTTGGTAAAGGTGTTTGGGTTGACGAGCAAACTCCGCAAAATATTCCACCTGTTGGAAAAATTCCATGTAAACAACAACTTTAAGCAAGTAATATGACTTTAACTCACCGCAATTTCTACAATGATGACGTCGTTTGAATGCAGTGAATTGTGTTTCACAACTCATACATTTTGGAACTTGATGGTCGGGAATCCATTTTGGCGGTGATTGAGGATGACTTGTTGAAGGTGGTGGCGATGATGACGTTGATATGCTGTAATTTCTTCTTGTGCTTCGATGATGATGATTATCGTCATCGTCATCATCTCGATGTGCATTTGCCGTCGTTGTTGCGTCATCGCTTAAACTAATACTCCGTCCATTAAGTCGATTAAACCGATTGTGACGTCGCTTTCGACTTCTTTCAATATCATTATCGTCTCGTGTCTTGATAATTCCATCTCCCAACTCCCCCTCATCGTCTTCTTCATCATCCTCTTCCTCCTCTTCAAAAACGGCGTCATCTGACTCAGGATTAACTTCTTCAGCTGAACAAATGCTTTGCTGCGATCCAATAGATCCTTGATTGCTATTACTCTGACGAATAACATTCTCTTCACTTGCTCTAAACTCAAACAAATCTTGTTGATTATCCTTTGATTTTGTGTCGTCAATAATTGCTGGTTTTTCTTCTTCTTCTTGTGTGCAATTAATGAGAAAGACAGCGCGAAGAATTTGACGGAGATCAGCTGCAAAGTTGGTTTGAAGTTGATCAGCGACTCCAGCAATGCAAACAAATAAACGATGAAGAAGATTTTCAGTTGACCTGAAGAAAAATTAAAGAAAATTTAAAACATATTTCAAGGAATTGTTCGTAACAAAAAACTTACTTAAACTTCATTCTTCGTGAAACTTCTTTTGATTCCCCTGATTCTGATGATGAAGTTGGTGATGATGATGCGCTGCTTGAAGCAGACGATGTTGAAGATGAAGATGTTGATGATGCCGTTGACGTATCGTCATTATTTGCGTGATTCTTTCTCGACTTCCGTTTTGAACTTCTTTCTTTATGTCGATGACTAGTGCTTGACATTTTACTCGAGCTCGGCTCCACAATTTTTCTTAAATTCTCCCAATTCTCGTCATATTGTCCAGTCAGTACATTTGTGTTCTCTTGCTCAGGACTTCGATCTAAACTTCCATTATCACCTGTCCCCATTCCACTATCTTGGTTCGTTGTCGTTCTTTCCTCATTTCTGTTCGCTTCGATTGCCGCTTGGATTTCGTTTGATATGATATTGTACGTTAGTGGCGCTACATTTGGTTGCAAGAGATTCCCAAGATTTGTGTTTGGCACGAGATAACCTGTTGCGCAATCAGCTGTTCCAAGATTCTCATAATTACTCGTTGTTTCTTCTTCACCTCCCTCTTCGACGACAGCTTCAGACTCATCAGCCACCCACTCGTCGTTCTTCGAACCTTTTTCTATTGAGTAAAAGTTTTCATTGCTTTTATTTGTCGTATTTGTGTCATTATTCGGCACAATTGTAACATTTGTTGTCGATAATTTTTTTGTTTCTTCGCTGCATTGTGGCGCATTATCGTCTGGTGATGTTTGTGTCAAATTGATTTCCTCGTTTGTACACAACAATTTCTCCAATTGAAACAGCTCATTCTTGTTTAACGTTCGAAGATAGTCGCGCATTTTCACAAGAAGCTTTCGAAAAGGACGAAACATTTCTGACAGTTGGTCAGTTGGTTGATCCATGTTGAGTGGTCCATTGTTGAATATGATGAGACCGCTGATAATTGCAAGACGTGGAATGGAGAACATGAGTGATGGATCATAAGAATCGACTTGTTCTTGTTCCAAAATGCCAAGTTTTAAAGCTCTTTGGAGTGTCTCGGAAAATAAGACGCAAATTAATTCTTGAATTTCGTGTTCTTGCTTCGTCTTTACTTGCACCATTGCACTGACATATAGCAGCTCAAACTCCGCAAATAAACGATCGAAAATCTTCAGCGACTCATAAAGTGTTTCTGTTGACTGATCGTTGATGTCTAATTTTAGAATTGGTGAGTTTGGTGTGTTGTTACGAAGGCACTGATCGCGTAGTAAATTTCTGACATTGTCAAGAGATTTTGTGACAGCTTTTGCCAATGGACGCATTTCTGCACTTTCAACTTCACGATTGAGAATTGCTGAGCCGGCTGACAAGCATTCAGCACCAAACCAAAGCTGACCTGCTAAACTCTCTTGTAAAACTTCTTCTGGAAATTTGGCACGAAATGCACGACACGCTCGATCTTCCCCCAAAAGTTCGTCCATTATTTGATTGATTATTCCAAGAACACGATCCTTAAAAGAAGAAGAAAATTTAAATTCTTCTTCAAGTTTTTATGATGCAATCAAAATTCTTACCTGTTCTTGTCTCAATTTTGATACTAAACGTGAACATCTTTCCGGTTCTGAACGACCATCAAAGCTATCTAATTCATTTGCAACAGCAGTCAAGCCACGATCTGCATGATAAAATCTCGCTAAGAGAGATTTATCATCAGCCTATAAAATCAGACAAAAGAAAATGTTAATTATTTTCTTAATTTCAATTCCAAAACTTTAAATGAATTTTTGTTGTCAAAGAAATTAAAATTTTATGGAAAATCCGTAGAGAAAAAAAAACTTTTTACTTCAGGAATTTTCTTGTTTGCTTAAATTGTAAATAATGATAACAAATAAAAGATATTTCGTCGTAGGAAAGTATTTGTTTTGCCACGAACAACACGATCAGTGAGTGGTTTGAAAACGAGTTGAGCTGCTGAAAATTTGCATACGGAATAAAAAAATCTTCATTACAAAATGAAATAAATAAATAAGTTGCGACACAAGCTCTAAAGTTGAAGCATTGTGCTTCGATTTTGTTGAAAATCAATGCAGCGACCTATGAAGTCGATCAGAAAGCGTTATCACAAAAAAAAGTATTTTTAAAAGAATGTTTGTGGGAAGACTTATAGTGGAAATTTTTTTCTTCTTTTGAATCGCTAAATTGAATTTTCGAACAAATTATTTTTCAGAAAATCACTCCATGAAGTCGCTAAACATTCGTTTTAGCGAAAACAACTGCGGTGAACTAAAAAATAAATGTAACAATATTGAGATCAAGCGTCAATTAAGATTTCTAGACCAAGAAATGTAGCAACCAGAGTTTATATCTTAATCAGGTTTACGACTAGTAAATAGTCAAGTGCTACTGATAAGAATTTTAATACTTCCAGCCAAGTCATTCGACTTTGTTATTTCGTTTCAACCTTTAAGTTTTTCAGTGTCATAAATTATTCAAAGTAATTTTCCATATGTACGACGACATCATCGACAAACGCTTTACACAATGATAATCGTGGAGTGAGGATTGTAATCAAATATAATTGTTGTCTAGGAAAACACGCGAGCTACTCTAAGTTTTCATATTTAGTAGTAATTCGATACTTCACTTCGCTATTTCATGGTTACATTGCAGATTCAAATGTTGCCTGTTTAACTTTATGTCATCTTAAATTTTAATGAAATGTCAATATTGAGTGAAACTTGGCAACGTTGCTTCTTTTTTTTATTTTTTTCAAAATAAATTAATTCAATGTTTCTTTTCCAGTTTACAGTTTTTTGTTGTTTTGTAATTGCGTTAGATATCACAATGAAACTTTTTCGCATAAACTTATTAAATTCCGTTTTTCTGGTTTTTACGCAAAAAAGTGAGAAAAACATTGTCCAATTGGCCTTTTGTCTAAAGTCACAAAAAACCCATCAATTGACTTTTATAGAATTCCTAAAAATTGACCATTAATATGTGTAGGTAATTGAACCATTTATACAGTTGATTCAACACAAAATTTCGCGAAAATCCAAATTAGTTGAACTTGAAATAAGATCAGAAATCGTCTCTATAATAACCTTCAACTAAAAACTTTGTGATGTCATCAGAATTTGTCATCAACGTGATAATAAGAATCGACAACAGAGTTTATTTTTTCTTTTTTTGTTATAATTCTCAGTAGAAAATGAAAGACGAGATGAAGCTAGACTGAGGCTTGGAAGAAATGTTAAGAAAGATTCAATTTTGATAAGCTTTGTTGATTGACGTGTTGATGTTTATACATAACAATTGACAACAAAAAATAAACGAACATTTGAGTGACAAATATGTGATATTGAGGTAAGTCAGCATACAAACAAGAGAAGTCTATTGATTATAGACAACATTCGATTGGGGCTGAAATTTATTTTCTTACAAACATTTGATTGTGACTTCCAATTTACAGCAACAAAAAGTGTCTTCGGTGACATTTATCAAGTTTCATTTTAGGTTGAAAGATGTTGGCTCTTGACGTCAATCGATAAACAGTTTCCCTTCACTCGGGCATTCAAACTAACAACATCTGTTCAATCAATAAACTTCTTTATATTATTCAACTATTTCCACTTGTGACATTAAAAACATTTCAAACACAGCCACACACTTTAAGGTCACGAGAAAAAAGATATGAATTATTACTTTTCGGGGATTTTTCACAAAATTCTGTTTTGCTAATTAACCGTAAATTCACTTGAATATGAAATGTTGTTTTTTGCAGTTTTGAAATTCCTCAAACAAAGAAATTTTAAAGTTCAACAAAAATTTTTTCAGCACGTGTCTGGCTAATCACAATTTTTTTCTTTTGAATTTTTTATAAACTCCAATAAGAAAAAAGCTGAGAAAATGACAGTGAAAGTCTCAAGAATATTTTAAGAAATTGCGCAACAAGTGTTTTAAAATTTCTTCATTATTTCTGCAAAAAATTTTCCTTTTAATTGTTCACTATAAAAGCGAAGTAAAAATTATTGATTAACGTTAAAAGCATAAATGTCATTGCTTTTAAAATAATCAGCAAACTTTCAGAGTGAAGCGTTATGCTGTATGCAATTATGTATAAAAGTCACAACTTCGCTCCAATAAATTTTATTATTTATAATTGTTATGAAAGTCAGAGATAAAATCAAGCGCATTAACCTTAAATGATCAATATCTGGATTGCCATTAGTGAGACTTTTAAGAAACTTTTGAATTAGATACAAATCAAACACATCAAAGAAACTGAAACGACCTTAAAAGTGAAAGTCAAAAAGGCTTTTATTCATTTTTATAAGCATATTAGTCAGTTTAATAACTGGCATAACTTTTATTTTATCTTTATCTCCTTCATCGCTTATTATTGTATTAATCGACATAACCAATTAAACTTTGTATGATATTTCAAATTAACGCAGAAATTGAATTCTTAATTATACCAAAAATTGCTAAGAGTTAATTTTAACCTTGTGGAATCTGAAGAACGAAACAATAAATTAAACTTCAAGTGGTTTCATTCCCACCAACGTCACAAAGAATAACAAAGGAAGAGTTTCTTGCAAGAGTTCAACAAATTCAAAAAGAAAAAGTTCATCAAACTGAAACCTTAACAACTGATGTATAAATAGAAGTCAGTTCGTTTAAGTTTGAATCCCTTATCCGGGATTTTACTTTCGCATGTATCTTTGCACTTAAATATCCAGTAGCACACGTCAATATTATCAAACTGACTCAGACACACGCTGTACATGTCCATGTGTTTATTTCAATATTTATGTATCAAACAAACCACAAAATGAAGTACTGGGAAACTTATAATTTATCAAGGCTCAATGAAAATCTCATTAAAATGTAAATGATTTAGAACGAAGCTATCGATTTTCACCCTCAAACCAATCACTGTTGGTTTAATTAGCATTTCAAATGGGTCGTCGGGTGGGGCACGAGTGGACACTAACCTTTTAATGCGTACACAAAAGGCGGCTGTCTATGTCATCATAACTTAAAGGTTTTAATGAACTCAAAGTGTTCATTTATCAACGAGCTTGTATTCATGAATAGTTTGCAGCTCTACATACTCATATGCGTTAAAGGTTGACGCGTGAAATAAGATAGGAAAGGAAAACAATAAACTAGAATAATAAGAAATAAATTAGAATCACATAATTAGGCGTGCGTCATGCTGCTTCATCACTTGTGTTGTTTGGAATGAAAAACAATTTTACCTCTCAGAATTTTTACGCAAAAATCAAAAACGAAATCGAAGAAGAAGAAAATTGTATCTCAACAGAAAGTTTACGAAAAACACAACACAAAAATAAAGCAAAATAGCAACGAGACCAACCAGCTCAACAAGGTTTCTTCAATTCCATAACAGTTCACGATTCATAAAAACGCAAAAAAAGAAACAGCAAATGGTTGAAATACGAAAAATTGCGACGCTGTCTGTGAATAACCTTGAGGTGCTGACTGTTTAAAGCAACCAGTGATCATTGAGTGTTTAAATACATAATTCTCATACACGCACACGCACACAGAGTAATCATTGTCACTCATAGTGGTATTTTCCGTTGATAAAGCCGAAAAGCTTAAAGTCACTCACGTACAAATAATCCGATGCGACAGGAATTCTCTCATGATGTTGTTCATGGCTAAATGCATTTTAAATCATTCATATCGAATAAATTAATGTTGGTGGGTTAATTTATTTTGGGCTTGAAATCATGATTAGATTTAAGCTTCGATGCTTGCGAAACTTTATCTGACAAGTTGTCTGACCACTTCCTTATATAAATATACAAAAGTTTAGTGCGATATCAGGTAAATAAATTAAAGACATAATTGAGCTTAACGTCTGAAAGTCTTTCATAACATTACTGGAATATGAAACGCATAAATGCAAACCTTTATGAAGTCAGCATTTGTTATTATGGAAGGTCGTTTCCTCCACTAAACGGGAACGTTTTTTAATATCCCATTCATTAAATATTTACGTTTTTTCTCGATTTAAAATGTCAAATTGCAGAGATTTCATTGTTACAATTTTTTACCTCTTTACTTTTTTAAACTCAATTTGATTTGTATCATCCATCACCCAAATTTGTACAACGATTTCACAGAATTTAATTATTTTACAAACACCGGAAGATTTAAGTCAATCGCATCGAGACTGTCGTTAAATTAGTAATGAATCACCTTCCGCAATTTAACTGAGATAATTTGAGTCGCAATAAATTCAAAGTTTTTCATTGTTTTGCAAGCTTGAACGTCACATAAGCGACTGATGGACTCTGAACAAGTATGAGATATCAAAACAATTGAGTGATGTTGTCATAATAGATGTGATTACTGTAAAGAACTGCATAAATAAACAACATCTCATGATTCACTTAATTCACGAGAATACTTATAAAATCTGATTTAATTAAATTTCTTTTCACACTTCAAATTGGATAAATATGGCAACAATGTGCGTTGGACGTCAACACGAGCCGACATTGGAATAAAAATTATTGTATAAGTTTTGGATCTGTCTGATGCATGAATGGAAGCCGCAATGGCCACTATTATGGTAGACAACGAAAGAAAAACACGACGAATGAAGCATAATGTAACTGAGTTGGAGCGCAACTTTCTATTTCTCTGATATTTTTTTAAAAAAACTTTTGTAGCTTTGACTTTAATTTCATTTCATGACTTTTCAATGAGAAACTCAAAATTTTCTTGCAATTTCATCGTTCCGGTTCGGCCGTCGATTTCAATTACAATTTTTATGTAATCGACCTTTTAAATTACTTTTTATTGGCTTTATTTCTTACAGATTAGATGAGGCTTTATTTTCGTTTGTTATGGTTAACAATACTGAAATTCTTTGTGTTGTTACCATCAACGTAACAATCAAACTTTTACCTAAAGGCACAAATTCTAACAAAATGGTGACAAACAACTCATTACGACTATAAAAGTTTAATTGATAAGGGAAATATGATTACAAATTCAGTTCTGCTTGTCGTCGTTTCAAATGAGACTCTCAGAAATTAAATTACGATTTTAATTGTGTGAAAGGCTGTCAGACCTCATCTATCAGCATTGTCGTGAAGATTGTTAGCTGAATTGCATTAAAATAAATAAGACTTACAAGGAAATTACGTCAGTTCATGGATACGGTAGGTAATTGAATTATGTAATTCAAATACATAAATATAACAATAAATAAACATATCAAATTCGTCCATTAACAGCTTCATCAGTAATTGTGCACTGATACGAAAAAGGTCGTCGCCGTCTACATTTTTCTCTCATTACTATTACAACAGTGACCTTGCTTGTGTTTTAACCACGCCGCACGATATTAAACAAAGCACGAAGGAAGCTAAAACTGCAAACATGTTATTACAATTTAGAGTAGTTTTTTTTACAACGGGACTCTGACGTCACGATTTACGAAACAACTAGAGAAATAAATAAAAATAATAAAAAGTGACTTGAGGCACAAACAAAGCTTCAACTTCCTTATTTTCATCTTTTGATTTAAGGTGAAACTGTTATTAACTGATATGTTAATCAATGAGAACAAAAAGATAATAAAACATTTTGCAATTAAACCCAATTAACAACAGGATGGTGATGATTGTGTTTATTGAATAATAAATTTATTAAACGAGATTCATAAATGATAATTTTAAAAAATCGCCACAAGCTTTGAAGTTCAGCTTTGTTAAAATAAAAACAAAAAAAAAATGGCGATACGCGTGTGATTGTTGTTTAGAGGAAATTTTTTATATCGTGACAGTTACAACAAACACTAGATTAGGCATTTCATTTATAGCCAACAGATATAACCGAGAAAATATATGCTCAAACTTAATTTCACTTCATTTCAGTGAGAGGGAACGTGGGAATCAGAAATCAAATCCGTTACATGTACATATTAAGACTCATTTGTTTATTGTTTGGAGATACATTTACTCAAATATAGAAGTAGGTTTAATTTTCTCACTCTTAAAATGACATCGCATTGAAAATTTTTGTGTTTTTTTTTTTGTTATCAAAAAGGAAAAAAAATGAAAACGTAAATAAAAATAAACAGCAAATAAATGGGTCTGGATTATTGATGATAACGTTTGGCAGAAGTTATGAACGAAAAAGATGTAGATAACACGTTAACATACTTAAGTGATCTGACTAAAACAAATATAAATAATAAATATGGGATTGGTCATCAGCAAATTTCATGTTCTTATCAATTCACCACAATTTGTTAGCTTCAAACTTCAAAAATAATAATCTATGGTGAGTTTGTAATTCTCTTTCATTCCACTCGTCCACTCGTGACTCAAGATTCACCGTCTCATCGAGACCTTAATTGGCTGGCAAAGATTTATCATAAATTTTAAAGAAATGATTTTTTTTGTGGGAGAAAAAAATGAAATTCACTTCATCGTAAGCGCTGTAATGACGCAATCATTTAAAGTGTGTGCGAGAGAAAAACGAACTATTTCATCATGGAACGGGGAATTAATTATAACTGCGGGAGAACTGTAAAGTTTTCACATGAAGAACTTTAAGTTGAATGGAGGGAAAATTCTCCCGAGGCTTTCCACAAGTTGACCCCAATTTTCTTAATATCAACTAAACTTCATTTTATATCAAACTAAAATATGTAATTTTAAACCATCACAATGTTGAAATACTTGAACTTTTTGATACCGACATAAAATCATATTGATGAGTAAAAAATCGAAAGTGATTGATTTAAAATGAATCGAAACCGAATGACACTATTGAGGCAATTCTTTATCTTCGAATTTGTCATTGTGATAAGATTTCAAGGAACAGTAAAATATGAACAGATAAGTCATCCACAAACAAAGTTTTAAAGTGAAAGACAATGAAAAATCCAATTGGAACAGTTTTCTCCGTTGTTGTTGTTGTTTTAAGCTCGTTCTACTTTTCACAACTGGTATTTATTTCAAGAAGCTGGATAAATTAGTTATAGCTCACCTTTGGTTTATTAAGCCATTTTCTTAATGAATCCATAACTAATTTTAATATAACGACGACTTTTTCTAGTTATATATTTTTATTTCTTTTATTTTAAACTTCTATTTTTGAATTTTATTCTTCTCTTTTTTTACTTTATGCCTTCTTTCAAACAACAAGTTATTATTTTCTTAAAATGTAGCTTCAAAACAATATTTTCGTCACATATTTGTTATCATTGTACACCTCGATAAGCGAACTGTTAGTTAATCATAATTTTTACGATGAAATCACTATTTAAACCTTCACTTTTCGCGACTTAATTAAGACTAAGCAAAAATGAGTTTGATTTATTCACCTATCGTAGTTTTGTCCCCTTGATGTTGAAACTTCGTTATTCTGGAGTATGTTTGTAAAGTCTTGTTTGTAAGTTTATACTTCCTACAACGGTTTTGTTTATAATTTTTTGAAGATGCAGTGTGAAATGTAAGTTTTCAATGAATTTCGGTATAATTGTAAATATGTAGCGAATTTTATAATTTCAGATGCCAGTCACAATCTTTTAAATACTCATGTCCAAGATGTAACATCAAATACTGTTCGCTAGATTGCTACAGATCAGAAAATCATGGACAATGTTCTGAAGCATTTTATAAAGTACGTAAACGATTAGCAATGTTTTAATAATCATAAAATTAAATATACTTTTAGGAATGTGTCCTTGATGAGCTACAACATCAAAAAGCAAATAAAGATGATACGAGAAAAATCTTAGAAATGTTGCAGAGAATCGAAGATGAACCAGAACAAGACTTTGAAAGTTTGGATTCAGACGATGATGAAAGCGATGTTGGTGATCTTGAAGAACGATTGGCAGAAGTAAATTTGAACAATGCAGATGCAGTTTGGGATAAACTGACGGATGAAGAGAAACAGGAGTTTAAAAGCATAGTTTTTAATGGAGAAATCGATAAAATTGTTCAGCCTGTGAAACCGTGGTGGAACAATCATTTGGATGAGAAATTAGTTCGAGATATTCAAGAAGATGAAAGAAAAATCACAGAAATCTTAAAAGAATGTCCAAAAGTCTTTGCTAATGTTAAAGAGTTTCAGAAAATTTCAACAAAGAAACCAGCAGCTTGCATAATTTACAACATTGCCAATGTGATTGCTGCTTACACTTACATATTTCGCTATTACAATGGAGACCACAACAGTTATGATCTGGAAGCAAGCAACAATCTTATAACAATTTGTGAAAACTTGAAGTCGAATGCAAACTTTGATTCAATTTCATTGGCAGTTGATTCTGTTATGATGGAATGTCACAATGCAAATTTATTCTCCGATTTATCGACCAAAGATGCAATGCATGAAGATTTAAAAGAGATTTTCAATGGTCCTGGAAGCAAATCACATGAAAAATCTTACATTTTGTCGGTTTTGAGTGATATAATAAATCTTTTCAAATCAGCCAAACAAAGTTATCGACAAAACAATCCAAAGGAAAAAACTTCCGCTGAAGGTGGAACGAAGAAAACTTTTTCGTCGGAGTTCTTTGCAAACGATGCTCTTGGTAACTTCAAGCAACTTGAAAATCAAACACATTTTACAGGATGCTTAAAAAAGATCGAATTTTACTTATCATTTACCAAGTTTTGTTATAATATTAAAGAATGGCCTGTGATTTGGGAAATGTTGTAAATTTAGAAAATTTTTGATAATAAATTTATTTAGTGATGAACATTTTGAGCCAGGAAACAAAATGTGAACTTTCATATTTTAGTTGACTCAAGCCAAATGAACCTAACTTTGGAGTTTTCATGACAAGACTATCAACACCTTGAATGTCAACTTCCAATTTCTTGTAAGACATAACGATGAATTGCGCCTGATTGCTATGATAAATGTTGCCTTCAACTGGATAATCTGCGATATGTTCTCCATTACATGTGATAACAAGACCACGTTTTGTAATTCCTAAAGCTAATTTGAAATCTTCATTTAACTCCAATGGGAATTTTTCTGGTTTCACAGTCTTTTCTTCAGTCTGACAGCTGAAAAGAAGTATGGAGAGTGATAAGAAATCTTAAATAAAATTCATTGCGGATCTTTAAAATAGTTTTTCGTATCATAGAACTTACTCTTGAGAATGGTCACACATTTTTACAACAAACTCTTGACTCTCGAAATTCACAACGATCATAATTGAAGTTCTTGCTAACGTGTCAAGTACTTCAAACTCCACATAACCATCAATAGTTCCGTGAAACTTTCCTATAAAGACAATTGCTGTTTCTGGTTTTAACATTGGTAACGTTCCACTGAACTTTCTTTTACTAAAATTTTCAAATTTTGGAACTGCAACCGCATGATTTACTTCGTAAAGTTGTTCCACGTCACCGAAAATGCTTATTCTATTAATATTGAATGATTTACAGTTGCTTAATGTGCAGTAAGGTGTTCCGTCAAGAAATATGATAAATGAACCCAAAGTAATGTAAATTGAAAATTTAAAAATGTCGCCTTGTACAATTGAATTTGCTGATGAATTTGCCACAAAAGTTTGTTTACTTTCGTCATGCCCTTTAATTTCTAGAACCGTTAATGTTTTCTTATCACTCTCTTCTATTTTTTCGAATTTTATGATAGCGTCGAGTTCAACTCCTTCAAGATTTTCTGACTTTATTTCGTCAGGTCCAAGAACAATCTCGAAATAGTCAGCAAATTTTTTTGTTTTTCCAAATATCGATATGACATGACCATCTTCAACCGAAAGTAATTTCGCAGAATAAACCAACAATTTCGACATGTTAATGCAAGAGTTAACCCGAAATATTGCTCAAGTTAATATTAAACACAATAATTTGATAATTTCAATTTTCAATGCCTCCTTGAATTAAAAACGAAGCTTACCAACCACAAACCTTATCATTAGCATCTTCTCAACCCTAAGCCAAGCTTTGACTGCAAAATAAAATTGAAGAATCAATTTTTGATTAGAGAAGTCTAAACCTGACTAAGGAAACAATATGAGCTAATTAAAGAGCGCATTGTTTCATGTAAAGAACGTCTTTGAAATTGATATCCATCTTAAGCGATAATAACACGTCTGTCACGGATTACGTTTTACAAAACATGTCATAACTACGCATGTGAAGTTTTATCTTTCAAAATATATTCAGAGATGAACTTTAAACTTTACAGCGAATAAAATTATTTTAAAAGCATGAAATTCAATTCTGTAATGCAATTATTTCTGAAGCTTCTTCCATACAACGTTACTTTGCAAGGGTTGCATTGCAAACCAATAACGTTTCATGGATTTGGATTGCGATTGATAAGAATATCCAAAAACCCCCTCAATCCTTTCTCATAGATATATGCAAACAATCACTTCAATTATTCTGATTTGAAGTGATTTGATTTCACATGAATTGTTCCATCCACACGTCAAAAAGGAAATCTTATCTAGGATATAAAACGTGAAAGTTTGAAGAGATTTTGATCATTGATACAGCGAATTTTGTTGCGTTAAAAGCTTCTGAAGTACGTCAACATTCTACAAGAAGCAATTTCAAGTGATTCAACTTAAAACTTGTTGATAAGTTAAGTGATAAGTGAATTATTAACAATGAATAAAATTTTGTTGTTTGCGTTGATATCCTTTTGTGGTATTGTCGTAAACGCTCAAACTTTTCAATACTCTCGAGGTTGGACTAATGGTAAACGCTCGAATCTTGTTGTCACAGACATGCCACCACCATCAAGACAAATGATCCAAAATTCTATGCCACAAGTGCTGACAATCAACGATCTGAATAATCGTGAAAGGTAAGAAGTGAAAATAAATATGAGTGAAAACATATGCTGTCATCATTTGCGGTTAAAACGAAGTCATTAATAATTTCCTTCTGTGGTTTCTTCTTCAGATTGATACAGCACATCATTAAGAACCCGTGCGACTTAAGAATGGCGTTATTGAGTCACAACATACAGCTGAATGATGATCACATGTCACCAACAGCTAACGAAATCGATGATGACGTTGTTGATCGTTTCAAAAGAGATCTGATGAATCATTAAATTCTGTAACGACAAGTGCCACTCACTCTTTCCATCCGTCACTAGTAATCTTGGAAAATCTCTAAAAGCAGATTTTATTTTCATGGTAAATTATATTAAACTGTAAGATTCAATGAATGGGCAAATGAATAAACGCTTTTAAGAGGCTGCAAATGTTTTTCTTCTTCGGCCATAGCTTCGACCGAAAGATTTTATTTTTCCTTGGGATTTCTTCATGAATTATTGATGAAGAAACATTTCAAACGCATAGCTTTTAAATTTAAGTGGAAATCTGTATTGGGGGAGAATATTCCATCTTGGGACTTTGATTTGTGGCAATAGGAAATCTGCCACTTCGATATATAAGCAAAAGGTAAGCGAACATAAAAATTGAAAGGTTTCGCAACATGCGTGGGTTGAGAAGAGGATAAAAAGATAACAAACGATATGTTGCCATAAGGAAAACGATGCTCAGGCTTCGATTTGGCTTTAAATTTGAAGACGTTGTAAAATATTTAACGTCAAATAGCCAATGGACGCAAAAAGGTAGTAAAAAGTCTGATGAAGGTGTTGAAAGTGTAGGAAATGGTTCAATTTATTGCCACATTTACTTGACTGCCATATCATGAATCATTGATTGATCTTTGAATCTTCAACACGATTTTTACGGAGGCCCCACCCTAGGGTGACGGGCAACCGTATTGGATTTACGCAAAAATTTCAAAAAATTTTCTTTGCTTATTTACACTTGAAATGGCTTGAAACGTCGAGAAAAGTGGAAAAAAACGAAAAAAAGATTTGTGTCCGCTTTCGGGTCTGGATGGATGGATGGATGGATGGATGGATGGATGTAGACACTCCCATTTCCACATTTCTTAACCGATTTGAAAAATTTCTTTACCAAAGTGTTTTAAATACAAATAGAAAGTTTCTATCAAATTATGGGGTGTGTACCTTTATTACTTCGGGTACCTGCCATACAAAGTTGCCCTTTTCCTA